GAGACCCCAGGAATAAAGCCAATTGAGCCAAATGGAGCCGAATGAACAGAATGTTTAGGCTTTATTGGAAAAATCCCCGGCGGACTGACTGGACCTGTACAGCAGGGGAGAGTCAGCAGTCTCACGCCGGTTTTCTTTGTTCCGTGACTTTTATAGAGGTGGGGGAACCGGGAAGTGGAGGAGCTGATGCGGCAGATGGTGATCGGTCAGTTTGACCATCAGGCGGGAAGTCAGCGAAGGGCTGATGAGACGGTCGGTGATTGGTCTGATCGGTTGCTGGGCAGAAGGTTGCTGAGTCACCCAGGGTTGTTTGTGCTTGGGGCTAGGACGCTGGGCAGGGTAAGATAAAGGATTTCCACCTGGTGAGGTTAGATATCTTCCACGTGGCCGGGGCCAGGGTGGGAGCAAGAGGGGATCCAAGGGTCCTCTACCAGACAGATAGCAGAGGCAAAGACAAGAACAAAGTGCAAGTGCAGAAACAAGACCTTTACTGGGAAGGTACTAGAAGTGTTTTTGTTTTTACTAAAGGTTGCTGGCTCTATTTTTGATTCTGCTTTCATATGTAAATGAAGGTCCTCAGGCATCACTAATTGAATTGCATGTTTCAAATTTTCCAGAATATATAGTATCCATACCTAACTTTCAAAACTCTTCTTTCCACTAAAATAGGGAAAGAGTAAAGGCAAGGGGATGGTTTTGTACTTTTAGTATCCAAACAGAAATCTATCGTTTAAACACGTAATGCCATAGCTACTCAATGTATTTATTCACTCTCCTTAACTAAAGTCTAAATTCCATTCTAATGTAACATGTGTTGAATGCATATTGGCTATCAAGGCTAACAAGAAATAAAACACCTGGTGGAGAGTCAAATGCATGTTAAAATGAAGGAGATATTCACAAAATATTTTTTCTCCAATGTGTTCTGCTTCACGAGGTATTCTTTCTTGTCTCCTTTGTATTTTGATCCTCATATTGCTACGGCTTAGTTCCTGGACCTTTACTTCTTTTTATCTTCGCTCCTTCACTCACAATTTTTTTTTTTTTTTTTTTTTTTTTTTTTTTTTTTTTTTTTGAGACGGAGTTTCGCTCTTGTTACCCAGGCTGGAGTGCAATGGCGCGATCTCGGCTCACCACAACCTCCTCCTCCTGGGTTCAGGCAATTCTCCTGCCTCAGCCTCCTGAGTAGCTGGGATTACAGGCACACGCCACCATGCCCAGCTAATTTTTTGTATTTTTAGTAGAGACGGGGTTTCACCATGTTGACCAGGATGGTCTCGATCTCTTGACCTCGTGATCCACCCGCCTCGGCCTCCCAAAGTGCTGGGATTACAGGCTTGAGCCACCGTGCCCGGCCCTTCACTCACATTTTTAATTACCTCATCCAGTCTTAATAGGTTTTTTTTTTTTTGAGACAGGCTCTTGCTCTGTCCTCCAGGCTAGGGTGCAGTGGTAGAACACGATTCACCACAGCTTCAACCTCTCAGGCTCAAGCGATCCTCCCACCTCAGCCTCCCAAAATAGCTAGGACCTACAGGCATGAGCCACCGTGCCTGGCTGATTTCTGCACTTTTTGTAGAGACAGGGCTTCACCATGTTGCCCAGGCTGGTGTTGAACTCCTGAGCTCAAGCAATCCACTGGCCTCAGCCTCCCAAAATACTGGGATTATAGCCATGAGCCACCATGCCCCACCTTTGTCTCACAGCTTTGAATTCCATTGAATTCTCTCTCTCTCTCTCAATCTCTCTCTCTCTTTTTTCTTTTTTTTCTGTTAAAGACGGTGTCATGATCACTGCTCCCTGCAACCTTGAACACCTGGGCTCAAATGATTCTCCCAGCTCATCCTCCTGAGTAGATGGGACTACAGCATGCATCATCACATGCAGCAAATTTAAAAAATAAACCAAAAACATTTTTTTGTAGAGACAGAGTCTCACTATGTTGTCCAGGCTGGTCTCGAACATGCCTGAAACTATTTTCCAGCTTTGGCCTCCCAAATTATTGGGATTACACGTGTGAGCCACATGCCCAGCCTATATTCTTAAGGTTATCAAACTTCCATACCTTTCCTCTGAAACTGCACACTCCAACTGTACATGCTTTATTGGTGTTTTATTAGTTATCAGTTGCTCTATAACAGATTACATCAAATTTAGTGGCTTAAAACAGGAACAATCATTTATTTTCTCTCACAGCTTCTGTGGTTTAGGAATTTAGAATTGGCTTAGCTAGGTGGTTCTGGCTCATCATCTCTCTTGATTGTGCAGTCAGATATTACCAAGTCTGCAATAATCTGATGGCTTGACAGGGGCTGAAGGAGTTATTCAGCCCAAAAGTTCAATAGTGCCAAGGTTGAGAAACCCTGCTTTAAATCAACAGGACTATACATTTAAAAGATACTAACGTCAGCCGGGCGCGGTGGCTCAAGCCTGTAATCCCAGCACTTTGGGAGGCTGAGGCGGGTGGATCACGAGGTCGAGAGATCGAGACCATCCTGGTCAACATGGTGAAACCCCGTCTCTACTAAAAATACAAAAAAATTAGCTGGGCATGGTGGCACGTGCCTGTAATCCCAGCTACTCAGGAGGCTGAGGCAGGAGAATTGCCTGAACCCAGGAGGCGGAGGATGCGATGAGCCGAGATCGTGCCAGTGCACTCCAGCCTGGGTAACAAGAGCGAAACTACGTCTCACAAAAAAAAAAAAAAAAAAAAAAAAAAAGATACTAATGTCATGAGGCCGGGCACGGTGGCTCAAGCCTGTAATCCCAGCACTTTGGGAGGCTGAGGCGGGTGGATCACGAGGTCAAGAGATCAAGACCAACCTGGTCAACATGGTGAAACCCCGTCTCTACTAAAAATACAAAAAATTAGCTGGGCATGGTGGCGCGTGCCTATAATCCCAGCTACTCAGGAGGCTGAGGCAGGAGAATTGCCTGAACCCAGGAGGTGGAGGTTGCGGTGAGCCGAGATCGCGCCATTGCACTCCAGCCTGGGTAACAAGAGCGAAACTCCGTCTCAAAAAAAAAAAAAAAAAAAGATACTAATGTCATGAAAGACAAAGGCTGATGATTTAAAGATTATCAAGATTTGATCTTGAATTTAGAAAAAAATTCATTAGTATAAAGGACTGTACTTTGGGAGGCTGAGGTGGGCAGATCACCTGAGGTCAGGAGTTTGAGACCAGCCTGACCAACATAAAGCAGGAGAAAAGAATACAAAAATTATTTTTTTGTATTCTGTATCTTCTCTACTAAGAATACAAAAATTGCCAGGCGTGGTGGCACATGCCTGTAATCCCAGCTACTTGGGAGGCTGAGGCAGGAAAATCACTTGAACCTGGGAGGTGGAGGTTTCGGTGAGCTGAGATCGTGCCATTGCACTCTGCTATGGGCGACGGGAGTGAAACTCCATCTCAAAAAAGCAAAAACAAACACACAAAAAAACACAAAAGGACAGCATTGGGTAGTAAACAAAATTTGTATATTAAATAGTACTATTCTGTCACTTTTGGTTTCCTGAATTTGATAATTATACTGAGACTAAATAAGAGAATGTCTTTGCTTTAAGAGTGAGAGTCATGGTATCTGTAATTACTCTCAAAAGGCCTAACAACAGAAAATACTAGGAATATAATGTGTATATTACAGGTAACACATGTAAAGAAAGATAATGCAAATATGAGAAAAAGTTAGCAATGGCTGAATCTAGCTGAAGAATATATGGGAGTTGCTGCAACTTTTCTTAGGATCTAATTTTTTTTAAGCTAAAAACTTAATTACAAATTCACACTAGCAGAGATATCAGAAACTTAATTTCAGTATTATCATGGCATCCAGTGGTATAAACATATTGTTTAGCAATATTGAGGTAGCTACCAGTAGAAATGCATAAAAGTGATTCTCTCTCTCTCGGAAAAAAGGCTAGGTTTCAGCAGTTGGGAAGATCTACATATTTATAAAGATAGACTTTAAAGACATAATCCTAAAGAAATATAGCTGATTTAATGGGAACTAGTGGAGGCAATCATATAGTAGAAGGAACACTGGACTCAGAATAGAAAGACGTGGATTCCCATCTTCTGATATATCCGTGGTGGTTAGGTTAATACATGTCTTTGAGCCACGGTTTTTCAAATTTGTAAACCTGAGATATCAATTACATCACAAGGCCATTGGGAAGATCAATACAACCGTGTATTAATTGCCTATACAATATTAAAAGTATCATAGTAATGCAATCTAATTTTTTAAAACCATGACTCCCCTCATTACCCATAGAATTTTTTGTGAAACCCATATAGTGGGTACTCCATTTGCAGTCTGTGTTTCCACCATCAGACCTTAAGTAGGATTCAAAACTTCATTTTCCCACGAAAGGATTTCACTCGAGTAAGAAATTTTATTTTACTTGAGTAAAATAAAATATTTTGCTTAAGTTAAACATCTTATTGAAGAATTTTAGGGAAGACCAGTTCCCCGCCCCACCCCAAAACATGCCCTAGCATACAGGGGCATCAATATCCTGTCCAGAGGGCTCCTCCCACTAGTTCTTCTTCCCCAAACCAGCTTGCGCTTTGCAGTCTTTGTTCCTCTGCTCTGGCCTCTCTCTTGCTTGGATTTACCCCCTCGAGTCGCTCAGTCTCTTCCTTTCCCTTCCTCATATTGGGCAACTTAATTCTTCCAATTACTCATTTCCAAAAAAAAAGACCCATTAGCGCCAAGATTCACTCTACTTTTGAAGGCAGCAGATAATTAAAATGACAATTTTTTTTTCTTGCATACTTGTATTCTCGAGTCTATTGCTGAGTTTTCAATTGTGTTCTGGTGACTTATCCTTGTACCCAAACCCTGAACGACTCCTGGACAGATGGAGCAGAAACAAGTCAGAGAGCCCGAAAACAGCGCTCTCACGGCCTCAGTTCTCTGGGCGCAGGTGCGGAAGGTCCACTAAGTCCCACCCAATTGGGGTGTTTCCCGCCCCGTCAGCCCGCGGACCGGAAGCCGTGGGGGCGGTGCAGGTGCTGGGCTGGGGGCGGGCGGACGCGGTTCTCTCCGGAAGGACTGAGGCTTCTTTAGACCCGCCCGCCTCCGCAGCTGCCTGAAGCAGTGTAGGGTCAGCCTGCGAGTTGTGCAGCATGGCGCTGGCCGCTCGACTGTGGCGTTTTCTGCCTTTACGACGTGGAGCAGTCCCGAGGTCTCGGGTCCCTGCGGGGACTTCGGGCAGCCGCGGGCATTGCGGCCCCTGTCGGCTCAGCGACTTTGAGGTACCCCCGCGGTCCTGGCTCCCGCTCCCCTCCTGCTACCCAGTGGGTTCCGGCTCCCCCTTAACTTCAGGCGTGGCGGCCCCGCGCTGCCAACGGGAATGTGAACTATGGAAGGCGCTCGGGGCCACTGTGCCTGGAGCGCTCAGACAGGTCCCTTCCCTTTTGCAGACTTCCGCTATCCTAAACTGGGGCTATCAGGGAAGGAATGGGGTTTGCCCCCACGCGCCCCAGGAGCTGCCTCCCACCTGTCCTTCCTGTGCGAAACGTAGAACGGGGCGGGAAAGAACCCTGACCGCCGTGAATTATTCTCTGTAGGCGATGGCAGATACGGCCACAGCGCTGGACGCTGCCCTTCTTTCAGACTGAAAAGTGGGAGATGTGATTTTAAAAATCCTACGACTCAGAAGCAGAGATTTCATACTATTTAGGTTTTTGTTAGAAAAAAAAAATAATTTCTGAGTTGCCTGTTTTATCTGCATAAAGTCAATGAAGGATGTCCGCATGTTGTAGTCTCAGTTCTAATACTTATTAGAATGCTCGTGGGCCTCTTTATTCTTGTCAGGGAATTGGGGAATGGCATTAGTACATATGATATATTTCACGTGAACTAGTTGTTTCATTATTTTAAGCTCTAAAATACATTTTTAACTGCTCAGTTAAAATTGTTCAGAATTACTACAGCACTCATGGTGGGGAGGGGAGGTTAAAAGTTAGACATACTTCCTTTGCTTGGAAGTTTATAACCAAATGGGGAGACGTTAGATAATATAGGGAGAGAGATGGGAGGAGTTCTAAGTACGAAACTAGCCTTAAGTTTTCAAATTAGAACAATGATGGGTTTAAAGTCCCATTTGTAGGCCCGGCTCCTTGGCTTACGCCTATAATCCCAGGACTTTGGGAAGCCTCCGGGAAGGATTGCTCGAGCCCAGGAGTTTGAAACCAGCCTGGGCAATACAACGAGACCCTGTCTCTACAAAAAAATTTAAAAGTTAGCCATGTACATTTTTTATATGTAGTAATTACTATATTTGATAATCTTGTCTGTAAGATTCATTTTATTTTGGGGTGTTTTCTCATACTTTACTTCATACAATTTGCGATATCCATGCATTCGCAAATAAGTTGTAGCTCTGCCTTTTCCAGCAGGAAAAATGACTTTTAGATGAGCTACCACTCCAGGTGGTATATTTTTCTTAATAAGATATGCTTTGAGACAGTTTTACTAAATAATTTGATAAAGTAAAATGTTTAAGCTTCCAGTATTATGATCGATTACTTTCAGGTGGAAGAAAACGTAATTTTTGCTTGGGGTAGCAGTGCTTTCAAATTATCAGTTTGTAACTCTGACCATAATTGTTTCCATAGGTAATGGGAAACCCAGGAACTTTCAAAAGAGGCCTTTTACTCTCAGCTTTGTCTTTTCTGGGTTTTGAGACTTACCAGGTTATCTCTCAGGCTGCTGTGGTTCATGCCACAGCCAAAGGTAAGCAAAAATTAAACCTATGGAACACTTAGAGTTACTTTTTGTGTGTTATTTTGTTAATAGCTTGGGTATTTTTATATAGATAATGAAACTAATATTGTTATGGTCTAGATTATTTTCTGCCTTTCTCTGCTTCTTAGTCTGATACCTCATTTATATATGTATTTTTTCTGGAAAATAGAGCTGCCTCAGTGATGCTTTATTAACATTTTATATTTTTGTAGAACCCTTAAGCTAAGAATTAAGAATATTCTTTTAAATTTTTAAATGGTTGAGGTTGAAGAGTTGTAGGGGGTTAAAAAAAAGAACATGCAGCAGAGACCATGTGTGGCTCAAAAGCTTAAACTGTTTTACTCTCTGGATCTTTACAGAAAAAGTTTGCTTTATAATGATGAATGAAACCAGTGTCAGGGTGTTACATTCTTCTAGATATGGTTAACAAAAGGCCATAGTACTTTAAGGTAGATAGGTGTTATTTACAGACAGAATGCTGTTGGGTAAGTAAGGTTGAAAGTGAAAACAAAATCAAATTTCTTATTGGCATAATATAGGTAAGTAAACATATATTAAGACTTGGCTGGGTGTGGTGGTTTATGCCTGTAAACCCAATGCTTTGGGAGGCTGAAGTGGGAGGATCACTTGGGCCCAGGAGTTGAAGACCAGCCTAGGCAACAAAGTGAGACCCCGTCTCTACAAAAAATAAAAAAATTGGCTAGGTGTGGTGGTGCACACTTATCTGAGCTACACAGGAGGCTGAGGCAAGAGGATCACTTAAGTCCAGGGGGTCAAGGCTGCAATAAGCCGTGATCTCACCACTGCACTCCAGCCTGAGCAACAGAGCAAGACCCTTTCTCAAAAAAAATAAATAATAAATAATAATTAAATTTTTAAAAAGACTTGCCAGTTAAAAAAAAAATCAGTTAAACAATTGTGAGTCAAAATTTCAGTATATTAGAGCAATATTACTTGAAGGAATTAATGGGTTAAGCTTTCTTGTTTTTTACAATTCTCCCTTTTTAATTATAAAGGAGAAGGTGATTGGGGAAAAAGTAAAGATTTGATTTTGAATAGTTGGTTTATTAAACTTCTGGTAAAAGAATTAGAGAATGTGATCTAAAGGTTGCTAGTTATCTATTGATTTCATTTACCTATGATTATCTTTTCCTTAAAAAAGCAGATAATTGAGAAGCCCTGCACTTTTCTCTTCTTTTTTTTTAATGTATTACATTTATGAAGAAGGACAAAGCATAACTTGGTTTTGTTATTGACTGACTGACATATTTCAGCAAATATTTAAAATAATTCATCTTTTTAAAGCAACCTAGACTTTAATTCTCACAGCAACCTTATAAAATAGGACAAGTCTTATTATCTTATCACATTAATAATTTTTGAAAATAAGCTTACAGAGTTAAATTTCTTGAAAATCAAAATGTTAGAGTGGAGATTAGAACTTTTTTTTTTGAGAAAGGGTCTCACTCTGATGATGCTTAGACTACATTGCAGTGGTGTAATCACAACTCACTGCAGCCTTGACCTCTCTGGGCCCATGTAATTCTCTCACCTCAGCCTTGTGAGTAGCTGGGACTACAGATGCACACTACCACGCCTGCCTAATTTTTGTATTTTTTGTAGAAACATGTTGCCTGGGCTGGTCTCGAACTGCTGGGCTCAAGCAGTCCACCTGCCTCAACCTCCCAAAGTGCTGAGATTACAGGCATGAGCCATGACACCCAGGTCCTTATCTCTTTCCCTTTGAATCTATCACATTTTGTTTCAGTGTGTTTTGGCACCATTATAGAAATGTTTGCAAAGATGTAGTGCTTTCTGAAGTAATAAAATACAGAATTTTGAAAGGCAAAACCAGAATTACTTTTGACTTTATCATAGCCCATTTTTTTCTTCAACTTTTATTTCAGATTCAAAGGGTACATGTGCAGTTTGTTACCTGGGTAAATTATGTGTTGCTGGAATTTGGTATGCAAATGATTTTGTCACTTGGGTAGTAAGCATTGTACCCAATACGTAGGTTTTTGACAGTTGCCCTCCTCCAGCCCTCCCCATTCTAGTAGGCCCCAATGTCTGTTGTTCTCATCTTTGTGTCCATGTGTACTCGATGTTTAGCTCCATGTTACAAATGAGAACATGCAGTATTTGATTTTCTGTTCCCATATTAATTTGCTTGGGATAATGGCCTGCAGCTGCATCCATGTTGCAGCAATCGATGTGATTTGGGTTTTTTTAAATGGCTTTATAGTATTCTATGGTATGTATATAACGCATTTTCTTTATCTAGTTTACCACTGATGGGCATCTCAGTTGATTCCATGTGTTTGCTAATGTGAACAGTGCAGTGATGAACTTAAGGATGTGTGTGTCCTTTTGGTAGAATGATTTATATTTCTTTGGATATATTCTCAGTAGTGGATTGATGGATCAAATGGTAGTTCTGTTTTAACTTTTTGACAAATCTCCAAACTGCTTTCCACAATGGCTGAACTAATTTATATTCCCACCAGCAGTGTGTAAGTATTCCCTTTTCTCTACAATCTCATCAGTGTCTGTTTTTTTTTTTTTTCTTTCACATTTTAAGAATAGCCATTCCAACTTGTATGAGATGGCATCTCATTGTGGTTTTGATTTGCATTTCTGTGATGATTGGTGATGTGGAACATTTTTTCATGTTTGTTTGGCTACTGCTTTTATGTCTTTTTTTGAGAAGTGTTCATGGCTTTTGCCCATTTTTTAGTGGGATTTTTTTTTTTGCTTGTTCAATTGTTTAAGTACTCTATAGATTATTGATATTAGACCTTTATCAGATGCATAGTTTGCAAATGTTTTCTTTCATTCAGTAGGTTGTCTGTTTAAGCAACCTTTTGGTAGTTTCTTTTCCTGTATAGAAGCTCTTCAATTAGGTCCCACTTACCTATCTTTGTTTTTGTTGCAATAGCTTTTGGAGACTTTGCCATGAAATCTTTGCCAAGGCCTATGTCCAGAATGGTGATGCCTATGTTTTTTTCTACGTTTTCTTTTTTTTTTTTTTTAATAGTTGTAGGTCTTATATTTAAGTCTTTAATCCATTTTGAGTTGATTGTTATATATGGTGAAAGAAAGGGGTCTGGTTTCCATCTTCTGCATATGGCTAGGCAGTTAGCACCATATATTGAATAGGGAGTCCTTTCTCCGTTGCTTGTTGTGGTCAGCTTTATTGAAGATCATGTAGTTGTAGATGTGCAGCTTTATTTCTGAGTTCTCTAACCTGTTCCATTGGTCTATGTGTCGGTTTTTGTGTCAGTATCATGCTCTTTTGGTTACTGTAGCCTTGTTTGAAGTCAGATAGTGTGATGCCTACAGCTTTGTTCTTTATACTTAGGATTGCCTTGGCTATTTGGGCTCGTTTTTGGTTCTATACAAATTTTAGAATAGTTTTTTGTAATTCTGTGAAAGGATGATGTTGGTGGTTTGACAGAAATAGCAAATAGGAATCTGTAAATTGCTTTAGGCAGTAAGATCATTTTATCAATATTTATTCTTCCTGTCCATAAGCATGGAATGTTTTTCCATTTGTGTCATCTCTGATATCTTTTTTTTTTTTTTTTTTTTCTTTTTTGAGACGGAGTTTTGCTGTTGTTACTCAGGCTGGAGTGCAGTGGCGCGATCTCGGCTTACCGCAACCTCCACCTCCTGGGTTCAGGCAATTCTCCTGCCTCAGCCTCCTGAGTAGCTGGGATTACAGGCACGCGCCACTATGCCCAGCTAATTTTTTTTCGTATTTTTAGTAGAGACGGGGTTTCACCATGTTGACCAGGATGGTCTTGATCTGTTGACCTCGTGATCCACCCGCCTCAGCCTCCCAAAGTGCTGGGATTACAGGCTTGAGCCACCGCGCCCGGCCTCTGATATCTTTTTCATTGTGATGAAAGATCTAACTCTATTCCTAAGTATTTTACTCTTTTTGTAGCTGTTATGAATGAGGTTGCATTTTTGATTTGGCTCTCAGTTTGGGCATTATTGGTGTATAGAAATATACTGATTTTTGTACATTGATTTTGTATCCTGAAAGTTTACTGAAGCTGTTTATCAGTTCTAAGAGCTTTTGAGCAAAGACTATGGGGTTTTCTAGGTAAAGAATCATCATCTGTAAAGAGAGAAGTTTCAGTTCCTTTCTATTTGGATGCCTTTCATTTCTTTTTCTTGCCTGATTGTTTTGGCTAGGATTTTCAGTACTTTATTTTAAAAGGAGTGGTAAGAGTGGGCATCCTTGTCTTGTTCCAATTTTGTTGTTTTTATTTTTATTATTATTTTATTTTTTTTGAGACGGAATTTTGCTCTTGTTACCCAGGCTGGAGTGCAATGGCGCGATCTCGGCTCACCGCAACCTCCGCCTCCTGGGTTCAAGCAATTCTCCTGCCTCAGCCTCCTGAGTAGCTGGGATTACAGGCACGTGTCACCATGCCCAGCTAATTTTTTGTATTTTTAGTAGAGATGGGGTTTCACCATGTTGACCAGGATGGTCTCGATCTCTTGATCTCGTGATCCACCCGCCTCGGCCTCCCAAAGTGCTGGGATTACAGGCTTGAGTCACCGCGCCTGGCCCTTGTTCCATTTTTGAAGGATGCTTCCAGTTTTTGCACATTCAGTATGATGTTGGCTATGGGTTTATCAGAGGTGGCTCTTATTATTTTGAGGTGTGTTCCTTTGCTGCTTAGTTTTGTTGAGGTTTTTTAACGTAAAGTGATGTTGAATTTTATCAAAAGCCTTTTCTGTGTCTTTTCAGATGATCATGTGGTTTTTGTTTTTACTTCTATTTATGTGATTAATCTCATTTATTGATCTGCATGTTGAACCAGCCTTGCATCTAAAGCCTACTTGAGTGTGGGTTATTATCTTTTCATTGTGCTGCTGGACTCAATTTGCTAATACTTTTTTAAGGATTTTTATGTCTATATTCTTTTTTTTTTCTTTTTCTTTTTTTCTTTTTTTTTTTTTTTTTTTGAGACAGGGTCTCATTATGTCACCCATGCTAGAGTGCAGTGGCTCAATCTCAGCTCACTGCAACCTCTGCCTCCCAGGCTCAAGTAATCCTCCCACCTCAACCTCCTGAGTGACTGGGGCTACAGGTACATGCCATTATACGTGAGTAATTTTGTTTTATTTTTCGAGATGGAGTTTCACTCTTGTTTCCCAGGCTGGAGTGCAATGGCGTGATCTTGGCACACCACAACCTCCGTCTTCTGGGTTCAAACGATGCTCCTCTCTCAGCCTCCCGAATAGCTGGGGTTACAGGCATGTGCCACCACTCCTGGGTAATTATTTTTAGTAGAGACGGGGTTTCTCCATGTTGGTCAGGCTGGCCTTGAACTTCTGACCTCAGATGATCTGCCTGCCTCAGCCTCCCAAAGTGCTGGGATTACAGGTGTGAGCTACCATACCCAGCCACTCCTGGGTAGTTTTTGAATATTTTTTTGTAGAGTTGGGGTTTCTCGCCGGGCGTGGTGGCTCACGCCTGTAATCCCAGCACCTTGGGAGGCCGAGGTGGGTGGATCACAAGGTCAAGAGATTGAGACCATCCTGGTCAACATGGTGAAACCTCGTCTCTACTAAAAATACAAAAATTAGCTGGGCATGGTGGCGCGTGCCCGTAATCCGAGCTACTCAGGAGGCTGAGGCAGGAGAATTGCCGGAACCCAGGAGGCGGAGGTTGCGGTGAGCCGAGATCGCGCCATTGCACTCCAGCCTGGGTAACAAGAGCGAAACTCCATCTCAAAAAAAAAAAAAAAAAAAAAAAATTAGCTGGGCATGGTGGCGCGTGCCTGTAATCCGAGCTACTCAGGAGGCTGAGGCAGGAGAATTGCCTGAACCCAGGAGGCGGAGGTTGCTGTGAGCCGAGATCGCGCCATTGCACTCCAGCCTGGGTAACAAGAGCGAAATTCCGTCTCAAAAAAAAATAAAATAAAATAAGAGTTGGGGTTTCTCCATGTTGCCCAGGCTGGTTTTGAACTCCTGAGCTCAAGCAGTCTGTCCACTTTGGTTTTCTAAAGCGTTGGGATTACAGACATGAGCCACTGTGGCCTGCCCATCTGCCTTCACCTGAGTTAATGACCTGAGTTTTCCTTTTCCATTGTGTTTCTGACAAGTTTTGGTATCAGAATGATGCTAGCCTCATAGAATGAGTAGGCAGGAGTCCCTTCTTTTCAATTTTTTGGAATAATTTCCATAGGATTGGTACCAGCCCTTATTTGTATATTAGGTAGACTTTGGCCATGGCTCCATCTAGTCCAGGACTTTTTCTGGTTGGTAGGTTTTTTTTAACTACTGATTCAATTTTGGAACTCGTTACTGGACTATTACAAGGATTTCAATTTCTTCCTGGTTCATTAGGATGTTTCTAGGAATTTATCCATTTCTTCCCGAGCCCACCTGCCTCTGCCTCCTGGGTGCGGACTCCTTCTCGCGGGCGGAGCTGCTGCGCGTGGAGCGCCGCATCCTGAGCCGCCTGGATTTTCCGGCTGCACCACCCGGGCCCGCTGCTGTGTCTCGGGCTGCTGGCCGCGCTGGCAGGGAGCAGCCCCCAGGTGATGCTACTTGCCACCTACTTCCTGGAGTTGTCTTTGCTGGAGGCCGAAGCGGTGGGATGGGAGTCGGGTCGTCGCGGGGCTGCGGCTCTGAGCCTGGCGCACCGCTTGCTCGACGGCGCGGGCTCCAGGCTCGAGCCGGAACTTTACAGCTCCGAGGGACTGGGCCCCCTCGAGCCGTGCGTGGCCCGCGCTGCGCTCCGAGATCCCGCGCAGGGCCGCGCCGCCGTCTTCTTCAAGTACGCGCGGCCCCAGCGCCAGGGCACCAGCTTCACTGCTGCCTGCCTGCTCCGCCGCCTCCACCCGAGCCTCCCTGAGCGCTGAGACTCAGTCATGAAAACAAAAAAGCAACCTCCCAGTGTGTGTTCAGTCTCTAAAAAATAAAATAAAATAAAATAAAATAACATTTTAAGTTCCTAGGCCTCTGTCAGGCCTGCACAAGCTTGATGAGGCCTTTATAACCACAGTAGGGGAGTGTAAGGGATCAGATGATTACTGGTTTCTTTCACACTTCAACAAGCTTTTGTTTTGTTTTTTGAGATAGAGTCTCACTCTGTCACCCATGCTAGAGTGCAGTGGCATGATCAAGGCTCATTGTAGTCTCTACCTTCTGGACTCAGGCAATCCTCCTGCCTCAGCCTCCCTAGTAGCTGGGACTACAGGCATGTGTCACCCTACCTGGCTAATTTTTGTGTTTTTGGTAGAGGCCAGGTTTCGCCATGTTAGCCTGGCTAGTCTCAAATTCCTTGCCTCAAGTGGTCTGCCTACCTCGCCCGGCCCCCCAAATGCTGGAATTGCAGACATGAGCCACCGTGCCTGTCCTCAACAAGCTTTTATTGCCACTTTCCAGCATTTGCTTTGTCCACTTAAGTGAGCTAAGCTATGGAGTTCTGCAGTCTGTTCCATTAGCAATTTCTCAATATGCAATAAATTATTATTAACTATAGTTATGCTGTGCAGCAGATCTCTAAACCTTATTCCTCCTGTCTAACTGAAACTTTGCACCATTTGACCAACATTTCCTCATTCCCTCCTGCCACTCAACTGCAGCCTCTGGTAACTGCCTGTCTACTCTCTACCTATGTGGTTTTGACTTTTTTAGATTCCACATAAAAGTGAGATCTTACAGTGTAGGTTGAGTATCCCTTGTCCAAAATGCTTGGGACTAGAAGTGTTTCCGATTTTGGATTTTTTTGGATTTTGGAATATTTGCATATACTTAATGAGATATCTTAGGAATAGGGCCCAAGTCTAACACAGAATTTATCTTTCATTCAGGTTATGTGCATAACCTGAAGGCAATTTTATACAATATTTTAAATAACTTTGTGCATTAAACAAAGTTCATGTACACTGAACCATCAGAAAGTAAGTGTCAGGTGTGGAATTTTCCACTTGTGGCATCATGTGGAATTTTCCACTTGTGGCTCTCACTAAGTTTTGGAGTTTGAAACATTTCAAATTTTGGATTTTCAGATTAGCTTAGAGATGTTCAACCTATATTTGTCTTTTTGTACCTGGCTTATTTCACTTAATATAATGTCTTCCACTTGATATAATGTTAATCCACAGTCTTGCAAAGGACAGAATGATAGAATTTTCTTCTCTTTTAAAGCTAAATAATACTCCATTTGTGTATGTGTGCTACTTCTTTTTTTTTTAAATCCATTCATCCATTAGCAGGCATTTAGGTTGTTTCCTAAGGCGTGGCTATTGTGACTAATGCCTCAGTGAATGTGACAGTACAAATATCTCTTTGACACACTGATTGCAGTTCCTTTGGATATACATCCAGAAGTGGGATTGCTGGATCACATGGTAGTTCAATTTTCAGTTTTTAAGGGATCTCGGCTATAGCTTTATTTTCTTAAAACAAGCAAAAAATCACTTTATAATTAGTTGATTGGCATGATTTTATAATTTGTGAGACTGCAGGCCATAGCCCTTGAAAAAAAGATTAACTGAAAAATACAGAACCTTTTTTTTTTTTTTTACCCTGGGAAATGATCCATATGTTTCTATAAAAATATAACTTCACCGGCCCTTACAAGTTTTTCTTTGTCTTATATCACTCTTCTATTTGCTAGATATATATTTTTTAAGGAATTGGGACTTCAAATAATTCCACTCTTTAAAATTTCCGCTTAATTCTCTTTTAATCTGCATTATGCTTATTCAAAGCCAATTTAGAAGCTTTCTCATCCTCTGTTTACTAGAACGAAGTTACATTCTGAAGTGAGAGTATTTTGGAAATGAGTTGAAGTTTAAGGGCGTAAATATCACTGACATTTTAGTTGGATGGGATTATAGGACTGACTTTTAAAATGGTTGTATCTGTATTTACCACAAGGTCGTACCGGATACCCACTTTTTATCAGGAACTGAAGCACTCCTGTAAGAACATTTTCATTATACTATTATTATTATTATTATTATTATTATTTTGAGATAGTTTTGCTCTGTCCCCCAGGCTGGAGTGCATTGGTGCGATCTTGGCTCACAGCAACTTCCACCTCCTGGGTTCCAGCAATTTTCCTGCCTCAACCTCCCAAGTAGCTGGGATTACAAGCACCTGCTACCATACCCAGCTGATTCTCATATTTTTAGTAGAGATAGGGTTTCACCATGATGGCCAGGCTACTCTTGAACTCCTGACCTCAGTTGATCCACCCACCTTGGCCTCCCAAAGTGCTGAGATTATAGGCGTGAGCCACTACACCCAGCCTCATTAGCTCCTTAAATTAGACAACATTTAAAGCCCCTTGAAGAAAGGTATGCTCATACATTCATATTATTTTTTTGTGCTTGTGAAGGCTCCTGTGTAAAATTCTTAATTATAAATAGGTGCCTAACTTAAGGGTTCCTTTTAATTTTTAATTTGTTTTTGTGTGTTTTTAAAAATTTCTTTTCTGTTCCTTTTTGAAAAATCATTTATTATGATAGCTTTATGATTATTTCTACTTTGTTTTCATACAAGTTCTTCATTATTTCTGCTCTTTCATTATAGGTCATTTCCATATCCGATTTCATTTGCTTACGTATAAAAGTTTTTATGTTTGTTCAAATTACTGTCATCTTGACTTGGGAAGACCTATTTTATTTTATCTTTTTTCCTTTATAATTGAAGTTGAAGAAATACTTGAACAAGCAGACTACCTGTATGAAAGCGGAGAAACAGAAAAACTTTATCAGTTGCTAGCCCAGTACAAGGAAAGGTAAGCAATGTATGATAGGCCTTGGCTTGTGGTTTCCTCTAAACTTTTGTTATTTAACAATTAAAATGACCCTTGGTGCTTGAGGTTTTAAAAATAGATGATTGTAGTTTTTACTTCAAACTATTTCTTAGAGTTTATAATATACTATTTGTTTCTTACATTAAATGTTGCATGTATCTCACTGACTTAGAAAAGATGGTTCTACTTAGTCTAGTGGAATGTTGAAACTTTTTTTTTATTTTTCCATTTTGCTTTAGATCATACAGGATAGTTATTGAATATATATTTACTCCTTCTAGCTATATTGTATATTTCTCATTCCTTTTACAGCAATTTTTTATTGGTATAGATTAAATGAATTCACTGAGATTTAAGATAATTATATGCCACCATTGAATGGTAACTGTGTATCACTTCAGAAGCATAGTCTTTCAGAGAAACCAAAAATACCCCTTTTTCTATTTTTTTTGTATTAGATTGTATATTTAGTGTAGAGTATCAGCGTGCACTCATTTTTGGGAGGAGTATGGAGTGAGAGAAAGACTCAACCCTAGAAAGTAAATCATATGGCCAAATAGCATTTCTAGATCACTAATCTACCTCATCTGCTAAACTAAAAATATTGCGTCATTTTCATCTGCCTTTTTTAGATTTTCAAAACAGTTTTCACCCCAGGACTCATCAGTTTTACTTTCTAGATATCTATAGGATTGATCTTTTCTTACCAATTCTCCCTTCAGTAATTCAAGGTGGCTGGTTTGGCATTTTATTGTCATTTCAGTGATAACTTGAAAAATAAACTATAAGATAGTTACTCCATATTCATTGAATAATAACTATCTTAACTAAACCTTTAGCTTCAAATTTTCATTTTTTGTTAAAAGGCAAACATTTAATAAAAAGGTATTTAATTTTTATAATTATTTCTGTCAGTTGTGGTGGTTAATACTTTATTAACCATTTCTTATGTAATTATATGGAAATGGCAGTTCTTCAAAGCATCCAATGCTCTTACTTGAAATAACCCATGCATCATGGCATGGTATTCAAACATAGGATTTATTTTGAGATTAGATTATATTCAACCATTCATTCATTAGAAAATAATTGTCATATACCTATTGGGTGTCAGAAGATGTATTTGGGACTAGGGATTCAGCAGTTTTGTATTTTTAGAACATGACCCTCTCTATAAAATTTATGTATTTTATGATACTGTATGAACTACTCTGAGTTACTTGAAACACAGTGCCAGTAAGGCCAAGCCTCCAGTTAATAAGTTGAGTTTTGTAGGGCAAGTGTTTAAAGAATTCGAATACAGGCCGGGTGTGGTGGCTCATGCCTGTAATCCAAGTACTTTGGAGGCCAAGGCGGGCAGATGACCTGAGGTCGGGAGTTCAAGACCAGCCTGACCAACTTGGTGAAACCCCGTCTTGAAGAAAAAAAAAAAAAAAGAATTAGAATACAAAGATACTTTTGAAGGAAGTCAGTATTTTAGATACTAGAAGTAAGTTAATACTTATGAATATTAGACATTTTTATAGGAAATTTTAGCGAGTGTTTTGTATGAAAGAAAAAAATACATTTAGGCTTATTAATAATGGCTTTTGATACCATGTTGCTAGCTTCCTAAGCTGAAAGACCATAATGGATTTATTAGTAATGTAACCCTTAACAATTTTTAAATATGAGCTAAAATGGTTGTTTTATATTTTATTTCAAATTAGTGAAGATGCAGAGTTACTGTGGCGTTTGGCACGGGCATCACGTGATGTAGCTCAGCTTAGCAGAACTTCAGAAGAGGAGAAAAAGCTATTGGTGTATGAAGCCCTAGAGTATGCAAAAAGAGCACTAGAAAAAAATGAATCAAATTTTGCAGCTCATAAGGTGAGTTGCTTAACTAGGCTATTACCATGTACTGAGAGGTACATTATTTTATACTTTTCTATTATCTCTAATTTACATAGGAAGAACAATTTCTCTATTTTAAGGTTTTCTTTTTAATTCAGTCTTGTATCTTAAGGTTACTTTCTCTATTTTAAAGAAGTAGGAAATATATTTATTTTTATAAGTTTTTCATAGAAAAGTCTGTTTTCTTAAACCTTTGGTGTAACTTCATTTGTATTTGATAAACTACTTTTGTGAATGCTTATTTTTAAACAAGTTTAGCAATTTCATGAATTACCTATATCTGTATTCTTAGTAGTATAAGTGCTTCACAAATATTTTCTCATTTTCCTCATGTTGTATTTCTGTGTTATTTAGAGATAGAAATATAGCAGCTGAGCAACTGAGGCCTAGAATGACTTCACATGTAACTCCACTGCTTTTAGGATTTCTTGTTGGTTCCGAACATTTTTCAGTAAATTGTATGAGGAGACAAGGAGGTGGTGGTCGTTAGCCTTCTGGATTAGGATTTTTTTTTTTTTTTTTTTTTTTTTTTTGTGTGTGTGCCAGCTGGAGGGCAGTGTTGCAATCTTAGCTCACTGTGGCCTCAATCTCTTGGGCTCAAGAGATCCTCCACCTCATCCTCCTAAGTAGCTAGAACTACAGCATGTGCCACCATCTTCAGCTAATTTTTTGGATTTTTAGTAGAGATGAGGTCTTGCTATGTTTCTGGTGCTCAGGCTGGTCTTGAACTCTGGAGCTCAAGCAGTCCTCCTGCCTTGACCTCCCAAATTGTTGGGATTACAGGTTTGAGCCTGGCCAAGGATTAGCACTTTTTAAAAAAAAATCATGTTTATCTGTCTCCAGTAGAGCTCCAAGTCATATGACAACCAAATTCTATACCAGTATATTTCCAAATGCTCCTTTTAGGAGTTGGTACCCGCCCCCCGCCAAAAAAATACTGCTTATAAAGGATAAAACAGGTACACATTACTTTAAATGTTTACTGAGACTTGTTTTATGGCTCTGAAAATGGTTCATCTTTGTAATTATGTATTCAGCTATTGTTAGGACTGTTCTTATCCCATTCAAGTCAAGTTCGTTGATAGTATTGTTTGAGTTGTCTAATTCCTTACTGATTTTCGTCCGCTTGTTCTATAAATTACTGAGAGAGGAGTAGTATAATCCTCAATTGTAATTGTAGATTTGTTCATTTCTTTTTGTAGTTCTATTAGTTTTTACAGCATGTATTTTAAAGTGCTAGTATTAAGAATATAACATTTAGGATTATATTTTATTGATTAATTGACCTCTCAATCATTGTAAAATCATCTTCATTACCTCTACAAATAGTCTTGTTTTTTTTTGTTGTTGTTGTTGGTTTTTTTGAGACAGAGTCTTTCTCTGATACCCAGGGTGGAGTGCAGTGGTGCAATCTTGGCTCACTGCAACCTCTGCCTCTTGTGTTCAAGCTATTTCTCCTACTTCAGCCTCTGGAGTAGCTGGGATTACAGGTACACACCACCATGCCCAGCTAATTTTTGTATTTTTAGTAGAGGTGGGGTTTCACCACGTTGGCCAGGCTAGTCTCGAACTTCTGACCTCGTGATTTGCCTGCCTGGGCCTCCCAAAGTGCTGGGATTACAGTGGGGCTAACCATTTAGTACATTTAGTGTTGTGTAACCAACACCTCTAATTGCAAAACATTGTCCTCATCCCTAAGAGAATACCCTGTTTCTGTTAAGCAGTCACTTTCCACTCCCTCTTAGCTCAAACTCTGGCAAACATGAATCTCTTGTCTCTATGGCTTTATATATTCTAGGTATTTCATATGAGTGGAATCATATTATAAGAAATTGTTGGACTTCATGGAACCCAAAGGCAGGGTGCAGTTGGGGTTTGGGAGAAAATTGGCTTGATTGCTTCAAGGCTTCATTAATTGTCTCTCCACTCTGCTGTTAATCTGAGTATCTTTTTCATTGCAGACGTTATTTTTTCTCCTTATCCTAAATCTTGGAACTTTCCACAGTATCTGGGTTTATGAAGCGTGGCTATTTTAGATTCATTTCTTGGGGAAGAATCTCGGGTCGTCTCAGTTTGGGTCTACTCTCCAACAGTGGCTGTGGAGACAAGGTCAAAGTTGACACTGTGGCACTTCTTACTGTAACAATGCAATGTGGGAAGAGGTGGGACTCCGAGAAGAGAGAATGAGAACATAAAACAACAATCAATGACATACTCTTCTAAGTTGATATTCAGACTGTAAACATGAACCATTATCTCACTGTGTTGGTAACTTTCTTAGAAAATTGACCACTTTCTACCATGTTACAGTTCTTCATAAACATGTCCTGTCCCTGAGGGTTTTGTTTGTTTTTTTACTCACTCTGTCACTCAGGTTGGAGTACAGTAGCATGATCTTGGCTCAATGCAACCTCCACCTCCCAGATTCAAGTGATTCTCCTGCCGCAGCCTCCCGAGTAGCTGGGATTACAGGCGCATGCCACCATGCCCAGCTAATTTTTGTATTTTTAGTAAAGATGAGGTTTCACCATGTTGGCCAGAGTCTTGAACTCCTGACCTCAGGTGATCCACCCACCTTGGCCTCCCAAAGTGCTGGGATTACAGGTGTGAGCCATTGGGCCCAGCCTTATCCCTGAGTTTCCAGAGGGCCATGTCTATTTTTCTTTATATATTCCATTATTAAATGTAAATAATAAATACATATTTATTTATTTTTTTGAGACGGAGTTTCACTCTTGTTACCCAGGCTGGAGTGCAATGGCGCGATCTCGGCTCACCACAACCTCCGCCTCCTGGATTCAGGCAATTCTTCTGCCTCAGCCTCCTGAGTAGCTGGGATTACAGGCACGTGCCACCATGCCCAGCTAATTTTTTGTATTTTTAGTAGAGACGAGGTTTCACCATGTTGACCAGGATGGTCTCGATCTCTCGACCTCGTGATCCACCCGCCTCGGCCTCCCAAAGTGCTGTGATTACAGGCTTGAGCCACCGCGCCCGGCCAATACATATTTATTATATATTTCATTACATTTGTAAATTACATTTAATACAGTTTTTATGCTCAGTAACTTTTTGCTGGATAAGAATGACTACTGAATAAATATTACACAGTTTTGCCTTGTATTGAATGGAATATTAAGAATATTATTGTTCTTACACTTTTTTTTTTAATTGTCAGTGGTATGCAATCTGCCTTAGTGATGTTGGAGATTATGAAGGCATCAAGGTTAAAATTGCAAATGCATACATTATCAAGGAGCATTTTGAGGTACTGATGAATTATTAAAGTTCATGAATTTTAAAAGTTAAATTTTTCTATATAGATTTTTATTTTCATTATCTATTGTTACATGGTCCAGTGGTCCAGTGTAACAGTCTTTAACACAATTGACACACCGTTCCCTGTAGAAATAATTCTGTTTAAGATTGATAGCTGTGTATGATCATATGTATGTTTTATTAAAAATATTTTCCTGTAAAGTTAATTATAGTAAGCTGTTAGGTGCTAAGAATTCTATAGGAGTCTATGTATTTCTTAACATGTATGAACGTCATTGTCTCAAAAAAAAAAAAAAACTGCCACAAAAAACCCAGCATATTTTTCTTTAGAGATTACAGGAAGAAAAATAATGGGAACATGCATAGGGATAGTGCAGAATGTGCTATTTAGATAGCTTTTCGTAATTGTATGGTTTAGTGTCAATTCCTAGTTAATATAACAACTAGTGAAAAAGAACGCCTGGGTGTCAAGAGACCTAGCTTTTCTTGTGGGCAGCATGGATAGTAATATATACATAATAACTGATATTTTATAATGTAACAATTTACCTGTTTTACAGTTTAAAATCCTTGAAATCAGATTACACTATATAATCACTGGAACCTTACACTGTAATTGGCAGTGATACTTTCTTTCTTAGTGGCATATAAACTAATGGTGTGTCATTTTTGATAGTTTAGATTCAGGGAAATACAGTAATTTTCTTAGTGGCATAAGATAAATCATTTAATTTCTTTGTACCTCAGGATGTAGAAATATATGACATAACTTCCAAAATGAATAATGAAAAACTAGAAAATATACAACTGTATATTTTTCATTTAACAAAAAGACAGTGAAGGCTATAGGTTGTAAAAAACAACGTTTTATATAAGCTTTCAGATGTACAGTTTAAATATATTTTAAATGGCAGTGTTTAGTATTTATGTATTAAAAAGATTATGCTACTTCTATTTTGAATTCCATTATATATCTAAAGTGGTAAGGAATTACCATCTTTGGGTTATTTTTGAAACACCAATGACAGGAAGGATTACAAGAGTTTGCTGGAAAGTACCCCCTTTCAACCCTTACCATAAGAAAACTAAACCTCTGGCCCAGCTGCCCACTTTCTTGAACATATTAGATCTACCTTGATTTTTTTTTTTTAGACAGAGTTTCGCTCTTGTTACCCAGGCTGGAGTGCAATGGTGCGATCTTGGCTCACTGCAACCTCCGCCTCCTGGGTTCAGGCAATTCTCCTGCCTCAGCCTCCTGAGTAGCTGGGATTACAGGCACCCGCCACCATGCCCAGCTAATTTTTTGTGTTTTTAGTAGAGACGAGGTTTCACCATGTTGACCAGGATGGTCTCGATCTGTTGACCTCGTGATCCACCCGCCTCGGCCTCCCAAAGTGCTGGGGTTAACAGGCTTGAGCCACCGCGCCTGGCTACCCTGATTTTTTTAAAAAAATACCCATCTCCAACTAAGACACAGTTTCCTGGAAATAAAGCTCTACTCTACAAAAAAGATGAAGATGGCTTAAGGGAAAAGATCTCTTCTCCAGGAAGCTAAAAAATAGGAATTACCAAAGAAAACACCTTCTTGGCCTGACAGAGACCATTGGTGGGGCTGGCAAGAATCTGAATTTGGAATTTACATCCATTGGGTCTTAGGTCTTCTCCTTCCTTCCTCTGTGTCTTTCAAATGACTTTGAAAATAAAACCTTATTTTGGCAAAGGCAAAAAAAAAGAAAATTAAACCCTAAGGCCCCAAGGCATCCATTGTGATGAATTAAATTCCTTCCTATGCATCTAAAATGATATGGCAGTATCTCTGTATCATTCTTAGGAAAATGGAAAAAATAGTTACTTATATAATTTTTTGTAGGGCTTAATTTTTAGTGGAACTTCAACTGGGAAAGGTTGCTTAAAATTGCATATAAACATGTTAAAATACTTGTTTAATTTTTACCACAACCTTATGAGTTAAGTAAGTATTTGACTTTTCTGTAAAAGAGAGAAAACTTAGTTGTGGCAAAAATACAGATTTTACAACCCATTCAAGGTCACTGACCTGTGACTTCAATCCTGGCAGTCTGGCTTCAGAGACCATGTTCTTATAACCATTGTAAACATTTGAAAATGTATACCTCACACATGACTAAACTGAAAGCAAAAATGTGGTTTTATAGAAAAGCATAAACTAGAAATCTTAATTTTTTTAAAAAAGAGTCTTTTAATATGATCAGCATTAATCTATAAGATTTCTTTAGTAGTTTTCAATGAAATAATGGATAAAAGGGAGAACAGTTTCTTTAAAGTTATTCTTAGTTTATGCTTTACACTAATTCACATAGTAAGTAGAAATTAGGGAGATTCTTTCAAGATATTTTACATTGTACATAATTATTCTATTAATATTCTTTTTTTCTTTTTTGAGATGGATTTTTTGCTCGTTACCCAGGCTGGAGTGCAACGGCGCGATCTTGGCTCACTGCAACCTCTGCCTCCCGGGTTCAAGCGATTCTCCTGCCTCAGCCTCCCGAGTAGCTGGGATTAAAGGCATGTGCCACCATGCCTGGGTAATTTTGTATTTTTAGTAGAGACGGGGTTTCTCCATGTTGGTCAGGCTGGTCTCAAACTCCCGACCTCAGGTGATTGGCCTGCCTCGGCCTCCCAAAGTGCTGGGATTACAGGCATAAGCCATTGTGCACGGCCTGCTATTAGTATTCTATGAAGTGTTTTTTTTTTTCCCTTTGGTAAGTGCAAATGAGGAATTTGAACAAAATCTACATAAAGAAGACTTTCTGGGCCGGGCGCGGTGGCTCAAGCCTGTAATCCCAGCACTTTGGGAGGCCGAGGCGGGTGGATCACGAGGTCGAGAGATCAAGACCATCCTGGTCAACATGGTGAAACCCCGTCTCTACTAAAAATACAAAAAATTAGCTGGGCATGGTGGCGTGTGCCTGTAATCCCAGCTACTCAGGAGGCTGAGGCAGGAGAATTGCCTGAACCCAGGAGGCGGAGGTTGCGGTGAGCCGAGATCGTGCCATTGCACTCCAGCCTGGGTAACAAGAGCGAAACTCCGTCTCAAAAAACAAAAAGACTTTCTAAAAATGGAAAGAAAAGACTTCCAAAAAAGAAGAGACTTTTTAAAATTCGTTTTTTTCTGAAAACTAAAATGCACGTTTAATTCTTTTTTAGGAAAGAATGACTTTTATTCCGTATTCATCTACAGGTTGCCAAGAAAGCACTTTCTTACTCATTTTTCTTTTAATCTGGAAGATACATTAAGAACTACAGATTAATTTGCAAAATTAATTCATGTATTTCATGTTTCTTCTCATCTTGACACTTACTATAAATGTCTGAACCTTATGAAATAGTAACCTTAATACAAGTCATTAATAGTGTATTGAAATGAATTTAATCAAACAATCAGGAGGAAGAAAGTTGTTATTAATTAGAAAAATTGAAACACAGGATTGCGATTTTTTAAAAATCATGGCTTTTTCAGCAAACACTGTAAAGCACTTATTGGTGTTTAGAAAACAAATACGATTATTTGTTTTTTTCATTTCTTGTTAGAAAGCAATTGAACTGAACCCTAAAGATGCTACTTCAATTCACCTTATGGGTATTTGGTAAGAAAATTTCTTTAAATTAATATTTCAGTAGTAGTTAGTGTGATATTATTTTGTAGAATATATAAATATTTCCTTTTGCATATATAAAAAAATTAAATATTTTAACCTAGTAGCTGACGGAATTTAGAGTGTCAAATCCATTAACTAGCACTGTAAATGTATTGCTAGAATACACTAAATTTGATTGTGACCATGTTAAACGTTGTTATTCAGTCATTTAGAAACATATACAGACTGAAAGGACTATTCTTACTTACCATGCTAAATGAAATTAGATAAGTGTTAACTATAGTAATACAGTAGAGTGCCCCAAGAGGGTCTTTGTATCTTCAAAGTGTGTCAGTCTTGATTAATCCGAGGAAGCATATAATCTGATTTTCAGTATCTTTCTACTTTTATGTGAATTTATGTCTCCTGTAGATTATTATTTTATTGGTATGAGGGTTTATCAAAGTGTTATGTACTGTTTTGAGTATAGTCTGCAAAGCTAAATCTTTACTGCCATCTAAGAAAGGTACCAGTATAAACTGTCCTGTATCAAACTCTTATAAAAGAGAAATAAATATATTCTTCAGGTAAAGGACATATTAAACTAACACTCACTCACTGAGAATCAGTGATAATTGAGGGGCAGCCACTAAGTCAGATGCTAGTAAGCAAACCTAAATGAAATAGCAATTTCTGCTCTGAGGACTTCAGACCCTAGTAAAAGATCTAACACTTTTTTCCTACTTATTTTTGAAAGTTGTAAAGATCTTTGGAGGTTAGTCATTTGCCTTGCCCCTTTAAAAATGGACTTAAGTTGGTTGCTGTTACTTATAAATTTGATGTTTAGTTTTGTTATTTTTCTTGGGTAAGGTTTTTTAACTTCTCAGAGATTTTCTTATATAAAAAATAGGGTAAATGATCCTATCTCATATATAATTGTTAAAAGAAGTAAGTGACAGAATAATCAGCCCAGTACCTGGCACACTGCACTCAGTGGTAGATGTATATTATATTACTGTTATTAGTATGGCTGTTTATTATTTATATTAATCACAAAATACACCCCCCCCCCCCCCCACCGAAGCTAATGGATAAGTATGTCAGTCTCTGGATTACCTAGTAGCTATCATGTAAAGTACAAGCTGTTTAAACATACAGTAGAAGATTCCTTTTATAATATTAAGATGCTTACCTTTAAGAGAAAAGAAGGTACAATTTGAATGTATAAAATTTTTTTATTTCTCTGTAGGTGCTATACATTTGCTGAAATGCCTTGGTATCAAAGAAGAATTGCTAAAATGCTGTTTGCATCTCCTCCTAGTTCCACCTATGAGGAGGTAGTATGATGTCCTTTGTTAAGTCAGTACCAATTTCTTAACCACAGTGCCATTCTACAGTGTTCACACATGTGGAGCTCTGATTCAGTGAGGGACTTGAGCAGTTTCTAATGATCCAATTCAACTATGTTATCACAAGGCTAAAAACTTATTATCCATGACTGGTGAGTTCTTTTTACCCCTTTAAGGTGAGTGGCTGGTAATTCTGGAATACTGTCATGTAAGATGGCTCATGGCTAAAATCTACCTTCATTTTCTGTTTGAAATCTAAACCATATTGAAGTCATAAAATAGAACAAGAAATACAGCAACTATTACCCAGCATGTTTTAGGTATATTATACACAGTAACAGTCAGTTAGAAAAAGCGCATGCTAAATTAGCTGGGCATGGCAGCATGTACCTGTAGTCCCAGCTACTCGGGAGGCTGAGGCAGGAGAATTGCTTGAACCTGGGAGGTGGAGGCTGCAGTGAGCAGATACCGCACCACTGCACTCCAGCCTGGCACCTGGCAACGGAGCAAGACTCTGTCTCCAAAAAAAAAAAAGAAAAAGAAAAAAAATGCATGTTTGAGTTGATAAAAGAACACTCATTATAACTTTTATTTTAAAAAGCATATAAAAGGTTTATATTCTCTCATATTTTCAAGGCCTTTTGCTTTTCCTGTTAAAAATAAAATTTTAGAGTTTTCTGGTTAAACTTTGGGTTTACTCATCACAAGCTTTTCAGAGTAAGAAAACAGGCAATCAAAAAGCTGTACTTGTATTAGTTACATTATAGCAAGGAGCTTTTTTATTCTTTCTGGAGGCTATAGTGTGAAAATTGATGTAAAGAATACTAAGTTGTATTCTTTACACACAGTTGAGAAATATTATTATTAATATTATTATTTTTGAGACAGAGTCTCACTCTGTCACCCAGGCTGGAATGCAGTGGCACGATTGCTGCTCACTGCAACCTCCGCCTCCCAGGTTCAAGCGATTCTCTTGCCTCAGCCTCCTGAGTAGCTAGGATTACAGGCGCGTGCCACCACGCCCAGCTAATTTTTGTATTTTTAGTAGAGACGAGGTTTCAACACATTGGCCAGGCTGGTCTCGAACTCCTGACCTCGTGATCCACCCACCTCGGCCTCCCAAAGTGCTGGGATTATAGGCGTGAGCCACCACACCCGGTGTAAATATTAATGCATTTTCTGGGTACAGTAGCTCACACCTGTAATGCCAGTACTTTGGGAGGCCAAGACAGGTGGATCAGTTGAGCCCAGGGGTTCAAGACCAGCCTGGGCAACGTTGCAAAACCTCTACCAAAAAATACAAAAATTAGCAGGGTGTGGTGGCCTGTGCCTGTACTCCCAGCTACTCAGCTGGGCTGAGGGAGAAGGATCACTTGAGCCTGGGAGGTCAAGGCTGCAGTAAGCAGTGATTGCACCACAGCATTCCAGCCTAGACAACAGAGGGAGACCCTGTCTTTAAAAAAAAAAAAAAATCATTCATTCTAGGGACAAAAAATATAGTCAGCTTTACTGTGTTACATTAGTTACATTTCCTAGAAATCACGTCATTAGAGCTTGCATTACAAAAACAGTAGCTTAAGCAGGACAAAAAGAATTAGAGAGTTTCAGACTCACAATAACATTATATGTAGGAATTTCAATAATAATAGACTCTTAAAAATTCACTAGTATAACCTGAATAAATTCAGCTTTTTTTTTTTTTTTTTTTTTTTTTTTTTTTTGAGACGGAGTTTCACTCTTGTTACCCAGGCTGGAGTGCAATGGCGCGATCTCGGCTCACCGCAACCTCCGCCTCCTGGGTTCAGGCAATTCTCCTGCCTCAGCCTCCCTAGTAGCTGGGACTACAGGCATGTGCCACCATGCCCAGCTAATTTTTGTATTCTTAGTAGAGACGGGGTTTCACCATGTTGACCAGGATGGTCTCGATCTCTTGACCTCGTGATCCACCCGCCTCGGCCTCCCAAAGTGCTGGGATTACAGGCGTGAGCCACAGCGCCCGGCCTAAATTCAGCTTTTGATTACATTTAGTTTTTACTAAAAGTCACTCGTTATAATTTAAGAGAACTGTCAAAATAGCTGAGTTACATGTGATAATGTTCTTTCCTTTCTGCACTTGATGTTACTTTGGTACAAGTTCTTTTAATTTATTTATTTAATTTAATTTATTTATTTTTAGATGGGATTTCACCATGATGGCCAGGCTGGTCTTGAACTCCTGACCTCAGGTGATCCACCCACCTTGGCCTCCCAAAGTGCTAGGATTACAGGTGTGAGCCACCGGGCCTAGCCATGGTACAAGTTCTAAACGGCAACCAAGTTACTCAAGTGGTCCATATATTGTTACCTTAATGATGATTTAAGTGTTACATTCAGTTTGGGTGTTAGCTCTCACTGTTGGAGAACTGACCATTATTTTAAGATGATTTACTTCCTGACTTAAATTTAATATAGGAATAGATCTTTGAGACAATGCTTTTTAAATATCATCTGTTTTAATCTTTTTTATTATGTTTGGGCTCTTTGTGTTTCTGACAGGCCTTAGTCTACTTTCACAGGGCAGAACAAGGTAAGGTATTTTTTGTTACACATATTAATATAGTTAAAATGTATGAATGCTGAATATATACTATAGTAGCAATTCTAAAGGAAAGATGCTTATTCTGTTATTTTGGTTTTTGGTGCTAGATATTATAAAACAATTTTTAAAGTCTTTATTCAGTAAAGATATACTGAATGAGAAACAGGCTGCTACCGAACTGTAGTTTAGAGCTGCAGTTCTGGAATGTCCTTAATTTGATGTAATTCAGCCTTCCTTTGTGAGAGGAGTCTCTGACATGGTATTCGTCTTATTCAAGACTAAGTCTCTGACATGGTGATTGTCATATTCAGGACTGTACATATTGGCCAGTTGTGGTGGCTCACACCTGTAATCCCAGCACTTTGGGAGGCTAAGGCAGGAAAATCACTTACAGGAGTTTGAGACCAGCCTGGGCAACATAGCAAGACCTCATCTCTGCCAAAAAAATAAAAATTAGCCAGGTGTGGTAGCTTACACCTGTAGTCCTAGCTATTGAGAAGGCTGGGGCAGGAAGATCACTCGAAACTAGGAGTTCCAGACTACAGTGAGCTTTGATTGTGCCACTGCACTATAGACTGGGCCAGAGTGAGACTTGTCTGAAAAAAAGAAAAGATTATGCATCTCAGTAGAGGCATTTCGTAGGAATTCTGCTATTTAGCCAGGCTAGTTCTATTGCAGATATTGTGAAAAAGTTTCAGGTTATGCTTGTTTTGAAAAAATGACTAGTCCTTTAAAACTGTCACCAGCCCATCCTAAATTTATCCTTTTTAATATTCGTACACTAAGGAGGGGATAAGAGACGTAAATATGTTACCAAATACACTATAAAAACCATTTAAATGTATTTTATAAAACTTAGAAGAAAATTAAGATACCATGTTTATCAAATTTGAGATCCCACACATAATGAACTTGTTCAGATGCTTTTATGATAACAGTTTTCTTAAAAACATATCCTCTACAGAATTTTATCAGTGTTACATTATCTCTGTAATTTATCAATTATGATTTATTCATTATTACCTTCTATTGATACCCTCTTGTAATCATACTGTTTCACATATTATGAATATGAATCTAGGAATGACCTTTTTATTTTTAAAAGGGACTTAAAAGTTAATTACAAAGTAAAAATAAAGGGCCTTAGAGACTTAAGGGTTGGGGGTGTTGAGAAAAACATGGTCCTGGCCTCATGGAGCTACGATCATCATCGGTAACTTCATTCTTCAGTGGTCTGACCTTAATTTCTTTCTGTTCCATATTTAGTTCAGAAACACCTCCTATAACCGTAGTATCTTTTATTTTTCCAATGAGACTTAACACTTAATACTATGAAAATTTACATGTCTAAGACTAAATTCAGAGAAGATGGGGACTCTGTCTTTTCGGCTCACAGTTGCACCCTCATTACTTGGCACAATGCTTGGCAAATTTGTTGAATGACTTGAGTAATTAGATGAATGATTGGATGAATGAATATAAGAATATATTTAACCCCAGGATAGCCTAAGTATATCGACATAGCATCACACAAATCTGCTCAAATAAAAGAAGTAAAACAATTTTAGGTAAGGAGCAAATGGAGTTAATCATTAATCGTATACAGGAAAAAGTATGCCTTGAATCCAGAGGATCTCAGATTGTTAGGAGGAAACTGTGAAGCATTAAGTGGGTGAGATAGTTCCATGCTTTCATTCATGGTCTCCATTTTTTTTTTTTTTTTTTTGGTTTCTCATAGCACTTCAAAGTTTGTATATCTAGTAAAGCATTCCTATATTACATTTAGTTGTGTTCATGTTTCTCCTTCTCATTATAAAGTTGAAAACAGCAGAGGTTTTGTTTCATTCTCTATGCTTAAGTATAGCTGACATCCAGTAAATGTTGATCAAATGTGTATATATCGTCATCATGATTTCATTCCCTTATTCAGCAGATATATACTGAATGTATGTTATGTTTCACACACTGTTGTAGGCACTTGGGGTACAGTAGGGAACTAAAGAGATTAAAAAGAATATCGCTATCCTCAAATAGCATACATTCTATCAGGAGCTTTAGCTTCTCATCTATAAAATGGAGATATCCACATATAAAATTGTGAAAATGAGAAATGTGTATAATACAGTAATACAGTGCCTGGCATATTTGTAGATATTCTTTAAATGGTAATTATTTCATAAATATTTGAGATATAAACAGTTGAACAAAAGAGAATTCCCATTAGTCTCATCACTTATTGACCACACAAATTTATTGAAATTTAGACCCCAGAATCAAACCTTTAAAAATAAAAGCAATACTCTTTCATCTGAGATAATTTAATTTTTTCTTTCCTATGTGCAGTAGACCCAAACTTCTACAGCAAAAACTTACTTCTCTTAGGAAAGACATACTTGAAACTACACAACAAAAAGCTTGCTGCTCTCTGGCTAACGAAAGCCAGGGACTATCCAGCACACACAGAAGAGGATAAACAGGTAAAACATCTCCCATAAAGTAAGGCAGAAAGGTTTTGAGGCACTATTAAATGGTGTATTAAGAACGTCTTTAAAAGTATAATTTTCTAAATGCATAATATTGCTGAAAACAAGTGTGTTCATTTCAAGTGTAAATTCGTTGGCATTTATATTTCTACATAGGAAATGTTTAGTTACCATAATCAAGCAGATGTTATGGGTTGCCTGCTATAATACAGAATTATTCCTATTTGACACACATGGCAGATTAAGATTTCTAAAACATGAAAGTATATACTAAACTGGAAGAGCTGAGAGTCTCATCTGGTCACTGTCAAGAAATTTTATTGTTATAATGTCCTATCTGGTTTTTGGAAACTCTTAGAAACTTAAATTTATAACATGTATTTTTCCATTTTAGATACAGACGGAAGCTGCTCAGTTGCTTACAAGTTTCAGTGACAAGAATTGAGAACTTTTCAGAGAAGATGTATGAAATAGCTAATAAGCACTGCCTTTTCGTTGAATTATAAAGTTCACATATGAAGCATAACTGTTCTATGGCTTTTGAAATGTTGTGACCATTTAACAGTATAAATATAAAAAATTCTAGGTTTCTTCACAAATAATAAGGTAAGAGAAATAATTGCTGTAAGAGTGGTAGAACTCAATCTCCATGGCTCAGGCAGAGAGATTATTTTGCATCTTGGATACCAGCAATGCAAAACAATATGAGATTTCTAAGGATTGATCACATTGGGATGGGAGATCAAGCAAAGAAAGCTTTGTAGAGGAAGGGAAATAGATCTATAGGGGATATACAGGGGGATGGATTGTCAAGTTGGACTGATTCTAAGTTGAGATCTTGCAGAGAAGTTGTGAAAGAGTTAGGATGTTGTGGGTTATTGGCATAAAGTAGTAAAATGGCATAAAAATATATGTAATTGGAGCTAACCTGTATAAAGAAAGAACTAAGTCAAGAGAAGACTGAAAATGGAGTGGTTTTCTTTTTTCTTTTTATTTTTTTAAGACATAGTCTCACTCTGTCACCCAGGCTGGAGTTGAGTGGTGCAGTCTCGGCCCACTGCAGCCTCTGCCTCACGGGTTCAAGTGATTCTCCTGCCTTAGCCTCCTGAGTGGCTGGGATTATAGGGTTGCCCCACCAGACCTGGCTAACTTTCGTATTTTTGGTACAGATGGGGTTTTGCTATGTTGGCCAGGCTGGTCTCGAAATCCTGGCCTCAAGTGATCCACCTACCTCGGCCTCCCAAAGTGCTGGGATTATAGGCATGAGCCACTGCGCCACTGCGCCCAGCCAGTTTCCTTTTTTAAATATAGTGTAGTCTCATGATAGATTGAATTCGTCATCAGAGAAAGTCAAAGTTCCATCCCCTAATGGAATGGAAGGAACACAAAACTTAAGAGTGAAATGGAATACTAAGATGTTTTTAAAAGGCAGGACTGTTCTACTCACTTGAGGCTGGAGTGGCACCACTGCAGATCTTTAAGTTTTGTAAGAAGGAGTATCTTGAATGCCACTTAGATAAAGAGAGACTGTGTGTGTAGGTGGATTTTTCCCAAGGTATTTGGGAATTGTAATGTTACAATGAACTGTATGGGTATGTACCGTTTATCATGTACATTTTCAAACAAAAAGGAAAACTGAGAGTAGTGATTTTTGTACACCTATCTCTTAGATTCAACAATTTTGCTGTACAGGTTGTGTATCCCTTATCTGAAATGCTTGGACTAGAAGCATTTTGGATTTGGGATTTTTTTCAAATTTTGGATTATCTGCATACACACAATAAGATATCTTAGAGGTGGTGGGACCCAAGTTTAAATTTTTTTTTTTTTTTTTTTTTTTGCTGGCAGCGGTCTTTCCCGTGACCTCACGTGCGGGGAGTTGTTATTCGACCATTTGCAGAGTCTCACTTGGAAGTGATGTTTACATTCGTAGCCGAGGATTTTTTCTCAATATAGCAATAGCCACTCAGACATAGCACTAAGGCAGATGAGCCAGCCAACCCTGGGAAAAGTTGGATCTCACCTAGTAAGAAATACAAGTGTACTGCGTGCAGTGGGCATGACCCTTGACGCTTCCACGTGATATTATGGGCTCAGATGTTGAAACATTGTTTCATGTGCCTTCACAATCAGTCCTGTGAGCCAGAAGTTGGCCCCACAGTTTCCATTCCCATGTTGAAGAGCTCAAGTGACTTGTCCAAAGTCACATGACTAGTGAAGGGCGGAGCCAGGACCAGGACTGATGGTCTCTAATTCCCATCGGTGCCACCTGTCCTCACCCTGCTGCAGCCCCAGGGTGACTCCAGATAATTCACTTGTTTCATATACACCTTATGCACATAGTCTGAAGGTAACCTTAGACAATATTATTTTTAATAACTTTGTGCATTGAGACAAAGTTTGTATACATTGAACCATCAGAAAGCAAAGGTGTTACCTCAGCCACCCATGTGGGCAATTTGTGGTGGTTTGATGTCACCATCATTCCTGTGCTACCAATAAGCAGTCATTTTCTTATGCTTATTCATGCATAAATACTTGACAGTAAAAAAATATGACATAACTTGCATGGGAACAAGGATGGTTAAAAAAACATGACATAGCATTGATACAGTGAAAAAATAATGTGGTCAGGTTAGCTAAGCAACAGTGGCATCACCAGAAACTTGCATTAACTGTTAAACGGCAACAACAAACAATGGCAGGCTCTCAGTCTCCACTTAAGAGGCTATCTTTTAGCTTTGTAGGTGAGGAGAAACAGAAGCAGTTTAAGGGTCAGGAAGTGGGTCTTTCTAGGGATGTGGTGGCATTCTGCTGGGTGGCTTTTTAAAATGGTTTTTTTTTCTTTAGGGAGACAGAATAAACTGTTATGCACCTGTGTTTTGACTGACGTGTTACATCAGGCCAGATGTGGAATTTTCTACTTGTAGCATCATTTTGACACTCAGGAAGTTTTGGATTATGGAGCATCAGATTTTTGTATTCAGGGATGTTCAACCTGTATTTATATATACATGTGTGTGTGTGTGTACAGACACATACATTATTAAACCTTTTGAAATTCGTTGCAAGTATCATAATAGTTCACCCCTAAATGTTCACATCCATTTTCTCAGAATAAAGACATCTTCCTAAATAAAAAGCATTATCATAACTAGAAAAGTTAACAGTAATCTAACATCATCTAATATCTACCCATATTCAAATTTTCTCAAATGTCCCAAAATGTCTCATGCTTTTTAAAATCAGGATCCAGAGATTATACATTACATTTGATTTGTTGCTAATCTTTCAATCTAAAACAGTTCCCCATCTTTTTCTTCTTGGAACATTGACTTTCTGAAGAGGCCAGTTCAGTTGTCATAGATTGTCTCATTCCAGATTGGCCTAGCTGACCATACTTTGAGACCTGCTGTTCCATCTTATTTCCAGGACTCAAATTAGTTCTATTAGATCTTTGCCTGACTTTCATATTTATCACTTACCAATTGTTCTTTTAGACTTTTTGTTTCATTTTCTTGGCTCTTTTCATCTATATTTTCCATGTCCTGTAATTTACCTTTGGTTGAATCTATTCTTAAATACTTTATAATTGCCTTCACTTCTGAGATGTGTTTATCTCTTTTTCCAAATTTTTTTCCTGATTTTACCCAGTCATTCATGTCTGCATTTTGTTTGTCTAGTTCTGAGTTTTTAAGTTGGTATTTTGGATTTTTTTCATATCTAATTATTTAATTCACATATTAAAGTTTACTCTCTTCTTTCTCATTTTCAATTTTCTCTTTAGAGTGACTTTATTTTTTTCCCCTAGGAATGTAATTTTATGTTGAATTACCAGCAATACTAAGTCATCAAATGGGAAGAGGGAAAGGATCTGGGTTAGTTCAAGAATACTTTTTGCTAAGTTTTTATTTTTGTGAGATCAGATATCCATAATAAAGCTTTTTATGGAGGTGAGGTTTTAACTCCTGATTCCTTAAGAGAACTTTAAAAAATATTTTAACTTTCAAATAATTATAGATTCACAAATTGGAAAAAAAAAAAAAAAATCAGAGGTCCTGTGTACCTTTCTGTCAGCCTCTCCCAGTGCTAAGATCTCATATAACCATAGTACAATAGCAAAACCCAGAAACTGACATTGATACAGGCCACAGACCTTATTTAGATTTTACCACTTTTAAATGCTCTTAACTTGTGTATATAATTGTATGCAATTCTATCACATGTAGATTTTTGGTAACTTGCCACCATAATCAAGATACGGACCTGCTTCATCATCGCAAAGATCCCTAGTGCTCTTCCTTTATGTTCACACCCATCTACCTCCTCTCCCCCACCCCCTAACTCTAGCAAACACTAATCTCTTCTCCATGATTTTATTTCAACAATTTTATACAAATGGAATCAATCATACAGTGAGACCCTGACATTCTTTTTTCACTCAGCATAATTCCCTTGAGACCTAAATTCTATCAATAGTTTGTTCCTTTTTAGAGTTGACTAGTGTTTCATTGTATGGGCATACCGTACATGGAGGGGCATTTAAGTTATTCCTGATAACTGGTTATTACAGATAAAGCTGCTATAGGCATTATATGAAGGTTTTTATGTCTACTTAAGTTTTATCTCTCTGGGATACATGCCCAGGAGTGTGGCTGTTGGGTCCTTTTATCTTCATTTTTTCCCCCCTTTACTCTCTGAGGGTTAGTTTCTTCTGCAAGACATGGTGCCTTCCCAAGATTCTGATTCTGTGCACTAAGTCTCTTCCATTTGACTTCCCAGGAGCCTGATTCCCCACATGTCACATTGGTTCTTGACATTTCCCCTCCAAGGGTGAGACTCTACTGAGAATGAACCCCAGGAATCCCTTACATTCTCCTTCCTGTACAGTCCCCACCTGATTCTGTTCTTGTGTGCATTCCAGAGCTGACTGCTGGATTGAGATGCTTATTTTTCCACATATATGTATACAGAAGTTGGTAATACTGTCTTCTAAGATACTACATAAGTAGGCCATATCTCTCCCTTATAGAGGTTTCCTTCCTTCCTTTTGAGCATGTGAAAAGAATGCTGAATTTGGAAAATGGCCATGATCCTATAAGAACCTAAAAGCTCTCAATTTCTTGATGGCAAAGATAACTGAGTTTTAAATTAGGGGCTGTGTACTAGCTGTGGATGTTGTAAAAATGACTTCTCTCATACTATCCTTATCTATAAAATAAGCATCATTAAAGAAAGAAACAACCCACCAATTTCATGGAGTTGTAAGGAATAAGAGATTAATTTATGTAAAGGATTTGCCACGAGATAACTGCTATTATCTCTGATTTTGTTCTTGGTTGAGAATTGAGGAGAGAAATTTTGGAATTTAGGAGATGTCACTTTTGGACTTGGATCAAATCCCCAGTTGACCTAAAGTTTGGCTTTTAAGGTCAACTAATTAAGTGTTGTTACAGGAGAACTGTTGTTTGTGTTATTTCAAAAAAGGAAGATTTTACTTATGCAACATCCACCAAGTCTTTTTAGGTTCAAGCAAACAAACACTGAGACTTAACAAGCCTACAGTAGGCTATAATTGGCACCACTTTACTCAGAAGGCTATAGGACAGGAACCACAGCTTGCCAGCAGGGCAATTTTGAACCTCCTTTCAGAAGACGGGTTCCCAGTAGCAGTCTATGCAACGGTATCTCCCAGGAGATGACAGTCTCCTAGGACTATCATCTCCCCAGGTAACAGCTCAGGGTGCTCTTTAAAGGACACCCAGCATAGGAGTTTTCCACTCAGGTATGCCCAGAGCTATGGTTTTCTATCATGTATCTGGATATTCCCCAGTCCAGATGTAACTTACCAGTCAGGGGCCATGTTTACCAGAAGCAAAGTTGCCTGGCAATACAGCTGACACATACCAATCCTCCTATTTAGTTTTCAGGGTAGGAAGAGCTAGATAGTTAACAGAAGTCATCAGGGGAAAAGATTTTGTTAACCTTTTCATTTTCAATTACTTGGGAAGTACAGGGGGAAAATACCCCAAAACACGGGTAAGCTACCTTCCCTGGAAGACAAACAGTTAAATTGATCTAATAGAATGGTGTTGGGCCTGTGATACATTCCCTGGGCCATTTACTGGTGGTGGGGGCAGGGGAGCCACCAAAATGAAGTAGCAATATAAACCTGTCTCTGAGCCTCCCTCTCTTGTCTGTTTCCTCATGAACTGTGTTTTAGGCACAGAGAATCTTGCACTTTTAATTTCTTTCTAGTTGATCCAGCACAGAACAGGAATGGGAAGGGAGAAGAGAGAAGGTGAGTGGGGAACCATTATTTCTACAGTTTTTCTGACTGCTACTAGGTAGATAAATCAAGACAGCTCTGCCTATAGGTCTTGGATATCTATAATTGGGTGTGAAAACTGGATGATCCTGATGAATTCTCCAAAATAAAGCTGGTTTGGTTTCTTGTAAAGAAAACTGTGTAGCCTCACCTGGTGAATCTAAATTTCTTGAGGAGAGAGACCAGTACCCCGAAAACCAACTGGAAAGCCACCTTCTTAAGTCAAATCTGCTAAATCATACCTCCTGTGAATGATAGTCAAAAACTTCTGTCATAGTAAAACTTATACAGCAGTGGTACCATTTGTAATCCTAGTACTTAATTTTTTTTTTTTTTTTTTTTTTTTGAGACGGAGTTCCGCTCTTGTTTCCCAGGCTGGAGTGCAATGGCGCGATCTCGGCTCACCGCAACCTCCGCCTCCTGGGTTCAAGCAATTCTCCTGCCTCAGCCTCCTGAGTAGCTGGGATTACAGGCATGCGCCACCATGCCCAGCTAATTTTTTGTATTTTTAGTAGAGACGGGGTTTCACCATGTTGACCAGGATGGTCTCGAATTCTCGACCTCGTGATCCACCCGCCTCGGCCTCCCAAAGTGCTGGGATTACAGGCTTGAGCCACCACGCCCGGCCCCTAGTACTTAATTTTTTTAATGGCATAATTAAGGCAGTCCTTTTTCAAGATCAGTTAACTCTCTTAAGCTGTCTTATACATTAGAATTTTTGAATTGTTTAGGCTCGAAAATAACCAGAGTGTCCACAATTCGGATTTGGAAAAGGAGTCTATTCACCAAGCAGTTTACTGCCTTTCTTTCACCTTTACTATGAATTCTGAATAAAATACAGAACACACTCTCAATATGTAGAAAAATAAAATTTTGGCAAAACAACACTGTTTATGGAAGTTAAAATGTATACTGGTTTTCTTCTGTATATACTTAGCAGTGATATATTTATAGGCAACACATTCTAAGAAGTCAGTTCCATGGCTATAAAAAATGCTTAAGTTAATGAAATTCACAGTGCATATTAAAAGCATGATACAAATGGAAATTTGAAATTTTGTATTAGGAAGCCCAGTTTGCTAAAAATGGCACTAATATTAACATCAGATTTTAATTTGTTAAACATTTTTCTAACTCAGCAAAGGCTTTATGATGAAAAACAATGAAAAAGTGTTACTTAGGACAAAAATAATTACCTATATAAATAGGGGGAGACCCAAAAGATTTTTATATGCTTATTTAATTCAGATAAATAGAGCTGTTACGAATTTGAGAGGAATGAAGATATTCAAACACTAACAGAAAATCATTAGCCTCATATTTGTTAGAGCATTCAAATGTTTATGTAACTCTTCAATCCATCTGGCTTTATAAAACCAAAACTTTGAACACAAAAAACGTGGCAGAGTTCACATTACCTTTTATATGTTCCTAAGTATGAAACTGCATCAGTTTATTAGGAATTAAATTTTGAAGAACACAGATTTTAAAACAAAGTACAAAAGTGCCTGATTCTTTTTAATTCCACAAATACCTAGCATCCCAAAGTAACATGTAAACAGACTTCTGTGCTGCTCAATGAATCCTTCCAATTTCGATAATAAACTAAATAGTATCAGATCTAGTATATGAGTTTCATGTGTAAGTCACGGTTTTATCCATTGTTTTGACAATATTATGTAATAGGGAAAAAATTTTCAACTATTGTATTTATTTAAAACAATCTGACAGGTTCAAGCACCTATCTTCAGAAAAGCCAGCAGCATTTTTTTTTTTTTTAAACATATTCAAAGTAAGATTTGGCCTAAGCCCTTAATACCTTCCTGAATAGCCATGCAACTAAACACCCTCAGGAGATGTTACGTAAAGGAGAGAAGAACATGGAGCAATTTGCACTTTTTCCCCTAGATAATATTAACAAGATAAAGCAAATCCAGATCTTTGTGAATGAACGGCTGTCATGTTTAATACACTTGGAGCTCTATAAAACTAGAGCCACTATCGTATATGCTTATATAGATATATAACGTATTTTTAATAAAGTCACTTGCTTCAGAACTTAAGGATGATCTTTTTCCTGGTCAGTCATTTCAAGGGAACAATAAATAAAGTAGAAAAGGATGAACTGTTTTGCATATTTCTGTGGAAGAACGGAAAACATACTTTTGAGAGGTTTGAAAAATTCACTGTACAGAATGAACAGCTTATATACACTATCTGTGCAATTTTTCTTGGCTGGGGTATTTAAATGCAAGAGCTCCTCCAAAATAAGAAGCCACATTCATTCTTGTCCAAATCCCTCTGTCTCTTCTATTGCAAAGAGAAGTTTTTCCTTTAGTTGTTCATAACTCTTATATGGTGGTAGGTCCAAGCGATTAAAACTGAACAGAAACAAAAACAAAATCAGATGTTTTCAATAAAATGAAAAAAATTCTAATAGAATATTTTTCAAAGCACACAGAAAAAGCTGAATGGATACGTGAATACATATTATATATGTAAAAATTTAGCCGGAAGTATTCTAACAGACAATTTACTACTATAATATTACTTAATTGGTATATTAACATTTCTTAAGTTTCTTAGAGCAATCCAAATTTAAGACTTACATATAGAAACTATTTTAACATCTCCCAGAGAAAAATGGAATTACAAATATTAAATGTAGCAATATGGATAAAGACTGGAATTTTTTTTTTTTTAAAGCATTAATTTTCTCTTTACTATTCCTGTTACATGTGTCATGCGTCCTCCTAACTTCTCTTAGGATAAGAGTCTATTTCGTTCATCCACTCACTCATTCATCAGTCATTTAACTAGAATCTTTATATAACATACTGTTCTAAAAACTAGTGATACAAATAAAGAAAACTAAGATCCCAGTCTTCATAGTATTTATATTTCTGGGGTGGAGACAGTCAGTGAACAAATACGTATGTTTCTTTGTCTTTTCAAATAATCTAACCACATATAAAATGCTTCTAAAATGATACATTTTCCAGTCCTGCCAGACTCAAATAATTCCATTCTGAGATTAACTGATGAAAAATTTTAAAATACTGAAAAATGCTTAAAATAACAATGTATTTTTCAGTTTACAAGGGTAGAATAACATTTCATTTTGTGAGGTATGGCAGTGAGTAGCTAGATGAGGATTTGAGTGTTCAGGATTTTGGTCCCCACAGTAGCAGTGACTAATGAGATAGCTCTGAGTAAGAACCTTTCTGTACCTTCATTTTCTCATGTGGAAGGGTTTGAGAGATTACCCAGGTACCCTCTTGCCACTCCCACCACTTTCCATGTGCCCTTGACCCTCCCCTGTAAGAGTCAGGAAACCTGAAAATTAAGAGCTTTTGAAATAAGGCAGCTAATTAGAACAGAGTTGTTCTAAGACTGTATTATTGTCTGTATTTTAAAAGAAGTTAAAGATATTAATAGCAGCAATTAAGTAGACCATATGTTGCTCTCCCCTTTATACTTCAAGGTAGTGTATGATAGCAAGGTCAGAAAAAATATTTTTAAAATACTTCCTATACAGGACAACCAGTCACTTTCTGTTCTTTTCCATCTTTCACATATAGCCTTTGCCAAATTGTCATTCTATCTATCATAGATTCCATATTTTCTCCTGGTTATTTATTTAGAGACAGTGTCTGGGTCTGTCACCTAGGCTAGGGTGCAGTGGCACTGTCTCTGCTCACTGCAACCTCAACCTCCCAGGCTCAATCCTCCTACCTCAGCCCCCAGAGTAGCTGGGAGTACGGGCGCATGCTACCGTGGCCATTTTGTAGAGATGAAGTTTTGCCATGTTGCCCAGGCTTCCCCTTATCATTTCTACTGCCACTACATCCCTCTGTACATACTACCCCATCATCTCTTACCTGGATCATCAGAATTTCCTGCCTACTTAACTGTGAGTCCATTTTGTTTTCTTTTTTACTTTTTGCTAAAAAGACATACCAGTTTATGCCGCTCTTCAAAAACCTTTGCTGCTCTTGAGTTGCTATGAGTGGGAGGGGACTGTGGTGGGGAAAAGGAAGCTTATGCTCTTTACCATCAACTTGGTCCATGCTCTCCCGAGCATACCACACATCTTGCTTCTCTGCGACCCTGCTCTCTATGGTCTAGAATACACTTCTCATCAAGAACCAGACCAAATGCTACAACTTCCACTTTAAACATCTTACACGGATAATATCCCTATCCATAAGCTCCCCTTTATTTCTATTTTAGCATCTATTTTAATCTACTCTGGATTAGGACTGACTGGTTTCTCTCATTAGATTCTAAAATTCATGAGGGCAGTCATCTCTGTACTCTCATAAGGCTGATCTGTTCCACATAGGGTTAACATTTAGTAAATGTTGAGTTGAAAAGCATGAAAGTGGGTTACCTGAAAACATCCAAAACAGGCTTCTGTTTTAAAACACTGGCTATTAGATTTTGTGCTGTTTTACAAAAAGAGACATGCTAAAATAGATTCTGCTTTCTTCAGTCACGGACCTCAAGACTATATCTTGAACCCTGCCATCACCAGTAAAGGAAGTTTCTAATTTAAAAATCCTGTTCTCTTACCATGTCTTTCCAGTTTATTTCAATTAAAATGCCAGCCTGTTGACCCATGACTTCATCATCCTATCTTGTCCTGTCCTCAGCCTCTTGTTCTCTCTTTTTGCCTTTTTGCTTTTTTTTTTTTTTTTTTTGCTTTAAACCTCAAGTGTATGGAGTTGAATAATACAGAGATAGCAGTTTGGTGCCATTGACACAGGTTCACAAACCATTGCTTTTGCACCACAAGTAGAAATTTCAAAGGCAAATAATGACTTAATATGAAAATAGTTTTGACCTCTTGAAAGAACCACCTATCTCTAGGCTGTCGTCTTTGTCCTCGGTAACTGTAACAATTTTGTAACTGCTCTGCCTGCACTCACCCGTGCATCCGATTCCTTCCCTAGGCTGTTGTCTGAGCAATTTTTCTGGGATTCGATACTTGCTATTTAAAACTCTTAAAAGCTGCCTAATTTTTCCTTGCTATCTCAGTTATTTATATTAGACTATAAGGCTGTAAATAATTTAGTCCCTGCCTACATCTCCCAATTTTTTCATCTCCCTTTCTTCTGATTGACTAAGTTCCAATCATACCTATCATCTTCATTTCCTTCGAAAATAATTTCTTACTTCAGGGTCTTTGCTTACTTCAGCATATCTGTTCAAAGAATGCTCTTTCTCTGCTTATTCCCACAGCATGCTACTTATTAAACTTAATTTAAACAAATTACCCCTTCCAAGAAATCTCCTTGACCACCAAATCTAGAGTCGGTTCCTATTAGTTATTCTCTATTAGAGTACTCTCATTTTTCCCTTCAAAGGACTTGCCAGGATTTGCAGTTATCTATTTGTCATTTGTGCCCCACAAACTTATTTAAAAAACAGTGAATACTTAAATCTTACTTTATACATTGTGGATACACTAATATTTGTTGAATCAATGGATGCATTTCTCAAGTATTTCTATTAATGGGAACACACTAAAGTGTTTACTTACAGAATGCTGTATTAATCGATCTGTTCTCAAAATTGAAATTCTGACTAATGAATAAACAGTTATACTGGATCTTACATATTTTTTAAAAAAACCGAACAAAAGATTCTCTCTGGCTTTCACCTTCATATTTAGCATTCTTGAACTTACCACGTATGGCTTCTTGGTAACCAGGTGTCTTTGCCAACTTTTTCAATGCAAAACTTTTGAGGCCCATTACTTCCTACACCAGGAAAATAAGACAAAATTTATCTGGTCCTTTAAACCTTTTCTTCTGACAACTACGTAAATAACAGAACATGTTGCATAGTCATATGAATGATGCAAAATAAAGAAGAGATTCACAATGTAAACTGTTTCTGCCTGAGTAAGCTTCTTACTGCTACAGAGATCCAGCAATAAGAATTATATCACCAGGAAGAAAACGATTTCTACAGAATGTCACTTCCTTCACAATCACCCTAGGGAGCAGAGCAATGGACATCTCAGCTTTATGAGGAGACATTCATTTTTGTTTTACAAGAGCTTTGATATTAGTCATTCATTTTTCTTTCTTCTAAATGAAGCCCTACCTACAGCACAGAAAAGTAATCTTTAGGTTCAAGTCTATTGTATGTTCAAAGGCCATTATTGTCACAAAATTATATACAGAAAGATCACAGTGAAACTACATTTACCCATGAGCTCAGCAAATCCTCCTAGAGGTAAACGGCAGGTTCCAGTGACGAACTGCAATAGTCGCATTCTTACTTCATTGTCTGTCTCTTTCACAAACTGTAATGAAATCAAATATACTTTAATATGAAATAAATGCTAAACTATCTTCAATCATGAAAGCAGTAGACACTTTAAGAAATTAACACTGAATTGGTTCAAAAGATGTGCTAAAAAGTGGTTATAGGGTCTGTCACTTACTAAGGCTGGGTCTCATGCTAAGCACACTGAATCTCACTTCAGTTCATCCTCAGGAGAACATGGAGGGTGGCCACTATTATTACTACATCCATCTTGCAGCCAGGAAATACATGAGAAACTCAGAAAGGTTAATTCATTTATCTAAGGTCATACCAACAAAAGGTGCAACCAAGGTAGACGGTGTTGCCGGGTTGTAATACAATGGCTATCACCTATTAAGGGTTCCTGCCAAACTGTGTGCCACTGCTTTCAATGGATTTAGTTGTTACAACAATTCTATGAGATAGGTATAATCATTAGCATCCCATTCGTACATATACACATTCCTCTAAAATTATCTGTTTTATTGACTATTTTCATAGACATAAATGGGTAATATGGTGAAATACTGATTTGACTGGTTTGAGTATAACAGAAAGCAAGGAAGCAGATTAAGAGTAGACATCTTAAAAATAGGGAATAAACTTCAGCTGAGGATAAGACAAAACAGCCATGCTAATCATGCTAATCATGACCCAAAATGTTTCAGTGAAGAATTGTGCTGAGGTACATATTTCATGAAAACACAAGAAACAAAACCTATTCCCAGGTCTGGCATAAACCTCACCACTTTCCCTAAAAGAAACCCAATTTAGAAAACAAGTACTCATTTGGATTTATATGACCCTAAGCTTGGGCTTATTAGCTATATAGGTACAAATGTCTAAACAGAAAGTCAGGGAGCACCAAGTGTAATGGAGCTGATAAGAACCCTAGAAGGGATGATTGCAGACAGCTGTATGCATACCGTATGTAATGCAATTCAGATAGTTTGGGCTTGAAAATGGATTTACTCCTTCCTACTTACGTATTTATTTATAATAGTATAGAATGCAAAAGGTTGTGAAAGTGTACTATATGAAAAGCAGCTTTCCTACATTTCCCTCCAGCTGCCCAGCTCCCTTCTAGAACTGTTTCCAGTTTTTTTCTCTGTCTTTTCAAAGATGAGTATTTACATACTAACATACACTTTTACTATACAGATGATAACTTTTCAACCAAATAGCATGATATTACGCACATTGTTTACCACCTTCCTTTTCCACTTAATACTGTACTGAAACATCATTCTCCAATATTTTTGTTAATTTTGCATTTTTAAAAAAGAAAAGAAAGGCTGGGCACGTTGGCTCATGCCTGTAATTCCAGCACTTTGGGAGGCCAAGGTGGATGAATTACTTGAGGTCAGGAGTTCAAGACCAGCCTGGCCAACATGGTGAAACCCTGTCTCTACTAAAAATATAAAAACTAACAGGGTGTAGTGGTGCACGCCTGTAATCCCAACTACTCAGGGGTGGGGCTCTGAGGCAGCAAAATCACTTGAACTCGGTGGGCAGAGGGTGCAATGAGCCAAGATCCTGCCACTGCACTCCAGTCTGGGTGATAAAGTGAGACTCTGTCTCAAAAAAAGAAAGAAAGAAAGAAAAAGAATGATTCCAAGGTATAAACTTACATAGAATGGATGGATGGATGATAGTTTATTTATTCAGTCCCCTCTTTATGGACATTTAGGTTGTTTCAAACCTCTGTTAGTATACCAATAATGCTGCATTAAATACACTGGCATGTGCCACTTTACACATGTTGAAGTATATTTTAAGATAAATTTCTAGAAATGTCTATATCTCTTTAAAATATCAAGCAATAAACCCATGACATACATCATTATGAAAAGATGCAACTTTTGGAAAGTCTACTATAATATAAAACCCAGCATTACTCTTCACCTGACAATGAAACAGTTAAGAAGAAGTAACTAGAGTTCCAGTCATTAAGTTGCTCAAATGGGTCCCAAATAGAATACTTATCTGAAGAATATCCCTGATCTGGAAATTTAAATTCTCAAATAAACACACAAAATAAAAAGTTTATTAAAATAAGATGTTCAAGATTAGTGTGGTACACTTGGATTCCCGAGACCATCCTATTACAGTTTAAGCAAAACACACACACAAAAAATATGTAAATAAATAGTCATTTTTGGACATTATTCCCTCGATCATTCTAATTCCCTAGCATATATTACCTGAGAAGAATTAAAGTATCTTCACTGGCTCTCTTTACAAACATACTTCCTCATTTACTTACAGAATTAAGTGGAATTTAGACTACTTTGACACCACTAAAAAAAGAAGCTACACATACAACTATTACCGTTAAACCACTACTTAAATAAGATTCTGACATCTGCTCCTTCATTTTAGTAAGATAGTCAAAGAAGCAATAGTACTTTTAATGAGTGTTCACACTGTTCACTTAGATTTAGAATTGGAAAATTATAAACTGTGTCCAAAAGCACTCTCAATTAAAAATAATAAGCCATTTAAAACCACCATTTCATCAGAAAATATGTTGAGTACTTTGTTTCAAAAAAGATAAAAGCAAATACCTGCCAAAACCAAATTATTTGCTTGCTGTTTCTTGTATAATGCCGATAAACAGTATTTCTCTGCCAATCTGCCAAGTCAACCTCCTGCATGCCACACAACATAACCTGGGAAATGAGCACAGAATCAGGCCACAATAAAGACTTAGTGAAGAGAATAATTACATGACTGAAATTTCCTGATGCACAGTTATGCATAGGGCAAAATCATGTGAAAAGCTGTATGCACTGCAAATATTGATCACAATAAGCAAATCCAACAAAACTGGGGCAAGTTAGCCTAACGGATTCCCTGGTACTTTATTTTAGCCATGTTTATTGAACTCAAACCGAAAACCACATTTAGAGCAACTATTCTTCAAGAAAAACAGCTGTACTGGAAAGCATGTCTCCTTTACCATATGTACATATGGTATGAGGGTGTGTGTGTGTGTGTGTGTGTGTGTGTGTGTGTTCAGGAGTATATAACTACATCCATATGTAAAATATAGACATAGATATAGATCTCCCAAATTGGGTATTCAAATTGATTAGTTCCAAACCTATTTCTGGTTCTCATTTTTAAAAAAATCTAAGCTTTCTTATATACTTAAAAAAAAACAATACTAACCTACTATTAATCATTTATCCAGCTTATCTAAGAATATTCTACATATGTGAAATTGTCAACCTCAACTTGTATATGAAATGAACACTATTTTAGGCATAGTAAAATGTGTAATACTTATCTTGGTTTTTTTCGTAAGTCAACTTTGAGCTATAATTTACATACAATAAAATGCACAAACTTAGGAATGTAGTTAGATTTTCAACCTGTGTAACCACCATTACAATCGAGGTATAGAATATCTCCATCATACCCTTTTTGTAATCAAAATCATCATCCTCACCTCTAGTTTTAGGTGATCAATGATTTCACCATAGGTTATATTTGTCTTTTTTAAGAATGTCATGTATATGCATACATACATATTTTTGTCATATATAGTGCATACACATACACACATGTCCTCTTGTTTTTCCCACTCAACATGTTTTTGAGATTTATCCATGTTGGTGTTGGAACCAGCAGTTCTTCTTTTCTATAAGTGAGTAGTATTCCATTATATGAATATACAACAATTTGCTTATCTATTCACTTGTTAATGAATACTTAGGTTACTTTCAATTTTTGGCTTTGATGAATAAAGTTGTGATGAATATTTACGTACAAGTCTTGGTTTGGATATATATTTCACTTCACTTTGGTAAACACTAACAGTAGAACTGGTAGGTCATAAGGTAGATGTACATTTAACATTATAAGAAACTACCAAAACTATCTCAAAGTGGTGTTTTTGAGCTGCATTTCTCCAGTGACTAATAAGCATTTTTCCATGTGTTTACTTGTCATCTGTGTGTGTCTCCTATTGTGAAGTGAACCTTGCCTATTTATAAATGTTTTCCTGTCTTTTTACTGAGTTACAGAAGTTTTTTGTTAATATATTCTGGATATAAGACCTTTGTCTCAATAGTTTCTCCCACTGTCTGCGTTGCTTTTTCACATAATAATATCTTTTGAAGAGCAGTTTTTAGTTTTGAAGAAGTCTAATTTATCCATATTTCTTTTATGGTTACTGCTTTTTGTGTGTTAGAAATAAGTATTAAAATCAAGTAATGTAAATCCTCCAAGTCTGTTCTTTCTCAAAATTGGCTTTGCTTTTCTAGGGTCTCTGTATTTCCTTATTATTTTGAAATCAACCTGTCACTTTCTATAAAAAATTCTGCTGAGATGTCTAATCTCTAAATCAATTTGGAGAGAACTAACACTTTTAACAATATAACATGGTGTATCTCTTCATTTATTTAAATCTTCCTTAATTTTTCTGAGCAATGTTTTGAGTTTTAATTATAGAGGTCTTGTCTGCTTTTGGTTAAATTTGCTCATTTTTTGATGCTGTCACAAATGAAACTAAAATCTAAATTGTAAGTGTCTGTTGCTAATGCACAAAAATACAACTGATTTTTAAAGTATTAACTTTGTACACACACCTTGTTAAATTCATTATTATTTCTAGTAGTTTTTTGGTGGGTTGCCTAGCATTTTCCAATCTAATCTGAAAATCGTTTTCCTCTGTGAATATAGGCAGTTTTACTTATTTCCAATCTTTATGCTTCTTATTTCTGCTTTTGCCACTGGGTAGGGTATTTGGTAAAATACTGAATAGAAGTGGTAAGAATAGACCTCTTTGCCTTGTTCCCAAACTCAATGGGAAACTTTCAAAACAGTACCATTTAGAATAATGTTAAGGTTTTTTGTTGTTGATGATTCCCTTTATCAAACTAAGAAAGTTGCCTTCTACTCCTAGCATAGTAAGAGTTTTCATAAAGAATGACTACTATATCTCTTAAACATTAAAAAGATGTTAACATATAAAAGGAGGGGCATGATTATGCATAGCCATTATTGTGAATAATAGTGTGAATGGCCATTACTGTTGTAAGAGAGGCAATGATGGCAGTAGAAGAAAAAGCAACAGACTAGGAGTAAAACTCGAGACGAAGCAAAGCAAGACAAAATCTGTATTTTCTCACAGCTCTACACTCTTAATTGACTGGCATTCTTAATTGTACTCTTAACTGATTAGCTCAAAGCAAATAATCATTAAGGGCTTCAGTCACCTTATATATAAAAGAAAAGTATCATATGGCCTCCCCACATACAGGGCAGTATGTGAGAACATTATAAACCCTGCCAAGGGTACATAAACTATATGTTCCTAGTCTTACGCTTCTTGATCTCCTGTTTTAGTTTCATCTCCACTTCAAGATATGGCTCTCACTATATCACTGTAAGATCCCTCTTTGACTGAGTGGGCCTCTAAAATAGGCACTCTTTTTTTTTTTTTTGAGACGGAGTCTCGCTCTGTCACTCAGGCTGGAGTGCAGTGGCACGATCCTGGATCACTGCAATCGGTTCAAGTGGTTCTTCTGCCTCAGCCTCCCAAATAGCTGGGACTACAGGTGCATGCCATCATGCCTGGCTAATTTTTGTATTTTTAGTAGGCATGGGGTTTCTCAAACTCTCAGCCTCCCAAAGTGTTGGGATTACATGTGTCAGCTACTGCGCTCAGCCAAAATAAGCATTCTTAATTGGTGGTATGGAATACTTAGGTATATGAATTTAGAGGATGCAAGATGTCTGTCTTCAGATTAAAAATTAAGTCTGTGGTTTTAAAAAAGATTAATAAATGCTACTCTTAAAAATGTCTTCCATGCTAGTTTTCTAATATGCTTCTGTTAATTTGTGTAAGCAAACTGTTAAAAAAAAAGATGTTAACCAGGATTAGTAGCAATCTATATGTCAGCCAGGCTCAGAGTCCTGATTTTCATACATATCAGCTTTCCATATCCACAGCTTTCATATCAGCAATTCAAACCAATAGTGGATTGAAAAGATTTAAGAAAAAGAATACTATGACAATTTCAAAATAAAATAATTAAAAATATAGTTTACTTACCATAGCATTTGCATTGCATTAGGTATTTATAAGTAATCTAGACATGATTTAAAGTATAAGGGAGAAGTGTGTAGGTTATATGTATATTTACATATAACCTACACACTATTACAGTATGTAATAGTATGCTATTACATACTGTAAGGACTTGAGCGTGAATTGTGGTGTCCATGGGCACCCTACAGAACCAATCCCCCACAGATACCAAGGGACGAGTGTACTTCCTAGGTTAGTTAGGATTGCCAAAAGGCTAATTCCTACATAGGAGTATTACTGTACAGTGTTACTTTTCATAGGCACATTTGATTATATGAACGAAGTTTCCAAATAGCAGGCCCAAGAGGGCTACAGTTAAAATAGCATACCCAAAGTATGCAGAGAGGAAATGCCAAGGACTGTCTGTTCAAATGCCCTATGTTCTAATTTACATAGGAAAATAGGACTTCGAAAATTCTTGGTAACTAATCATTAGGGAAATGCAAATCAAAACCACAATACCCATTACGGTGGATACTATTAAAACAAACAAACAAAAAAACAAGAAACACAACATAAGTCTAGGGAAAGATGTGGAAACTGGAATCTTTCTACATGTTTAAGGGGAATGTAAAATGGTGCAACTGAAATAGAAAACAGTATGGTAGTTCCTCTAAAACTTAAATAGAGGATTACCATATGATCCAACAACACTACTCCTGGGTATATATCCAGAAGAAACAGGATCTCAAAGAAATATCTGTACACCTGTGTTCACAGCAGCACTATTCACAACAGCCAAAAGATGGAAGCCACAAAAGGTCCCTCGAGGGACAAATGGATAACACCATGTGGTAGTGTATATACCTATAGTGGAGTATTATTCGGTCTAAAAAAGGAAGAAAATTCTGACACATACTATATAGCAGGAATGAACTTTGAGGATATTATGCTAAGTCAAATAACCCAGTCACAGGAAGTAAATTACTGTATAATTTAACTCATAGGCGGTATCAAGAGTAGTCAGATTTCACAGAAACAAAGTAGAATGGTAGTTGCCAGGGGCTGGGGAAAATGGGGACTTGTTGTCTAATGGATATAGAGTTTCAGTTTTGCAAGATGAAAAAATTCCTGAGATTAGAAGCACAATATGCATATATTTAACATTACTGAACACTTAAAAATAGTTAAGATGGTATATTTTAAGATATGTTTATCTCACACACACACACACACACACACACACACCCCACACACGCCTGATATACTTTTAACAAGCCTAAATACAGTTAAGACCACTAAGTGCTCATGGCTTAAAACTCTGATCTTTGAAGCAACTCACTACTAAACTGAAATTTCAGAATTATCAATAATGTTCCAATAACTCTTCAAGACTCCTAACAACTGACACTGATTGATGATTTTGTGCTCATGGCATCATATGGTTCAGAGAACATAATCAAGACTTTTACCCAGTGCTACGATAAACACCACCTTGACATCTGGACAAATGAGAGGATTCAAGATTGTGCTACAGGATTTTAAAATGTGTGAACACTGTTCTGTAAAAGCACAAAATTAGTCCCTCCCCCCGCTAACATTCCCTACAATAGCATAATAAAAGAGCCTAACCTCTAATTCTTTTTCATCGAAGTACTGTAGCCACTGAAGAGGAACAACTTCATTAAAACCATCAAGGAAAGCTTTGGTCTGTTCTTGTACTCCTCGAGAAAAACGCCATTCTGTCATTAAACTGAAAATAAAGATGATATTTAAAAATAGATAATTTATATGTAAAGTAAAATACTTAAAAACACCAAGAACTTCTATAGCTCTTTCTCTTTTTCTAAATGTCACATATATATGCACAATACACATATATAAACGTGATGTGTGTGCATATGTATATATGTATGTATATAATTTTAGAGTTAACACATTTGAGGAAATCAGTTTTAGCACACAGGTAGCTATTAAAAAGGATGCTTTTAAAATAAATAGGAAAGGAAAAAACAGAAAAAAGAAAATAAATAGGAGGTTCTTCACTAGTAAAACAGCCAAATCCTAGCACTAATTATTTCCTGTTTATATCTAGACAAGCAAGTACAAATATCATGTGCTTACTCGGGAAAGGAATAGCTAGTCATTTAATAGGCTCTTCTTACACCAAGCATTGCCATGACAGACCTGAGGACTCTGACTCAAGGGAGGCAAGGGATTATCTCACTATGCAATGACCATATGTCAACAAGCCATGTGCTGGTGTACGTTTATGGTCTGAGAGGCCTTAAGGCTGGAGAACAGGTTTTTTACCTGATGGTTTATTGGAGAACATGAAGATTTCCTAACTAGTATAGAACTCAGTTAAGATGGAAACAAAACACTCTAAAGAGACATATATAAAGCAGCTGTAAGAGCAGGGAAGTATGATAGAAAGGAAATAAGGAAGAAAATCTGTATGACACAAAATCTGTAAAAGGAGATTCCAAAAGGAGATGGATCTGGAAAGGTCTTCCTAGAGAAGCAACATATACCACCTCATACACAGATTCTAGCAGATGAAAAGAAAGCCAAACTATTAACACTCCTCCCATTTCCAATCTTCTTTTTGTTTCCTAGAGGAAGCTGGCCTTATGCTTTTCTAAGGCTGCCTCCACAACTTTTCTTCAATTACTAAACCCTCTTTGTCCCACATCCTCAACTCCAACTTTTCTTCCCATTTGTCCACATAGGTATTCAGACTATTCTTTTCCAAAAACTCTTCCTTTAACCCAGTGTCTTTTTTAAATTACTCTGTCCTCTCTTCACCACCACACTCATTATAAGAATACAACATACTCAGTGTTTTCACTTTCTCACCTCTATTCAACTAAATTTTAAACCAAGGTAATTTTAAACCTGGCTATCACTGTAGGCTCCATTACAGCCATTAATTCTCACCATCAACATATCCCCTTAAAACATCAATTCTGCTCTTCCTGTTTTCCCTGTCCCAAAAACATCTCCCTCCATAAGGCAAGCTTTCATGTATGTTCTTCTTCTTCTTCTTCTTTTTTTTTTTTTTTTTTAACATAGGGTCTCACTCTTGCCTGGTCCCACTGCATCCTTGACCTCCATGGGCTCAGGTGATCCTCCCACCTCAGCCTCCCTAGTGGCTGGACTACAAGTGCACACCACCATGCCCAGCTAATTTATTTTTGTAGAGATGAGCTTTGCCATGTTTCTTAGGCTGGTCTTGAACTCCTGGGCTCAAGTGATCCACCCACCTCAGCCTCCCAAAGTCCTGGGATTACAGGCAGGAGCCACCAGCCTCCCATGCATCTTTTAAGACCTAACTTAATACATAATGTCCAATGAAGAACTTTCCTGATTCCTCCCAGCAGAAATAATAGTTCTCTTCCCACTTTGGATTCCAGTAGTATTTCATATCTATTTCTACCATTCATTTACTTACAGATTCACTGATGGCCTATCTTGTGCACTTAAAAAAAAAAAAAAAACAACTACAGTGTTATCACATAATTTTCAAGAGCAAGATTTAAAAATCTAAAGTATGTTATTGAGACTGAAACAAAATCTTCCAAAAACTACTGCATTCATGATTAGCTATCAATAGTATTAAAGTGATAAAATATTTTGAGACAGTGCTTAACAGAAAGTAAATATAAATCTTACATAGTAAAATTTTATTTAGAGTGCTTTTGATATTTGAAACCACTGACAGCATTTTTTTAACTGCTCAGGTTGTAGTATTTATTTTTGTTGGACTTTGTGGAAGGCTCAGGTTTAACAAATAGAGAAAGTCCAGTGCTTTATGCATAATCTTTGTGAATATATTTTCCTCAAAATATAGTGTTACTGTTTTTTTCCAGTTAGTGTAATAAATGCATGTTGGAGAACAAAACAAAACAAAAATACCTAACAGAGTACAAAGGCATAAAAGAAGAAATTAGTTATTGGTAATTTCTCTCACTTTTTTCTGGTTTAGCAGAAAAAAGAAGAGGCTGAGAATGCCAAGCTAAGAAGGGTACATTAAACTTAGTAAGCAGATATACTAAGGATGTAAATTTGGAAGGTCATAGCAATTTACAAGTTAAGAAGGAAAAAAGAAGGGCTATGACATTTTATAAAAGCCACATAACAGTATCTATTAAATACTTTCTGATCCAGTAACTTCACTTCTTAAAAATCTAGCCCACAAAACTAAGTAGCAGGATGTATGGATTCATGCCTAAGGAAGTTTTCTGCTATCTTGTTTGCAGTGGCCCAAACTGGACACAACCTAAATGATCTCTATTGGCAGGAATAGCTGAAAAGTATAGAATACATACACCACAATTTACCTAGCTGTTTGAAAATAAGTTGGATTTAACTGTACTGTCCTTAAGACGAAAAAAAGTAAGCCACAGAGTAATGTGTATAATCCAATCCATTTTTCAAACCAAATATAAAAAACTAAGAATCTGAAAGAGACAGATGACAGCTAGAATCTAAGAGGATGAAAATGGTAGTCTATTCATAGAAGACATCAGTAAGAGGCAACAGCTAGGAGAAATGAAAAGTTGGATTTTAGACACATTACATTTAAGAGTCATCTGTAGTTCAGGTGTTGGAACATTATGGCCTGTGGGCCTAATTGTCTTTTTTTTTCTGGTCTAGCATGTGAGCTAAGAATAGCCTTTGTATTTTTAAAAAAATGGATGAAAAATATTAAAAGTATTTTAGGATATGAAAATTATATAAAATCAAATTTCAGTGTCTATAAGTGTTTTACTGGAAGACAATCACACATCTGTTTATACACTACTTATGGCTACTTTTACACTATACCACAGAGCTGAGTAGTTGAAATAAGCCTAAAAAACTTACTGCCTGGTTCTTTCCTGAAAATGTTTGGATTTACCTGGCTGGCAAATGGAAATTATTTCTAAAGTTTGGATATAACTTTAACAGAAAATTGATGCTACGTTAACAAATTATTTAGAGAAGCAGATTGCAATAAAATATTGGAAAAAGGCCTATATTAAGAAATAGGAGATTTAGAAAACTGCCATTAAAAAAGAGCAAGTAACCAAAAGTGGTGGCTCATGCCTATAATCCCAACACTTTGGGAGGCTGAGGAAGGAGGATGACTTGAGGCCAAGAGTTTGAGACCAGTCTAGGCAATACAGTGAGACTCTGTCTTTACAAAAAAAAAAAATTTAAATTAGCTGGACATGGTAGTATAAGCCTATACTCAGGAGACTAAGGCAGGAGGATTGCTTGAGCCCAGGAGGTCAAGACTGCAGTAAGCTATGATCACACCATTATTCCACCCTGAGTGACAGAGTAAAACCCTCTCTACAAACAAAATTAAAAAAAAAAAAAAAAAAAAAGAGAGAAAGTAAAGAAAATCAGTATGACATAGGATCATGGAATTCAAGAAAACATGGAGTTTCAAGAAAGAGGCTGTGGTGAGCACTATTTAAAAGCCTAGATTAAAAAAGGGAAAATGATATGGAAAAGGAAATGGTAGAATGATTATAGCAAATGGCAATGGGAAAATGAGGGTCAACATATATTCTCTTTTTTTCAAGAACATTGGTACTGGTGAGAAGAACTTCCCAAAGGCATGAAAAGGGGATGCAATTAAGGCTACTGACAGAGGATTTAGTTCTGACATGTTCTAGAAATTAAGCTTAACAAGGTATATCACCTTACCCAATATATTCATCTTTGTTCTCCTCAGTCACCAGAATATTGGAACCTCCCAACTTCAGGTCATGTGAAGTAACTTTTCCCAAAATCTCCATGTCAACAGAAAAGTACATTTCTAAGCCACATTCTTCAATGTTGTTATCTCTGAGTGAAATATATATATACTAATTAACAAAATGAAATAAAATGGGTTTCAAAAAAATGGCTTATTGCAAAACAAAAATCTTCAAACCTTATCCAGATAAGGGAGTTATAAAATTCAGTATCAATAGATTCCAAATCCTTAATAGTAAGTTTTTTACTTAACATACGCTTGTAGAATGGTAAAGAGAAACCAGTATCGATAAACTTTCCATGAAATAATGCCTGCAAAGAAAAATGAAGCATTTTATAATAAAATCTGCAAAATAAGTTTCTTAGAGAACAATGGTAACAGAAAAATCATGACAGTTTATAAGTAAACAAAGATTTGAATAAGTGAATGGCATAAATTATGAAAATTAAAATACATAAAATGCTAGGTATGAAAAAGCTAAAACAAAATCTATTTTATAACACACAGTTATATAATACATATCAAAAACTGTATAGGTGATAAAGGACTTCTATTACCATACCCTGCCTCAACCTTCCTAAATGTTTTATAAATTAAATTAACCTAATTGGATAAGGAGTGCAGAAGGGCCCTGTGCACCTGAAAAGGCCACTCTCCTGTTCCTTTCTTACTCTCACCATTGCCTGTGAGGTTTTTAGGACTAACCCCACTGTGCCTTCACTCCTATTCACAATAACCAGCAATGGGAAGCCCCAGACTCCCAGCAACTTTGGAAAACTAAAACATCCACTGAAGCTATTAATACTATACCTCAGCCCCCTCATGAGTTATGTCTCCCCTTACTCAGTTTAGATTCCATAGTCAATCATTAAAATAACTCCCTTCAAACCCTACCTCCACCAGTGTATTTCTAGCAAAATCCCAAGCCTAGCTAAGTTCAACTCTCAAGTTACTAAATGCCTGTACGTAGGCAATGGAATATGATACAAATGCATAAATAATCAAGATGACTGCTCCATGACCAACAGTCATATTTCCTTACTGGTCTATTTCCTGGTAATCACATTTCCCTACTGCATTCACTCTCCCACTTTCCTAGATGACTATGTCATTCCTACTCCTCTTTCCTCAAATACTTCTCCCCACTCATTCTGAGTTGATGACCTTACTTCCTATTTCACTGAGGGAAACAGAAGCAACCAGAAGAGAACTTTTGTGTGTTCTACTGTAGCTGCTCACTACTAGCATCTGAATCCATATAATCGTATTATGGGTAATCTTTCTATTACTTGGTACGTGTGCTAAATAAATTTCTTCCTCTCTCCAACTCAAGCCCATGGCTCTCATATTCCTTATATTCTGACTTTATTAAATTCTTTATCCTCTAACTTCGTAGTATAGCTTAGATGTTTGTCTCCTCCAAATCTCCTATTGAAATGTGATCCCCTAGCTGGCTACCCATAACAGAAGAATAAAACTAGAGTGCTACCTCTTACCATACATAAAAATTAACTCAAGATGGATTAAATACTTAAATGTAAGAACTAAAACTATTAAAATCCTAGAAGAAAACCTAGGAAATGCCCTCTTGATATTAGCCTTGGCAAAAAAATTTCTGGCTAAGTCCTCAAAAGCAACTGCAACAAAACCAAAAATTGATAAGTAGGACCTAATTAAACTAAAGAGCTTCTGTGCAGCAAGAGAGGGAATAAACAAACAACTTACAGAATGGGAGAAAATATTAAACAACTGTGGATCCAACAAAGGTCTAATATCCAGAATTCATAAGGAATGAATTTATATAGTGATTATAAACAATCATATAGACCTAAATACTCTCTGTGCCAAGAATTCCCAAATGCCCATCTCTAAACTAGATATCCCTTCATTGCCAGACTTATACCTCCAACTATTTCTTTTTTTTTTTTTTTTTTTTTTTTTTTGAGACGGAGTTTCGCTCTTGTTACCCAGGCTGGAGTGCAATGGCGCGATCTCGGCTCACCGCAACCTCCGCCTCCTGGGCTCAGGCAATTCTCCTGCCTCAGCCTCCTGAGTAGCTGGGATTACAGGCACGAGCCACCACGCCCAGCTAATTTTTTTGTATTTTTAGTAGAGACGGGGTTTCACCATGTTGACCAGGATGGTCTCGATCTCTCGACCTTGTGATCCACCCACCTCGGCCTCCCAAAGTGCTGGGATTACAGGCTTGAGCCACCGTGCCCGGCCCAACTATTTCTTTAACATCTCCATTTGTATGTCTACTTCAGACTTAATGAGCCAAACCTAAATATTCTTGATTTCCTCCACCTCCAAAATTTGCAACCAGACAAGCTGGCCACAAATATTGTTGCCATACTTGACTCTCCCTCACACCCTGCATCTAATCTGTCAGAAAACTCTGTTAATTCTAACCTTGCAATATACCCAGAATCCAAACCACTTCTCACTTCCTCCACTGCTGCAAAACACAAGTCCAAGCCACTATTATCTTTCACCTGGATTGTTGCAAATGGCTTTCCTGCTTTTAGCTGTGTTTTCCTATACCCCCAATTATAGTCTGTCTTCTACATAATGGTAAAGAAAGCTTAATAATATTTAAGTCAGATCATGTTACTTAGATCATATCATTCACTGCCCTAGTCAACTCTTATGTGAATTTTCTAAAGATTCCAGACAGCATCTCCTAATCTCATCTCCTACTACATTCTCTCTCACATACTCTGCTGCAGCTATACTGGTCTCTTTCTCAGTCAAGAATTCACTTCCACATTACAGCCTTTGTCTTGTCATTCCTCAATATTCACCAAGATACCTGCAAGATTCAGTCCCTAGCTTTCTTCAATTTCTGTTCATGTGTCATCCATCAGTGAGGCTTCCTAGCAACACACTGTTTCCTTCAGAATATATCCATTGATTATTTGTTTCTGTCTGATAGACTTTAGGTGCTGAGAGCATCAACTGTGTATTTTTTTCATCTCTGGAGCCTAGAACAGTGCTTGGCATTACAGTAGGGCTGTCAATAAATTTTTGCTGAATTAATTAATAGATAATAAAATGCAAATAAATGGGTAAATAAATACAAACACTTTCCAAAAGACAATACTTCCATAAGAGTTCCTGCAAAGCTCTAAAAATACCAAAAACAATAAAATACAATTGTTAGATAGCTCAGATTTTCCTTTTATAGAAAAGTAGGCTGGGAGCAGTGGCTCGCATTATAATCCTAGCACTTTGGGAGGCCAAGGCAGACAGATCACATGAGCCCAGGAGTTTGAGACCAGCTTGGGCAACATGGTGAAACCCCAACAAAATTAGCTGGCACAGTGGGGCGAGCCTGGAGTCTCTGCTACTTGGGAGGCTGAGGTGTGAGGATCACTTGAGTCTGCAAAATGGAGGCTGCAGTTAGCTGAGATCATGCCACTGCACTCCAGCCTGGGTAACAGAGTGTGATCCTGTCTCAGAAGTATTTAAATGTTTTCTATTGAAAATAAATAAGCAAATAAAAGTAGTCATACTATAAATGGGTTTTAATTTTAAAAATGAAAAGACTTTTAAAGACTAAGCGGCTGTACCAATAATCTTCATATTCACAATCCTGATTTTATATAGATACTCAAAAAATGTATTTTTATACTCTCTTTCCAGGAAAACTTTCTTGGTAACAAAATTTGTGAATAGCAAATATCTTTTTTTTTTTTTTTAAGCCTTCTCTAATACATTTGTAACAAATTTAAATAAATAAAAATAATAAAGTCAAGAACTCACCATGGCAATAAAACGACCAATGAAACAGAAGTATGAAAGATGGTCTGGATTAATGGTAGATGCTGGATTTATCTGCAGACAATAGTTGTTCTTGCCCGCATACTCAAATAAGCAATACATTGGGTTCAAAACTTCATGTGAAAGCAAGAAAAACCATTCTCTATAAGAAAATAAATCAAAGTTATTTTTTAACATTAACATGTGAATTTAAAAACGGATCTTAAATATACTCATATATACATCATACCTCTGCTCAATAGCCTTTAAGAACTCCACTGCCCAATTCCTCAGCCCTCCATTCAAGTTCTTCTATGATCTGGCTCTCCATTTTAAGTTACCTGCTAGTTTCAATGTGGCCAAACTACAAATTCACTGATCCTCATATAGATATAACATGCTTATTTTTATGCAACATTTTATCTTTTCAACTTCAACTCAGCTTAAATCCCACTTCAACAATTTTTTGAAGTAATTTCCAGTGTATTTGTATTAGTATCAGTCACTGACTACTCTGTGGTAACAATCTCCCAATATTATTCATTTTTATGCACATGACTTGCCCCATCCATCAGACTGTAAGTTTCTCAAAGGCAAAAGCCATGTATTTTTTGTATTCTTAAGTCTTACAAGCACTCTAGGACACTTATACAATAGGTGTTAATGTACACTTAAAGGTGACACTGAGATACGTAACACTGCTGCTATAGAACAGTTTTAACTTTATTGTCACTGCATTAAAAATGAAACTAATATTTAAAAGGTTAAATATTTAAATATGCTAAGCAATCTCTAACCTTTTTCCACTAATTTTTTAAAGTTCAATATATGAAATCCAACTAGATAAAAGTATTACAAGATAACTCAGTCTCCAAAAGGTATTTTTCAACAGCAATTTCTTCCAAAGAAGGGTTCCAAACTCAAATGCTTACAGTGATATGTGAGTACAAGGAGCGGGTTTCCTTCTCTATTCTCTAGATGGGGCTCACATTCTCTGCTTAGCCACAATCCTCCATTCCTCATATCCCTGCTAAATTACTGGTTTTAAGGAAGAAGAATTTACAGGCATATTATCGTAGTCCTCAGACAACTGGGCAGTGGAGGACACTGTAGTGAAACAGAGTATATGCTAACCTATGGGAAAACAGTGAGTCTGATTCAGTTCACTGATGTCACATGGGAAGGCGGGATTGTTGATCTAGTGTTTTAAAAAAGAAGTCAAATATAATTCTTTTTTTTTTTTTTTTTTTTGGAGACAGAGTCTCACTCTTGTTACCCAGGCTGGAGTGTGCAATGGCGCGATCTCGGCTCACCACAACCTCCACCTCCTGGGTTCAGGCAATTCTCCTGCCTCAGCCTCCTGAGTGGCTGGGATTACAGGCATGTGCCACCATGCCCAGCTAATTTTTTGTATTTTTAGTAGAGTCGAGGTTTCACCATGTTGACCAGGATGGTCTCGATCTCTTGACCTCCTGATCCACCCGCCTCAGCCTCCCAAAGTGCTGAGATTACAGGCGTGAGCCACCACGCCCGGCTTAAAAATAATTCTTAAGCATAATATAATGATTTTCAAATGTCATCAAGTAATTTAAAATTGTAAAATCACAATGAGGACCACCTCTCTGTAGGTTAGATCTGGCCTGGCAGCCTGTTAATAAATGCTTTTCTAAAGCTTTTAAAAACACAATCCCTGACACTGCCTGAAAAGCAGAGAAGTGAGTTCCTAAACAAAATCAACTAGAAATGGTAAATGCCAATTCTTAAAACTAAGTCCAGCTGCAACATAGTAGTAGTTGAACAAAGTGACTTCCCTCTATGATGAGGCTGAAGACATGCCCCAGGTAAGAGGACAGAGAAGGACTAGTAAGAGTATGTTTAGATACATATATAAAATCTAGGAATAAATCCTCCAGATGCTTCCAATCACTTTTAGCAAACAACCCAGGGAAAAATGAATCAATTCAAAAGAAGAATGGCTAACACATGGCATCTAACCTTTTTCCTGATGCTATCAGAAAAGGAAAAAAATTCCTAACTAGCAAGAGGCAGAAGAATTAACTTTCAACATATTCTTCTTGATACTCTCAAATAAACTAAAAAGACACAAGAGGTTGAAAAATTATGAGACAACATATGAGCTAGCAGAGCCTATGAAAGAAAACGAAGAAAACAGGAAAACCACTAATGAAGAAAAATCACATTAGAAGCAGCAAAATGTAGGGCAGTACTGCAAACAGTGACATGAGGATAGGCTTGAGAAAAATTAAAAGAAAATGGAAAAGCACAAAGATAAAAATGATTAGAGAAAAGATGACAGACATGTAAGACTGACAAAGGAGATTCCACATACCCATGACTGATGTTCCTGAAGAAAAATGGAACAAATGGAACAGAAAAAATATTCAAAGATATAATAGAAGAAAACTTCCCTGACATTAAGGAAGATCTTAATATATTCCTAAAAAAAGATACAAAACAATCAACAATGAAATTATTGAACTTCAAGAAAAAGGACTATGTGGGCACCCAGAGGAAAAATAAGGTTCCTACAAGGGGTTGGCCTCACACTTCACAGTACTAACATTCAATGCTAGAAAACAGTGAAGCAATGTCTGAGTACTGGAAAACAAGGGCTGTGCAAGAAATTTATATCTAGTAAAATTGTTGTTTATATGTAAAAGCAACAGGGAACATTATGCAAAGACTATAGGAATATATCAATCCTGTAAACTCTGTAATAAACAATTTGATGATGACTCTAGCCCACCAATACATGAATTAAATAAAGAATTTAGGAATAAAAAAAAATCATGTTATGAAGCAACTGGCTATATGCATTAAAACCATCAAAATATAAAACTTAGGCCCAAAAAATTGAGGCAAATTAGAACTCAGACAAGAATGTAAATGTTAATAAAGACAGACATTATAAAAATACCATATTTCCTCATTTCTAAGATGTACCTTTCTTATGTCTGAACATTTCTGAAACTGAGATAAACTCACAATGGATGCAATATGAAGATTATTGTGGCAGGCAGTGTTTTGTTTCTGAAAAGTTTAATGATGGTATAAATGAGGAAATATGCTAATGTAAACAAAACTCTGATAATCCCACATATATTATAACGTATCTGTTCCCACCAGTTATGCTTGGTTCTATATCTCTTTTTGCCAATTGTGTTAAACCTGTGATTTTGTAATTCTGTGCACCTCTGAAATATGAGTCCAAAAAATGAGTTGTTTCTATGAAAATCAAGTTTGAATTCTTTAGAAAGATTTAACCAAAATGTTTTGCTAAACAATAAATTGTTGCCAAATTAGTCTAGGGCAGAAAAAGTAAGTGACAAAATAAAAAAATAAAAGGATTTTTCACTCATATTGCTTTACGAGTATCTACTGTTAACAATATATTTAGCGAATGTAGAAAACTTTATTCCCAAAAGAAACTCAGATTGGATTAAAAACATAAACATAAAACCAACACGATCTTATAATAGCAAAAAATAAGAATGTATGCATGGTAATCCATTAATTACAATATTTCCATACAATATTGTACAGCCATTTAAAAAAAGAAAATATTCAGACTGAGTGCTATGGCTCACATCCATAATCTCAGCACTTTGGGAGACTGAGGTGGGGGAATCTCTTGAGCCCAAGAGTTTGAGACCAGCCTGGACAAAATTGTGAGACCTTCATTTCTACATAAAGTTATAAAAACTTGTCTAAAAAAAAGAAGAACGAAAAGAAACAAACGAACTATTCACTCACTCATGCTATATATATGCTAACATAGAAAGAAGTCCATACTATATAAAAAACCAAAATCACATTCTACATTTTGTACATCACATTAATTCTGTTAAAAAAAGCAGCAAATATATATTACACACATATACAAATCTACATATATGTATAGAAAATATATAGAAAGATAACCAAGAGAAGTAGTAATAATGGTTACCCTGTGTATTTTTTTAAAAAAATTTTGGATTGTTAATTCAAAAATTTAATACAATATATTCACATGTTTTCAAGAATACTTCCCCTGTATACAATGAATATATTTATTTCAAAGCAGATATGTAATTTTTCATTTTACCTTGCTAGGCCACCATAATCAAGTCCTTCTTCTCCTCTAAATATTACATACAAGCGCCTCCTCAAGTCATAGGGTTTTAATGCCATAATCTAATTAACAACAAAAACATTAATATTTAAATACTCATATGCAGTGCAAGTTCCTTTCAAAACAATTTAAATTTAATCTGTATTTTCAAAATTACAGATTTCCTTATCTTATGCAACAATGCTTTTAACACAAGAGATGAATCGGTTTGTTTCACAAACTAGATAAAGACACACATATCAATCAATCCCCAACTCACTTTCACATATAGTTGACATGGGTTTAAGTCAACATGGTGACTGCACAGGTCCACTAATACTTGAATTTTCTTCAGCCTCTGCCACCCCTGGGACAGCAAGGCCAAGCCCTCTTTTTCATCCTCAGCCTATTCGATGTGAAGACAATGAGATGAAGACCTTATGATGATCCACTTCCACTTAAAGAATAGTATATGTATTTTATCTTCCTTACGATTTTCTTAAAAACATTTTCTTTTCTCTAGCTTACTTTATTGTAAGAATACAGTATATAATACATATATTATGCAAAATATGTGTTAATTGACTCTTCACATTTCCAGTCAATGGTAGACATTAGCAGTTCAGTGTTTTGAGTACTCAAAAGCTATACACGGCTTTTCAAATGTGCAAGGGGTCAGCACCTCTAGTCCCTGTGTTGTTTATGGGTCAACTATACTCTATCTCCCTTCTAGTATTAAATGATAGTTACACTTTGGGTTAATGGCAAGAAGGAAGAGTTTGACACAAAAGGCTTTAGGGTTAAAAATACTATCTCCCCTGCTAGTTTCACCAAGCTGTACCAAAATCTTTCAACAGGTGACTTGCACATTTTTCTGACAAGCAGCCCTTAGAGGCAAAAACTTTGTTCTGCATCCTGCTTATACCAAACATTCCATTTCTCAGTAGGAAAAGAACTCTGAATATACAATGATGAATTTATTCACAGGCTAATATAACTGAAAAATAATACCTATATCCAATTTTCATAATCCTTAATAGCTTACATGGAGGTTACTGGTAAGTAGGCTTCACTTTTGGATAGAAATAAATTACTTTCACCACACATATGTCAGGACCAGAGCCAAGACTGGCAAGTCTGAGTTGGAGTACAGCTCACCAGCATGCCTCCTTCAAGGCAGTCATGGGCTCAGTGCTATACATCAAACAGACCATGATTCTTCCCAAGACAGGGTAAATAGCAAAATAAAGTCTACCCTGAATTCAGATGTGCACTTACTAAAATCAACCCAAACAGAGTTTAGAACAAGTTGACCTATTTACACTTACTTTGCTAAGAATTTATTACCTAAAAAAAGAAATAAATTTGATAATAGTTTAAGTATCACACCTAAAGTCCAATAGTAAAATTAAGTTATGGTTTGAAATTCTCTTGGGGCTCAGAGTATCATTACTCCATTTTGGCTTGTATAAAGTTAATAAAAATCCCTGTATGTCTGAGTACACAGCAAAATTTGGTTCATCATTGTAATACTAAACAGGGGAATGAGACATCTCATTATGAAAAATTCTCCCCTACATCGGAAAAAAAGTGACAATACAGCATTTGGATTTTTTATACTTAAATATTCTGCAGATGATTCAGGAAAGGTAAAAATATTGCATTCGTTTACTCACTCATCAAATATTTATTGAATACCCTCTATGTCCAAAGGCACTATTCTAAGAACTAGGCAGAACAGCAATAAACCAATAGTCCATGCTCTCATGGAGCTCACATTCTAGCAAGAGAGACAAAATATACTATGTTAGGTGGTTAAGAAAAAGAATAAAGCATCATATATGCCTGGAATGTGACTGTAAGGGAGAAAAGCAGGACTGCTATCTTAAAATAGTAAGCTCAGGGAAGGTCTGACTGAGATCGCAACATTTAAACAGAAACTTAAAGGTGAGAATAACCAGTTATTAAAGGAATACTCAAATGGAATACAGTATCTACCAATTTAATTTTAATTTGATAGGATTATCAAAACATTTTTTGTTTGAGGTAATACACTCTTAGCAAATGATTAAGTGTCAAAACAAGAATCAACTTGTTCCAAAAGCTGTTTGAGCTTTATTTTAGTAAACATGTATCTAAATTTATGATAGAATGTCTCTCAGTCTCAGTACCTTTACCTATAACATGGAGATACAAAAAGAGCTATCTCAAAAGGATGTTGTGAGGATAAATGAAATAAAATGAGAAACGTAAGGTGCTAGTGTTTTGCAAATGATAATCACTCAGTTTATGGTAGGATTGAGTATAACTACCATTAAAATGAGCACTCTGGCCAGATGCAGTGGCTCAAGCCTGTAATCCCAGCAGTTTAGGAGGCCGAGGTGGGTAGCTCACTTGGGCCCAGAGTTCAAGACCAATCTGGGCATTATGGTGAAACCCCATCTCTATTTAAAAAAAAAAAAAAAAAAAAAAAAAAGGCACTCAATAAGTGGCAGTGGCAGTCATTATTATTATAGCTGTGTTCTGAGTGGTTTAAAAATCTCTAAAACACTAACTTTCTTCAGATGTATAGATTACAATGAGATAAACAGGTGTTGTTTTATTCTGCTAAAATCCTCCGTACCTGTTGGAAGGAATCTTCAAACAATGTCTGCCGGGACACATTGATCTTTACATGACTGGGTAGTGCATTAGACTGAAAACAAAAAATAATATCATAATATCATCTAAGTTATAGTATATGTCCTGTATAAAGATAAGACTAAATTACTGTGAGTATAAGATTTATTTACCACTGTAGTACCTGGCACAAATAACGGAAGTGAGCAAGTTTCCACCTAAAGCTGCGTTCATATGCAATTTGTGGACCACCTTTAGTTCTAAAGAAAAACAAAAATAAACCAAATTAATTCATAATTAAGTTGAATATTTAGTATTCAGTATAAAATCAGAGTGTACTGAAGGCCTACAAAATACTATAGGAAACTTTCTGCTGGGAGAGAAAGGTATACATACATGGTAGGCCAAAAGAAGTTCAAGCAATGGGGACTATTACAGCAACAGGACACACACATACAGAAAGAGGGACATTGTATTTATGACTAGATCCTTTGTTAAGTAGTGAGTTAAATGAAATATCAAAGTCTACTACAGACTATTTCAAAGAAAATCCTTGATAATCCTTAAATCTAAGGAGGACAGTGGCTCCAGACAGAGTAGACATGGAAGGAAATTCTACCACATCCTAAATCTAACCTAAAACCCAAACAAATATTCCTGGAGATAATAAGCAAAGCAAAATCAAATTCCTAGAAACAACATGGTCATCCAGGTCATATGGTTCAGGTGGTCAGTGAGAAAAAAAGGCAGAGTTGGTGGCATGGCACTTAGGAATACAGGTTTTACAATTTGGTTTGACTGCCATTAATGCAGCCTGGGTCTCTTGCCTATTGATTGAGGGTCTGACAAGCACAAAGAACTTTCATAATCTTAAGGAACACTTTGGAACAGATGAAAAAATGCTCTCTTGTGTTGTCAGGTTCAAGTGAATTCACCTACTCAACAAGCATTTACTGAATGCATAGCTGGCACCTGGCTTTCTTCTAGACAGTGAGAGCATTACGCCTGTTTTGTGGAGCTTATGTACTAGCAAAGGAGACAAGACAAAAAAATATAGTAAGTAAGCGAAGTACATATGTAATGTATTAGAAGAGGACAAATATCTTATCACTTCTGACCTAAAAGAATAAAAAAGGCATTGTTAAAAGGACAAAGAATAAGGAGTGATATGAGAAGAAGCATTTTGTAATTATCAAAAGGGTAAAATAAGGAGAGCTCAGAGACAAAGTGGCATTTGAGCGAAAATATGAAGGAGAGGGCATAAGCCACATGGAGGTTCAGGAAGAGTATAGCAGGCAGACACAAGGGCTAAGACCCACGGTGGAAGCTGAAGGTGTTCAAGGCACAGCTAGGGCCAATGAAGCTGGAGCACAGTGAATGAGGAGGAGTGAAAACCAAGAAGAGGTTGAAGAAATAAGAAGGGTCAGATCCTGTAAGACTGTTTACGTTGTTGTAAAGTGTGCTTTTTACTCTGACTGAGATGGAAACCACTGAAGAGTTTTTTGCAAAGAAATGATTTTTAATTTTTGTTTTGGAAATTCAGTCTCTCTGCTGTATGGTAAATAACATAACATTGTACAAGGTATGGGAAGAAAGCAGAGAGAAGACTCTGCTACCAAGCCAGTGAGACAATGGTAACTTGGATCAAAGTGGTGGCAATGTGAGTGGTGAGACATACCTGGGCCCTAGATATGTGCTGAAGTTGAGGTAAGTAGAACTCTTGATGGACTGTTTGTGAAGTAGGAGAAAAAAAGGAGTTGAGGACAATTCCAGTTTCTTTTTTCCTTAAGATGGATTCTTGCTTTTGTTGCCCAGGCTGGAGTGCAATGGTACAATCTCAGCTCACTGCAACCTCTGCCTCCCTGGTTCAAGTGGTTCTCCTGCCTTAATAGCAGCGATTACAGGTATGCGCCATTTTTGGAACGCCCGGCTAATTTTTGTATTTTTAGTAGAGATGGGGTTTCACCATGTTGGCCAGGTTGTTTTCAAACTCCTGACCTCAGGTGATCTGCCCACGTCAGCCTCCCAAAGTATTAGGATTACAAGCATGAGCCACCACGCCCGGCTGATTCCAAATTTTTGACCCAAGCACATATTAGAGTGCAGTCACCATCAACTGAGACAGAAAATATCACAGATAAAGCTGGGTTTTTGTTGTTGTTGTTATGTTTTAAATTTTTTTTCTTTTTTTAGAGATGGGGCCTTGCTGTGTTGCCCAGGCTGGTCTCAAATTCCTGGGCTCATGTGATCTACTTGCCTCAACTTAAAAAGTGCAAGGATTACAAGTATGTGCCACCACACCTGGCCAGAGAGCAGATTTTACAGCAGATTTCTGAAGGAGTTTTAAGTGGAGATGTCAATAAGCAGCTGAATATAGAAAGTAAAATTTCAAGTGAGAAGTCTGACTAAATTTATGAGTCATTAGCAGACAGATGTTTTAAAAGTATGATACTGAGTAAGATGTACCAAGAGAATAAATGTAGTTAGAAAAAAAGGCAGGGGGGGCCTGAGGAAAAAAAGGAAGACTTGGCAAAATAAAGAAAGAAAGAAGACCAGAAAGGCAGAGGGAAATCAATAAAGTATGGTCCACAGCACTACTTTTGCCAGGAGAGAGAAATGGATCATGTCAAATGCTCCTGATAAGTCATATCAGACAGGACTGCAAACCAATGCCTGGATTAACAACATGAAGGTCATTGACGCCCTTGCAAGTTCAGTGTCAGGGGCACTTCCTTGGAATTGGTTTAAAGGAGAAACTATAAACAGCAATACAGAGACAACCCTTCAGGTAGTTTTCCTGTAAAGGGAAGCAGTAAAAATGAACCGTGGGCTGGGCGCAGTGGCTCACGCCTGTAATCCCAGCACTTTGGTAGGCCAAGACGGGTGGATCATCTGAGGTTAGGAGTTCGAGACCAGTGTGGCCAACACGGTGAAACCCTGTCTCTACTAAAAATACAAAAATTAGCTGGATGTGATGGCGAGTGCCTGTAATCGCACCTACTCGGGAGGCTGAGACAGGAGAATTGCCTGAGCCCAGGAGGTGGAGGTTGCGGTGAGCTGAGATTGTGTCATTACACTGCAGTCTGGAAGACAGAAGCAAAACTCCGTCTCAGAAAAAAAAAAAAAAGAAGAACTGTGATTGAACACATTGGTAAAGGGAAGAGTTGTAAATTTTTGCCCCTTTTTTAATATAGGAAAAATAAATGCTGATAAGAATAATTTAGTAGAGAAATAAAACCCGATGATGTAAGATACAAAGATGGTAACTGTTGGAGCAATTAAGTAGAAAAAGTGAGGGTAGGAATCGCATGTACCAGCAGAGGGACTAGACTTTGATAAGAACAATGACAGTTCAACTACAGGAACAGGAGGAGGAGAGATGCTAGGAGATGAACAGATATGGTGATACAAATTTGCAAAAGGCCTTTTATGATTGCTTCCATTTTCTTAGTTATGCAAAGACATTATACCTTAGAGTAAGAATGAAGGAGAGATCTGCCAACTGCTTAATTAAGGTATCTTTAAATCTGGAAAATCCAGTTTCACTGACCATCTCATTGTAGCAGTGTGATGTGGCAGTTAAGAGCACAGAGTCTAGAGACAAGCTGACTGCCATGGTTTGAAACCAGTCCATTACTTGTCTTATAACTTTGCACAGTTAGTTATGCTCCCTATACTTCTCCTCACTTGGTAAAGGGAAAAATAACAGTATCTACTTCAAGGGGTTATTGGAAGATAAAATCAGTTAACACCTATAAAGTACTTAGAACAATCTTTGGCATATAGTAATCACTACATAAATAGTTGCCATTGTTATTATTAAGGAATTACACGCCACAAATCCATTCTCAAATGAGAACAAAGACAGCTAAACTAAGGTATTACTTGTGTAGGTTTTCTTGAACTGAAAAGTAAAATGTTTTGTTAAACTTGAGGATAAATCTCATGTGCTCACTAAGCAACATTTAAAGGAAAACTTCAGGTTTTCACTTACACAGATGACTTCCCATTGCGAGGATCTTTGAATGTTGTTGTTCTCGTGTTATGATCAACAAAGTACCTTACACCTTCACGAGTATATCTAATTTCCCAGCCTTCTGGCAGGGGTTCTTCGTTCTGTAAGCTAAAAGATAAAGTTAAAATCATAAGATGAACATTTTCTAGGTACCAAAAATATCTGATTCAAGGTTGGTTGATCCTACCTACAGATATATGCAAGATGACTTAAGGCTGCAGCATATACATACCCTTGAGTTCTTGGATCTTCCCACTGGGTTGTTTTTGTGTTATGATTCACAAAGTAAACCCTGTCTGTCGAATCCACTCTTTTTTCTAAAACATAAAGTGAGCATAATATTTAATAACTATATTATATATACATTATAGATTATTACCAAAAATATAACAGCTTACCCCAGCCTGGTGGCAAAGGTCCATAAGGGTCATTCTCTGCAGCTAACATTGAAGCCTGGTTGCAGAAAAGATGGGGGAGAGAAATAAAATAACAGTGTTTTAATACGAAAGTAGAAATAAGCCAAGCACGTGGCAGAATCACATTTATAATAATTTTTTAAAAATATGATAAGGGGCTGAGCACAGGGGCTCACGGCTGTAGTCTCAGCACTTTGGGAAGCCAAGGTGGGAGGATCACTTCAGCCCAGAAGTTTAAGACCAGCCTGGAAGACCCTGTCTCTATTTAAAAAAAATTTTTTTTTTTTTTAAATTAGCCAGATAATGGTGGCACATGCCTCAAGTCCCAGCTACTTGGAAGGCTGAGGTGGGAGGATCAACTGAGCCCAGGAGGTAGAGGCTACAGTGAACTGTGATCACACTACTACTGCACTCCAGCCTGGGCGACAAAGCAAGAAGCTATCTCAAAAATATATCTTTGTTATCAGATAGATAGACAAAGCAAAAAGCTGTCTCAAAAATAAATCTTTTTTATCAGATAGATAGATAGATTAAAGAAATACAGCAATTTCAAGACACAAAGGTTTTTTTTATTTTTTTTGAGACAGGATCTTGCTCTGTTATCCATATTGGGATACAGTGGCATGATCTCGGCTCATAGCAGCCTGTGCTTCCCAGGCTCAATCAATCCTCCCATCTCAGCCCGTCGAGAAGCTGGGACTACAGAAATGCCGCACCACACCCAGCTAATTTTTGTATTTTTTGTAGAGACAAGGTTTTGCCATGTTTCCAAACCTGGTCTTGTACTCCTAGGCTCAAATGATCCATCTGCCTCAGCCTTCTACAGTGCTGGGATTACAGGTGTGACCCACCACTTCCGGCCAAGACACAAAGTTCTTAAAATGTCATGAAGAGGAGACTATCAACTAATCAAATTAATTATTAGTTTTTCGAAAATGATTTAGAAATAATATACTGGGATCAATACTTTAATCTCCCAGTCCTTCCACACTAATCTATAGAGGGAACATGAAATGGGAGAAGAACATATAGGAAATCATAGTGTTTAAATCAGTTTAAAAACAGAACAATTATCACAATTTTCTTTAAAGCAAATGCCTACTAATAAAAGCAACACTCAACTCCAGTATCATTTGTAGAAATTAACTTTTAATTTGTATCTTTTATATTTTCATACATACATAAAACATTTTTATGTATGTTTCCACAATCTTATTATAACCTAGAAATATATTCTGAAGAAAATATAACCATTCTATCAAGAATTCTAAAATAATGACAAATATAAAAATCATTAACTGAAAAATAATTTCATAAAATACATGCATCTTGAAGAATATAATCTTGTAACACATCCTATTAATTATACTCAATATTTATCTTCCACCTGTTCTTAAGAACCAAATCCCCATTTTGTTTGAGGCAGAAATGTGGCCATAGAGATCATTCCATTCCCCTTCCCTTGCAGCTGAGTTGGCAGTGTGACCAATTCTGGCCAATGAGGTATAGGCAGAAGGCCATGATGAGGGCATCCTTCTCTAAGTAAAAAAGGCAAGGGCTTGCAACAACAGAGCCATCTGCCCTTTCGATTCCTCGTTCTCTTTCTTTTTCCTAGACTGTGGATGTGAGGCCCACAGCACAGTGCTCTATATAAATGAAATAATAAGCCTGAAGCATGATACAGATGGCAGAGCAAAAATACAGAAAGAACCCAGGTCCTTGATAGTACTACTGAGTCAATGCAGCATTTGTTTTAGACCTCTACCCTAGACTCGATGTTGTACTGAGATCATTAAACCACAATGTGTTTAAGGAGATTCTATTACTTGCAAGAGAACATTCTTCTGATACACATCTGTTACCTTATTCTGCCCTGTTCACCAAAGGTTTTCATGTGCACAGGTTAAGTCCAACCAAAAACAAACCCATACAATATTGAGGGAATGTATTCTTTCCTCGGGTCCACAAGGGGGAGTGGTTTCAAAGACAAGAACTTCCCACTGACATGCTCAACCTGCCTTTTTTCCCCATCTCCATCTGGGAGCTTAGAGGTTTTTGTTTTAACTTTCACTCACAAGGTAAGATAGACTGCCCAGAAATTAAAGGTCAATCACTCTAGCAGGAGTTTAAAGGAACTCCTTTCAGAGGACAAAAAACTTAAATGCAGCAGGAATAACTCCCAGGTTAAAAGTCCCCTCCTCTTGCATATGTTCAGATTCCATTTCTGGATCCCGTCTCATGACAGCATGGGAGCTCGCTCTCTATTTCTTTCTCTTCTCTCTCTCTCTCTTTCTCTCTCTGCCTAAATAAATCACTTTCTGCAAAACTCTTTGAGGTCCAGTATTTACTTAAACAAACTCACCATGTCCTGCGGGGTCCTCTCCCCCATTCTTGGGTGAGTGAGGGACCAAGGGCCTGGAAGAACACATCCTATCCGGGAGCTGATCCTTCCCCACGTCCCGCAACCCGGTCTCAATATTATTACTATATATAGCTAAACTATGGAACCTTACCACAGATTTCTATACAAGTCATGAAAGAACCAGCAATCGAAGGCAGCAGGAGACGCTATGGAAACTAGGCTGCCCACTCCCTCCCTGCTAGCTATATATAACCAGGAGAGTGGGTCAATCTGCAAATGAGAACTTATTATTTAATCTCTGAAAACAATGTGGTTGAGGCCGGACACAGTGGCTCACACCTGTAATTCCAGCACTTAGGGAGGCCGAGGAGGGTGGATCACTAGGTCAGGTGTTCGAGACCAGCCTGGCCAACGTGGTGAAACCCTGTTTCTCCTAAAAATATGAAAATTAGCCAGGCGTGGTGACAAGTGCCTGTAGTCCCAGCTACTTGGGAGGCTGAAGCAGGAGAATTGTTTGAACCTGGGAGGCAGAGGTTGCAGTGAGCCAAGATCACACCATTGCAGTTCAGCCTGGGTGACAGAGCGAGACTCTGACTAAAAAAAAAATTTGGTTGAAAGAGCCACACTGCAGGAGGATTTTGCAGAAAGTTACTTATATTTTCTTTTTATGTCTCTTTCTTACTTCCTTTCTACCTGCTAGCTTCTACACTTTAGATTTTTTCAAGTTCCTTCAAAACACTATCTGCAGTTGCCCCAGTACTTAAAATTTATCTTTTCTACCTTCTATGATCAAACCATTTATCAAAGGAGTTTTGTTTTGTTTTCTCCACTCCTCTCATGGATGTTTGCTTACGGCAATCAGTAAATCACTAACTTGTCAAATTCTTAGATAGCATTAGATTTTTTGGGCAAAACTTTCCAGTTCTGGAAATACCTCTGATGGCGAAAAACAGATGAGTGTTGCTTTTTAGAATCTAGGAAGAGAATCAAAATAGCTAGAATACTGCAAGACTGGCTCTAAGTAAAATCATAAGGTAACTGGTTTTAAAGGAAACAAAATTATTATAAAGGTGGAGGACAGAAAATCAGTAAAAATATTATTTTATTAAGGATTGCATTTATGAAACTATCCCTTAGTAAGGATATAAAACTTAGTGTATGAGTTATGTTAGTAAACTATTATATTTTTAAATATTATTAAGTGCTTATATATATCAGAAACACCATTTATTAAACATTAACTAAAAAGTATCTTGTGACACAGTCTATACCATTTCAAAAAGCATCAAAATAAATATGTGATTATGGTCAAGGAATAGCAAAAAAAAAAAAAAAAAAAAAAAGAAAAGAAAAGTCACCATAATAGAGGACAAATGCCTGAGGGAGGAAGTTATATCAAGGTCTTATAATTTGCTAATTACCGAATAGAGGTATCGTTGGTTAAACTGTTGCATAGCTCCCTGCAATTGGTTCCGCTGAGATTGCCACTGTTCAAAATTTCGGACAGATTCCATGGTAGGCCGTTGCCATGTTGTTGTTCTGGTGTTATGATCCACATAATAAACTCTTCCACGATCATCAACTCTTCTTTCCCAACTACCACAAATAAAACAAACAATGATAAAAATAAACAATCATCTCGTAATATAAGAAAATGAAAAGCAGTTATTACTTCACTCAATTTAAAAATCAAGTTCAAGATATGTTAAAATAACTCAAAAATAATATATTGATATTTTTCAGAAAAACATAAAAATATGAACTATTTATTTTAGCTAAATTATCTTCCCATTCTACTAATAATATCTTTTTTCTTCTTTAATCACTTTAATGTTTAGTCCCACACTAGAAGTGGCTGCTTATTTTCCTTTTTTTTTTTTTTTTAATGTTATTGTAAGTTCTTCGATCCATGTGCAGAACATGCAGATTTATTACATAGGTATAAATGTGCCATGGTGGTTTGTTGCACCTATCAACGTATCACCTAGGTTTGAAGCCCCGCAAGGGGAGGGAGAGCATTGGCATTAATATAATTTCTAAAGACTGTCTAAAAAGAGGCCAATGAGTGGAAGTTTCAGTATCACTCGGGTTACTCTTTCTGCTTTTTTAGGAGGATCGAGTTTCACTCTTATTGCTCAGGCTGAAGTACAATGGCACCATCTCAGCTCACTGCAACCTCTGCCTCCCAGGTTCAAGTGATTTTCCTGCCTCAGCCTCCCGAGTAGCTGGGATTATAGCCACACATCACCATGCCGAGCTAATTTTTGTATTTTTAGTAAAGACAGGGTTTTACCATGTTGGCTAGGCTGGTCTCAAACTTCTGACTTCAGGTGATCTGCTCACGTCTTGGCCTCCCAAAGTGTTGAGATTATGGGCATGAGCCACCAGGCCCGGCCTCTCCATTGTTTCCATCATCGTCTTTTTTTTTCTTTTTTTGAGATGGAGTTTCCCTCTTTTGCCCACTGCAGTGCAGTGGCATGATCTCAGTTCACTGCCACCTCTACCTTTTGGTTTCAAGCAATTCTCCTGCCTCAGCCTCCTGAGTAGCTGGGATTACAGGTGCCCACCACAACGTCTGGCTGATTTTTGTATTTTTAGTAGAGACAAGGTTTCACCATGTTGGCCAGGCTGGTCTCAAACTCCTGCCCTCATGATTCGCCCACTCGGGCCTCCCAAAGTGCTGGGATTACACGCGTGAGCCACCATGCTTGGCCTCCTTTTTTTGATAAGCATTTACTGACAGTGCCTGCTGTATACCAAGCAATCTGCTCTATAGCCACTGCCCGTGTTCAGGATGAGTTAACTGAACTCTTTTTATTACTTTTTAACTCACCTTCCTGCCATTATATTGCTGCCAATTATCTTCCTGAAATGCAGGTGGACTCCGTGTCATTCCACCCACAATGGCTCAATGGCATGGCATAAAAATGAGTTGTCCACCTTTTCAGCCTCATCTCCCTGAGATCCTACCAGGGTGATACACTAGTTCCAAGTGTATCACGTGTTGAATTTTGTCATGCCTTTGACTCACAGAACACCCTTCCCTATTTCTCACCAACTAGAATTCTACCCATCCTTCAGGGTTCACTCTAACTCCCACCTGTTCTACAAATGTAAAAACTATTAAACCTATTTTTGTCATTAATGTATACAATGATCTTAAAATCCTTTCAGTAACCAATTCTAAATTTCTTAGATAAACTTGTTGCTAAAAATACAATGGACTCACAATAGACTCTAAAGATGAAATTAAAGACAATCTCTGTCTAATTTTTGGACAACAGTTTCAGTGAAATAATCCCTATGTCATGGCACTCAATGAATGGGCTAAATGAATGACTATAATTTGATGATCCTGTCTTAGTTAAAATGAACTTCATATTTGCCATATTGAAATATCAGCTCCATGTTTTCCAGTAAATTTTCATTTAATACTGTAGAATCAATACCTAAGTGCTTTATTCCATAAAAGAGAAATATCCCACAAAAATAACATATTATCTGCCTTGAATTTGCTAGATTTTTCAATGTATTTTGTAATGGTGGGCTTTAAATTGAATCTGGAAAGGCAATCTGAGTATCTAAGAAATATATTCCAGGTACATACAGAATGTTTGAGATGAATGAATGCAAACTGCAATTCAAAGAGCTATCAGTGCCGTATGTAGAGAGTTATGAAAGAACACAAAGTTGAAAGGAAGACTCATTTGTCAATGGCCTTAAGTGACAGACTAATAACATGAAGTTTAGTATGTAATAAAAACATTATCAATTTAAAATCTTCTACAATTTTAGGTATAAGTTCACTCGTGGCAATCTTTCTAGATCATTGTTTTGAGCCACTTTAATATTTAAGTCATTAAATCTTACGAAATAAAATAGTTTAGAACACTATCCATGGAGAACCATACATATAAACTGTCCTAAATAATCACCTTTCCTTAAAAAAATAACAAGGACCGACAATTTACCAAATTTTGCAATATGTGTCAGTAGCTCATGCCAATGTTTGACAGTCTCTTGAGGAAGCCCTACAGACTACCTGCTCTCATTGACTAAACATTCATTATTTATAAAAGGAAATGTAAAGAAATTGAATATATGCAGAATGAAAGAATCAAATTTTGCTGTACTAAATAAATTTAAAAACCACATGTGTGATAAAATATAACTGCAGGTGCATAAAGGTGCTATATTACCCTGGAGGTAAAGGTTGTGGTCTCTCCCATGTGGTAGTTCGGGTATTATGATCCACATAATAGGTTCTACCATGAGGATCTTTTCTTTGTTCCCACCTTTGATAAAACACAAAAATAACAGTAAGAAACAACACACTAGGACAATCTTAAAAATGACTTCTTTGTAATCAGAAAAATGACCGATAAACTTAATATTTAAAAAAACTAGACACACAGCTATATATATAAAGGCTACTATATATATAAAAGTGTTCGTTTTCTCAGTTATTAGTACTTTTTAAACCTCTTAATTATTCCCTTTTTATTACAGTATTGGAAATTCAAAAAGTATAGTTAGCAGAAAAGGGATAGAATACCCTACATTTTTAAAAGGTAGTAATTTATAGAATTCTAAATTATCAGAAAACAGAAATTGAATCAAGAATAATGAAACCTTCAACTCAATATGAAATCCAAGGCACAAAATGTCTATTAAGTAATATATTGACTTTGCTATAATTTCAAAAGTACCCATCTAAAACATTTTTAGCAAAAACGCCTTTAAAGAAATATGTGGTGATACTGCTCCATGAAAATTCTTTCATCTGTGTGCATAGAGTCTTTTTTATGTGTGCATATCTATTCCAATTTTGGTTCTGGTAGGTCTCTAAATTTATGGAAATTATTATCTTATTCCTATTCCATTTTGAAGACTCTCAGTCTCTCATTTCTCCTATTCTCATTTTTTCTTCTGTGATTCCTGTTAACTTCTCTTCAGTCTTTTCTTAATATGGTATATATAGAATAATTTTTAAAAATAAAAACTGGTGGGCCAGGCACAGTGGCTCATGTCTGTAATCCCAGCACTTCAGGAGGCTGAGGTAGGTCAATCACCTGAGGTCAGAAGCTTGAGACCAGCCTGACCAACAGGGAGAAACTCTGTCTCTACTAAAAATATGAAAAAAAAAAAAAAAAAAAAAAAAAATTAGCTGGGCATGGTGGCACACACCTGTAATCCAAGCTACTCAGGAGGCTGACTCATAAGAACTGCTTGAACATGGGATGCAGAGGTTGCAGTGAGCTGAGACTGTACCACTGCACTCCAGCCTGGGCAACAGAATAAAACTTTCTCAAAAATATCAAATAAAATAAAAATCAACAAACAAATAAAAACTGGTACTTTTGAGTTTAAGACTCTTGTTTTCAATTTTTAAGTAGAATAGCCAGAACATATTTTCCTTATTCTTAAACACAAGAACTCAAGAAGGCAGTGTTTAAGAAGGGACATGAGAGAGCATTCCTGGGATGCTGTCAATGTTCTATGTTTTGTATGATGGCTACAAATGTGTATTTTGTGATAAATCAGCTTCATCTATATATTTTGGAGGAAAGCACTTCTCTGTAAACGTGTGATGTTTCCTAATAAAATGATTTTTTTAAATGTGATTGCTTATCAAGAAGCCCTAACCTAGAATGGCGAGCTTTGATAAGTTGTCCTGCACCAAGACGGAGGCTCAAGGATCTCCCATAAAGTATCCAACAATCTTCCCTTCTACCTTCCTTCCCCATCTGCAAAGTTTTGAGAGAGGATCAAGTAGCTTTTCCCTATTATTTGTTGATATGGTAAATTTATATTTTCAAATATTAAATCAATCTGTGAGAACCTCCCCAAAAAAACCCAATTAAATTTATTTTTTATTGTGTTTATTTTCTTTAAATTATTTTTATACACAATAACCATATATACTGAAATTACTCCCTAGTTTGCACCCATACATACATATATACTTAAAATGACAAATGTACACACAAAAAAATTAAAAATTTGTTTAGGCTGCATCTGACAAACCTAAGTCACAAAATGCTTAAGTAGTAACCATAAACAATAAAGAGTCCCAAGTTTACAACTGACTTGGGGTCACAAAAAATTATTTAATTTACCTATTATATCCTATACTGGAACATTCATGCTAATTGGTAATGCAAAAACTTAGATATTCTTTATAAAGCATTTCACTAAAATTAGACACTCTGAAAGTTAAGGTTTACTCTATTTGTTTCTATAAAAAACCTCATGGGAAAGAAAGAGTTAAATATAAAATTTCATTTTAAAGGCCTTGCAGGAATATGTCTAAGAATATACCAATGAACTATTTATCTGTATGAAGGCTGGTTACCAAAACCAAATGAATACCTAAAAACCTTATCAAGTTTCACTTTTGCTATTTTTAGGTACTAATTCCCGTAAGTAGTCCTTGAATTTTTATTGCTATCTTATAGTAAAATTTCCTGGTTTCAACTATTTCTTCACAAATATCCTTAACTATTTTTAACTTAGCTTTAATTTTTTATCAAAATTACATACACTTTCAGATAGTTTAATATATACCTTCATAGCTATATAATTATATATACTATCACATAGTTTTAACAGTCATACAGTCTATGAAACTTACTGCAAAAAACAACAGCATCTACTGTCTAGTTCACTTGATTTTCCACTCCCCAAGGCAACATTTTTAACTTTCAGTCAATTTTTCAGGTATTTACCTCTTTTACTTATTAACTTGCTTGACTTACTGTGATTTATTTAATTTCAAACATAATATATTGAATTCTTACTAGGAAAGATGAAGCTGCATACACACATACGCATTTACATTTCCTGCACACATACACATTTACATTTACCCTCCTCCCAACCATTCCAAACATACACATATGTTGTACCTTCCCTTATAGTTATCATTGTAACTATGAAAATTCTTCCCAAAGCCAAGACATGGAACATACCCTGATTTCTTTTTAAATAAATACTATTAGCTAGAAAATTATCTCCACTTCCCTTACTTATTGTCTACATTCTTATCGTTAAACCCCAAATACTTTTCCAGTTGCATCAATCTCCTAAAACGTTCAGGCTCATTAGCTGTTCTGTGATTGCCGCTGCCTTCTGATTAGCTTCCAGTCTAGACTGAGTGTCTGCTGTCCAAGACCACTTTGGGCTTTCCTTCACCATTGTGCTACCATTCCTTTCACTCCTCTCCTAGCAGATCCTCTGATGCCTGCATCCAGTGTCTTTTAGTTTACCTAGTTTTGGGAAAATACAAATCCTAGTAGCTTTCTAAGAAAGAAGACATAGGAAGTGAGCTTCTGGAAACCTAGGATGTGCAAAAATGTATTTATTCTACGCAAACGCTAAACAGTATGGCTGGATACAGAATTATACGTTGGGTATAACTTTCTTCAGCATTTAAGGCATGAGCCCACTGTCTTCCACTGTCTTCTAGCTTTTCCTGTTGATTCTGGGAAATCTGATGCCATTTTGATTAGTCTGAAATGTGCTTTATTTATTTATTTTTTTTCTATTCTATCTCCCCATAACTTATTACCAAGACCCATCTTATGTAAACCTAAAAGATTAGCATTTACCTCACTTCACGCTCTCTTAATTTCTCCCCGGATTAGTGGCTTTTACACTTTTTTTGACCACAGTTTAGACAGTAAGAAGTGTTTTATATAAACATCTCTGTGTATACCAGATTGCTATTTATCTACTGATTTTACACACACACACACACACACACCCCCCAGAAAAACAAACTTTCAGGTAACAATGCTTAGTCTTACTACATTTAAGCTTACTCTTACTACATTTAACATCTTCCAATACTTCCTATTCTCACCTATATTTTTTTATTACATTATGTGTTCAAATGCTGGTCATAAATAACCTATTAATGGGTTACACTCTACAATTTGTAAAACACTAACCTAGATTACTGCAAAATTCTAATACAAAGATCATACATGGTGGCAACAAGCCTTTTGAAGCATTTATCTGGTCCCGACAGAATTAGATTCATGCACTTATTGTTTTGAACTAGAATGCCAGATTCCTCATTTATAAAACAGTCTAGCTGCTATCCCAACTCCTTAACTCCTCAGCTCTCTATACCACTGCAAAAATAATCTTAATAAAAGTAAAGAGGATTATGCCACTCCCCTGCTTTACATTTTTTAATGCTTATTCATGGTTTTCAGAAAAAACTTCCAAACCCTTCACAATCACACAAAATTCTTCATAGGGCTGTTTGCTCTTCAGCATTATATATCTTGCTGCCTCAAACGCTGAATTCGAACTGTGACAAAATAATAATTCCTGGGTTCAGTATACTCATTTTCATGGGTGCTGGGGATTTGAATATGCAGTCGGCTCTACTGAAAATGAAACTTTTCACCACTCGCGTGTCCACTATTTGCTAAGTCCTACTCTTCCTTCAGAATCCACTGAAGTGCCATAGCTTTCAGAACGTACTCTTTGACGTCAACAGCACAGGTTACTCCTACTACTCCACCTCTGCATATGTTCCTTGTCATGGCATCCTAAACTTACGTCTGGCATACCTTTAATTATACTCGCTGACTGTCTCCTTCACACCCCCAACCCCACTGAGATGATGAGGTTCTTCACAGTAAAAATAGCTTTTTATATGTGTTTGCCATAGTGACTGGCACATGAGAGACTAGGATAAATGACTAACATACCAAAGACAGGAGACACAGAACAAGAGCTTTTTGAGAGGGAAAGGAAAGCTAACAATGGGTCCAAAATATTTGCAGGAAACAGAATAGGGGAAAGTAGTTGAAAAATAAACTCAGAGAAAAGTCTGGCCTGAATGTATAGATTTAATAGTTAAAATGATGGAGAGCTGGCCAGAAGTGGTAGTTCACGCTTGTGGGAGGCCAAGATGGCAGGATCACCTAAGGTCAGGAGTTCAAGACCAGCCTGGCCAACATGTTGAAACCCCGTCTCTACTAAAAATACAAAAATTAGATGGGCATGGTGGCAAGCGCCTGTAATCCCAGCCACTCATGAGGCTGAGGTAGGAGAATCATTTGAACCTGGGAGACAGAGGCTGCAGTAAGCCAAGATCATGCCACTGCACTGTAGCCGGGGCAACAAGAATGAAATTCCATCTCAAATAATAATAATAATAATAATAATAATAATAATAATAATAATAGAGAGTGCTAGATCTACTGTGGTAAGCACACAAAAGAAAACCAAAGGCTGAAACCATAATTAAGCACTGGACAACATCAGATGAGCCAGCAAAGGGCACTGAGAAAAAGCAGTTTCAAAAAAAACCAAGATGCACTAACACAGTGACTGAGGTAAGAAAATGAGGACAATAGTGTAGAGACATCTAGAAGTGCAGTTTCAACAGCTACAAGAATTGACATTCTGATCACTGTAAGCTGTGTTGGAAAGCACTGTATCCATTATTTTTGTTGCAGCACTTTCTGACTATATTGTATATACTGTACATGCTTACAACTCTGAATCACAGAAACTAAATAAGCTTCTTGAAGGCAGAGACAATGAATCATTAATTAATATTAGTATTATCAGTGCCAAAGGTCAAAGAAATTGTTAAGTGAATGCAGAGGAGATGACCAAATGGAATACACATATAGAATACCCTTTAAAGAAAATCATGGGGAGTGGAATAATTACAATGAGAAACTTAAAAGAGATTAAGAATTACTAAGCAGCAATGAAAAACTGAGTCTTTTTATAGAACCAATCAGCAAGGTATGTGACTCCCCAGCACTCAATATTAGCTGAGGAAAAGAAGAGCTATTTGGTCTCCAGCATGAGGTCTGCAAAACAGAACACCAAGGATGCTAGAGAACTGAAGCTATTATATGGAGAGTCATGGTCACGCTTATGAAAAGTAAAAATAAACCAAGAATCAAATCAAGAGGGTCTTGCTAATTACATGAGATTTTTTTCTTTTCCCTTCATACTACATATATTTCAACCAGATGAGCAATCGTTCTTCATTTCAAAAAGTACTTGCTTTGTAGCAAGTAAACAAATAGTATGATTCAGATTCCAACTTAGGTTTCAAAATTGTGAACAATGGAAACATTTTATATATACACGGTATAGTTATATGTTAACAGAAAGTTCCTACTTTAACGCAAGTCAAACATTAAAAATTTAACATACCCTGATGGCAAAGTTTCTGTGTTGGCATTCCCAGACTGCTGCCGTACAGGATCCATACATCCATCTGGCTGTCTTGATTTGGCTGCTTCAAAAGCAGAACTACTGCCAGAATTAGAGGTGTCAGGGTCTAATATACTTCTAGCTTCAGATCCCAATTCTGCACTGGTAGAAGGAATACATTCATTGTTTTCTGAGGAAGTCAGTATTTCTTGAACTGAAGGTTCTTCAACAGTAGTACTAGTGCAATGTGGAGACAAGGCGTTTTCTTCAGACACTACTGGAGTACCCATGACAGATGCATTAGCAGTTGTTGCAAATGAGGATGATTCGCCATTAACTGAGAAGGGAAAATTAATAAAACAATTCATCAAGTAATGATAAAGCAATCAATTACCTAATCAAATGACTACACTTATTCAGAGCCTAATCCAGACTAAGCAACTACATTCTCCAAACAGCAGCCAAAGTTATCTTTTCAAAATATATAACATAAAATAAAATAAAGATTATGTTTTTTGTTGCTCAAGATTTCAGGAATGAATATGTAAATAATAAAAATTTAAGTATGTATAATAATAACCTTAAGGAGAGAGGCACCAACATTAAGATAATCAACAAGTTTTCCCTCCAAATCACCAATTCTGAGAGAAAGTCTATATGGGCCAACTAAACTTTAAAATGATCCCTTTCAATCACTCTTCCCTTGTGCAAATGGTAGCTAACACCAAAATAACTGTTTTGCCAATAGTAGGAAATGTATGATGGCGTCAATTCTTAACATAGTACCATATGGGTTGCAAGAACCCATTCTACACTTTTTCGAGAAATAACCCAGTACTGCAATCCAGTGACATGGTTTTCCTAATTTTTATTTCAAGTGTGATTGATCCAGTTCACTATTTTATATCAGTATAAAAATGTCACTATAAAGGTGAATAGATTACAGAACAAAACTTACTGGAAGACCATATATCAAAGTTCTAATGGAAATGGCAGAGGGAGACATAATCACAAATTTCAGGAGAATTAATGACAAAAAAAACCCATTCATATTAAATGCTACTGGACATGGCTAAAGAAGTATCCAAAGATGTAATAAAGAATAGTAATAAAAGAGCTTAGAATTCATTCCAGATACGGGGAGGAGGGAGGGGGAAGTAAGGAGAAGGAAACAAGTTTTGGTCAAGAGACCCAAAAAACAGATCAGGATTTCCTAATGTACTCGATAAGATTCAATAATTTACTGAAAAGACAATATCTCAGTCCTCATGCTAGACTTCCTGAATCTCTAGGGGAAATTCTAAGAAGGAATCTGGGGATCTGCATTTTCAACAAATACATGTGAGTTTTTAATCAGGAAAGTTTGGAGAAACCATGAAATACACCTTTCCAAGTTTTATAAAGAAAAAATGTTTAATATAAATAACATTAGAAATACTATGTATGATTTTATATCAATGAGTTTGAATTTGGCTAAACTAACTCAAAGGAAAGAAAAAAGACAAATCAGAGTAGCAATGGAAAAGGTGATGAAAGTTCTAATAAAATCCCTCCTAAAGGCCTGGGCTCAGACAGATTTTTGAGAAAATTCTATCAATCCCTTATCAAATAGATCACTCCTATGTTATTTAAGGTGCTATAACACATTAGGGGAGAAAAAGTGAAAAGGAGTTTCCTAACTCATTCTGGGAGGGTAATACAACCTTTCAAAGCTAAAACTGAACAAGAGAACAAGAAGACTATAGACTAACATCATATATAAATTCAAGGATGACTTGAGATTAGGAAACTACGTTAGAAAATCTACTATGTCGGCAGATTAAAGGATAAAAGTCATATGATTATTTTCAATATGAACCAAAAGGCATCCAAAAAATCTTGGTAAAATACCGATAAGAAGAATCAGGGAAAATTCACAAGTAATCTGGATTATCTATCACAAACCTACAGTCATTAATATACAACAATTGTAAAACATTTCAAGAACCTTTTTTTTTTTTTTTTCCAGATGGTGTCTTGCTCTGTGGCCCAGGCTGGAGTGCAGTGGTACAATCACAGTTCACTGCAACCTCTGCCTCCTGGGTTCAAAAGATCATCCTGCCTCAGCCTTCCTAGTAGCTGGGATTGGCACCTGCCATACCTGGCTAATTTTCCTATTTTTTAGTAGAGAGAGGGTTTCACCTTGTTGGCCATGCCAGTCTGAAACTCCCGACTTCAAATGATCCACCCAACTTGGCCTCCCAAAGTGCTGGGATTACAGGCATGAGCCACTGTGCCCAGCCTATTTATTGTAAGAACTTCTGTTAAGATCAAGAATAAATTAAAATCAGCAACAAAACCAGGAAGATCACAATTAACACTCCAATTCAATATTGATTATATCTGGCAATCTATTAAGAAAAGTTATAACAACAATGGAAAGAATATAGTAAAATTTATTTGTAGTGAAATGACAAAAAGATTATTTATTTAGAACACACAAAAAACTTCAAAAAATTAGAACCAATTAACTGGAGCTAAAACATTTCAGCAAAATGAACAAACACAAGATCAACATCAAAACTAAATCTAAGACCTATGTGAAGAAATTATTTTTCTTTCTTTGAGACAGAGGCTCACTCTGTCACCCAGGTTGAAGTGCAGTGGTACGATCGTGCCTCACTGCAACTTCAGCCTCCCTGGTTCAAGCGATTCTCCTGTCTCAGGCTCCCAAGTAGCTGGGATTACAGGTATGCACCACCACATCAGCTAAATTTTTTTGCATTTTTAGTAGAGATGGGGTTTCATCATGTTGACCAGGCTGGTCTCGAACTCCTGACCTCAAATGATCCTCCCACCTCGGCCTCCTGAAATTCTGGAATTAAAGGTGTGAGCCACAGCATGCCCAGCTTGAAGAAAACTTTTCCAAAACATTACCAAAAAGGATAGAATGAATACAGATATAAAATATCTCTCAATGGGAAGATTCCGTATTGTTAAAATAATAATAAACAATAAACAAGTCTCCTTGAAATACAAATGCTGGTAAACACTAGGAATTCTCATTCATTGCAGTGGGAATGCAAGAGTACAGCCACTTTGGAAGATAGTTTGGCCATTTGTTACAAAAGTAAACACACAACCCACCAGTCTCACTCCTCAATCCAACTGAATTGAACTTATATTCACGTTAAGAGCCTACACACAAATGTATATAGCAACGTTTTTCATAATTGTCAAAAACTGAAGCAACCAAGAAGCCTTAATAAGTAAATGGCTAAACAATTGTGGTACATCCTTACAACAGAATGTTATTTAGTGACAAATGAGAGGGCAAGCCACAAAAGACATGGAGGAATCTTAAATGCACATTGCTAAGTGAAAGGAGCCAATCTGAAAAGGCTACACACACTGTAGGACTCCAACCATGTAACATTCTGGAAAGGAAAACACTATGTAGACAGTGTTTCAAAACAGTGGTTGCAAAGGGTTTGAGTGATAGATAAATAAAACAAATTTTATAGTAAAACTATTCTGTATGATACTGTAATGGTGTGTACATGACAATATGCATTTCTTAAACCCACAGAACTAGTACAACACAAAGAATGAACCTTAATGTAAGGTAATGTAAACTACAGACTTTAGTTAATAACAATGTATTAATAATGGTTCATTAATTGTAACAAACATATCACAGTAATGGAAAATGTTAATAACAGAAAAACTCTTGAGTAGGATAGGAGGACATATGGAAACTCTACTATCTGCCCAATTTTTCTGTAAATCTAAAACTGTTCTAAAATATAAAGTCTATTAATTTTAAAAAGCTAGCTTAGAAATGAAGTATTTCTATTCAATAATTCAATGAACATGCGTTTCTCAGTATTGTTCAGAATAGCATTAAGATGCCACAATAATCTCCGATTGGAGGGATTACTGTTCATATATGTCAATGGTTCTTGACTAGGGAAGATTCTGCTCTCCCCATCTCCAAAGACAATCATTTAGCAATATCTGCAACTGCATTTGGTCATCACAACTAGGAGAAGGTAAGACGTTACTGGCACCTAGTGGATACAGGTCAGGAATACTGCTAAACATTCTATTAATACAATGCACAGGATAGCCCCCTAATTATCAGGCCCAAAATGTCAATAGTGCTGAAATTGAGAAACTCTGATACCTATGTGCCCAGCCATCTGGTAGTGTGCAGCCTATGGTAGTTGTAAAATAAACATCTGTTGACAAATGAATATAAGAAAGACTGAACAGATAACTGAAAAAATAAGGAAAGAAAAAAGAAAGAGAAGGACAGGATGGTAGGCTCCCTGCTCATACAGAAATATGGAGCAAAAAATTAAAATCTTATGTAATAGGTATGATAGCAGAAGCTTATGCAAAGCATCTCATCTCTGCTACAAGACATAAGACCACACCCACTGACTTGGTTTCTTAATGAATGTATCCCAAGCCTTACTTTCAGCCATTATGACTTCTGGGTTACAAGACCTATCTTCCTAACTTCATGTTTAATCTTTGAGAGGTTAAGTTTCACATGAACTTTATGATATATCTATCTCAAAGCACCATGTATTTGTCTTCTCATTCTAACAGTGCATTCAAATAAAGAAAAAAGTAGACATACTAAATATCATTTTTACTCCATTTTAAAACTATGACATGAAAAATAACTGCTTGCATATACACAGAAAGTTTCTTTAATGTTCAATTCACACTTGAGGGTGTATGTGACTTTAAAGAGGGTTACATCATGAGGTAGTCTTGTGGTGATGGTACAGTTCTGTATCTGGATTGTACTGGTGGTACATAAAGCTATATGTGTAACAAAACCATACAGAAACACACACATACACACACACACACACACACACACACACACACACACACACACCCCACAGGTAGAAACGGTGAAATGTGAACAAGCTCTATGGGTTATATTCATGTCCATTTCCTGATTTTGATATTCTACTATAGTTATACAAGATGTTAACAATGGAGAAGGCTGGTGAAGGGCACATGGAACCTTCCTATACATTTCTTTGCAACTTTGTGTGTATTTATAATTACTTCAGAATAAAAAGCTAAGAAAAAGGTGTAATAAACTTGTGATATCATTTAGTTCTGCAACTTACCAAACTGAGCTCTGAACTACTTATTAATAAAATAACTATATATTAGAAAAAGTTATTTCACACTAGAAGTTATGACCAGAGGAACAAAGTGGAAAAGAATGTATTTTTCTTAAATACCACTATCCAAGGACTACCTCATTTAACCTCCAAAACTGTCCTATAAAGTAGTCACATATTATCCTCTTTTCATAAATTTGAGGATGTTAAATTTTTCCAAGGTTACAGAATTAACATGCTCAGTGGTTGAGCTGAGACACCATGTTACCTACTGTCAGAGGCTAAATCTAATCTTTTTGCTACATCATGACTGCCTCTCATTTTAACCTGGAATATGTGCCAATTTTCACAGCAACTAAATTACCAAATGGATCCCCTTAATCAAGATTCAAAAGAACAGGAGGTGGGGAGGGGGGGAAGCTCTCACGTATAACAACTCTCTTTGATGAAAGTATATAGTTTGTCTTAAACCCCTAATCTGAAACTCTTAGTGCCAGGTGTGTTCCAGAATTCATAACTCTTCAGAATTCAGAAAGACAGTGGACAACATAATAGCCCACACCTGTAATCCCAACAATTTGGAAAGCTGAGGTGGGATGACTGCTTAGGAGACTGAGACCATGCTGCATAACATGGCAAGACCTCATCTCTATAAAAAAATTTTAGTATTAGCCAGGCATGATGGCACGTGCCCGTAGTCCCAGCTATTCAGTGACCTGAGGCAGGAGGATCACTTGAAACCAGGAGGTTATAGCTACAGTGAGCCATGATGGTGCTACTGCACTCCAGCCTGGGAGTCAGGGCAAGACCCTGTCTCAAAAAACAAACAAACAAATAAAGGCAATGGCATATATATTGTATATTACACTATGCCTGGAGGGGGTTTGGGGACCACACATTGTGATTAGATACATTAATATTTCTGCAGCAAACTGTAGAGATGTGCATAGGAAGCATGATAAATAAAAAACATAAATAGCCTTCCATCAGTTCTAGTCATTTTGACATCAAATGAGTTTACTAAAAACAAACAACAACAACAAAACAAAACAAAACAAAACCTTTTGGTTTCAGAGATTTCAAGATTGTGGAATTGCAGATTAAGAGATTAAAGACATTTCATATATTATACACAGAACATGCATAGCCCCATCCCATCTCCAGAAACAAAAGCTAATTTTTGAAGTCCTTAATTAGAAAAAGTAATGCCATTTTACACTAGCATCTTAAAAGAACAGGGATTACCCACTCCTTAAAAAGATACCTGAATTCATCTTCCTATTAAGTGATGAACAATCATACAAAAAGACATCAGTTAAATGGCTGCTACCAACAGAGCAGGTTCCGGAAGCCTCTGTAAACCGGCCAATAGAATGATGACAGTTGGATTGTTTTGTCAGATGTCACTAGCAATAATCAGAGGTGGTGAAAAGGCTGGGGGAATGCTGTTTGAAGCCTAGCAGTATAAAAGATAAACAGTATAAAAGATAAAACTTTGAGATCCTATAAAAACTGCACAGATCCTATAAAAACCACACACATCAAAATGAATAGGAAGAAGGCAAAGTGCACAGAATCAACAGCCAGATAGTGAAATGTTCTTCTACTTCCTAGCTGTGCCCTCTTGGTGCCTCAGTTTCTTCATCAGAGAAAAGGAAAAATACTACCATCTAGTTCAAAGAGTTACTGTGAGAGAGACAAATGAGGTAACGGATATATACTTTTTAGAACATGCAGGGCACAAATACAAGCTATTAACATTGTTTTACATTGTCAGATTTTCTTACAGTAACTATGAATGTCATGAGAATTATTTATGATGGAACCTTCATTTCAAGTTCCCCATATCCATTTTATATTTACCTTAAAATTTTAGGGAAGGATAAATAAGAGAGAAATGTGAGAAGTGAACTTATCACCAATGGAAAGAATCTATAAAGTATCAGACAAGCTGTAGAGGTATAAATAAGATTCTATGATGAGGAAAGCCCCAATTTCTTCTCATTTTTACATCAACATCTGAATATGCCCAAATGCCAAAACATGCATCTAATTAGTAGTCAATGGATACTTTCACCAATGTAGTCAATTACTAAATATTTTAGGAATAAGAGCAAAATGTCCAAATCCATATTCAAGTTTAATATCCCTTACCTAAAATGCTCAGAAGGAGAAATGTTTCAGATTTTAGATATTTGTTTAAATTTTGGAATATGTGCATTTTACTTACCAGTTTAGCATCCCTAATCCAAAAATCCAAAATCTGAAATGCTCCAGTGAGCATTTCCTTTCAGCATCATGTCAGTGCTCAAACAGTTTCAGATTTTGGAGCATTTCAGATTTGGGATTTTCAGATTAGAAATACTCCATCTGTATTAGAAACAGTAGCAGTTTTAACTGGTCTGTTCTTAATTTAGAGATCATCAGAATAATCCAAGACAGCATTTCCTGTTCTGCTTTGCTAACAGATATCTCAGAAAGTAGGTGAAAATCAGAAAATAAATAACCTTTGCTCATTATTTTCATCATAGGTGTATCTACTCTTTTCTTTGTTTTCTAGCCAACTTAATTTAAGACTAAAAATTTCTACCTACTTTGAGTACTTGGGAAACCATCTTTTTAGTCTACTTCTTTTTTTTTTTTTTTTTTGAGACGGAGTTTCGCTCTTGTTACCCAGGCTGGAGTGCAATGGCGCGATCTCGGTTCACCGCAACCTCCGCCTCCTGGGTTCAGGCAATTCTCCTGCCTCAGCCTCCTGAGTAGCTGGGATTATAGGCACGCGCCACCATGCCCAGCTAATTTTTTTTGTATTTTTAGTAGAGACGGGGTTTCACCATGTTGACCAGGTTGGTCTCGATCTCTCGACCTTGTGATCCACCCGTCTCGGCCTCCCAAAGTGCTGGGATTACAGGCTTGAGCCACTGTGCCCGGCCAGTCTACTTCTTTTTTTAAAAGGGCAGCATTCTTAAAGAAATTAAATTTCACAAGTATCATTCACGTGTCAGTTCCCAATGTTTACAAAAACTCTTATACAACTCTTGGTAAACATCCCCCAAACACCAACCTTGGATAAAAATACACAATTAAGACTTATTACTGTCCGAGTGTGGTGGCTCCTGCCTGTAATCCCAGCACTTTGGGAGGCTGAGGTGGTTGGATCACTTGAGGTCAGGAGTTCAAGAACAGCTTGGACAACATGACGAAACCCATCTCTACTAAAAACACAAAAATTAGGGGGGCCCAGTGGCACACACCTATAATCCCAGCTACTCGGGAGGCTGAGGCATAAGAATCTCTGGAACTCAGGAGGCATAAACTGCAGCGAGCCGAAATCCTGCACTCTAGCCTGGGAGACAGAGTGAGACTCAGTCTCAAAAAAAAAAAGAAAAAAGAAAAAAAGATGGACCTTATTATCAAAAAGGTCCATCTGTTTTAATGTAATTACTGAATTGCTTCTTTACATGTTTCTACTTTTCAGTACTTTACCATAAATAGACAAACACAGGAAAGAACATAGGCTCTTGAATAAAAAGACCAGGATTTCAACTTGATTCCCAACATGTGTACTAATTATTTTAACCAAGTCCTAAGATGTTTAAGTTTCAGGAGACTCACCTGACAGAGTTAACATACAATGACCAAACAAAAAACAGTTTATGAATGTTATAACTGATTCCACTAAAGATTATAGAGGACATCTTCCCTAGGCATTCCTTCTATAATACAGCAATGCTTACTTTTAGAAAACAAACTTACTGAGAGCTATTCAACTCCCAGTACATCTTTCCAAGTTAGATGCCAAGAATAATAAATTCGTATACTAAAAGATGGGATAAAAAAAAAACCGTTACTCATTTTTACTAATAAATCAATGAATTAACTAAATTTCTTTCAGAAACATATTTTATATCATGAATTACATATATTATTCGTGGCAGAAAGCTTAACAATCTAGCTCTCATATAAGCACTTGTTTAGCAAAATATTTTGCGACCTCTAAAATACTTTTGAAATATTTTCCTGAATAATCCGTAAAGTTTCAAATTATTAGGAAAAATTTCAGGCACTGTAATTTTTAAATTCCAATCATGGAATAGAAGATTAAGAAAGACTGCACAGGCTGGGTATGGTGGCTCACACCTGTAATCACAACACTTTAGGGAGGCAGAGGCAGGCAGATCACTTGAGGTCAGGAGTTCAAGACCAGCAAGTGGTCAACAAGGTGAAACTCTGCCTCTATTAAAAATACAAAAACTTTTAGTTGGGTGTGGTGGTGAGGCAAGGCAATCGCTTAAACCCAGGAGGTGGAGGTCGCAGTAAGCCAAGATCGCACTACTGCATGCCAGCCTAGGTGACAGAGCAAAACTCCATCTCAGAAAAAAATAAAAGACTGCATGATAAGGGAGGTATAGGCACGGATGGATACATCAACTTCATTTACTTTTCCTTTAAACAAGGTGTCATAAATAGCCTTGCTTACCAGTATCATCGGCAGGCTCAGATGTGAGTGGTTTTGGAGCTGGTGTATTTTTGGGTCTGGCAGCAACCTGAGATGGAGATGAAGGTGCATTGTCTCCATTAACTACATACGAGCAGCATGAGTTTTGGACTACAGTGCTTGTAGGTACATGATTATCTATTCCATTAGTGCCTTCGACAGCCAACCTTGAAAAAATAAATGCCTTATTTCAATCATTGAAATACAATTAAACAACATTATATCAGAATTTTCATAAGAATTATTTACTGAGTTCTTACATTCCTTTTTTGTTACTCTATTTTTTCTTTTCAAAGATTCTATTTCCAAACAACTGAGTTCTTATGTTTCAAGTAAAATGATAAGTAAATAATGAACAAAGATATGGCATGTTTTATATTAAAGTTCTAATTACTTTTCAGTTCTAAGTGTATCCATTCTGCAGATAAAACAAATACTGAGATATACAAACATACTAAGTCAAAATACAGTCTCACAATACATTCAAATCATACATTTTAAATATTTATGCCTAATATTAATCTATTTTAAAAGATCTGAAAGTCATTTCAAAAAGTTTATGAAATTACATGAATCATAAAAATCAACTACAAACTACTGTAATTTTTTATTTTTATTTTTTTAGAGACAGGATCTTACTCTGTCACCAAGGCTGGAATGCAGTGGCTCATTGCAGCCTCAGCCTCTTGGGCTCAAGTAATCCTACTGCCTCAGCTTCTTGATCAGCTAGGATCACAGGTGTGCATCACAATGCCTAGCAAATTTTTAAAATTTTTGTAGAGATTAGATCTTCCTTTGTTGCCCAGGCTAATCTAGAATTCCTGGCTTCAAGAGATCCTCCCATCTTGACCTTCCAAAGTGCTGGGATTATAGGTGTGAGCCGTTGTACCTGGCCTCAAACTATTATAACTTTATTAAATCTTGAAAAATGAATGAAAAACTCTATAAATATTAGTTACAAATTAGTATGTACTAGATACTAAAATTATAACTACAGGATGATCAAAAAAAGCTAAATATTATACCACAGAACTATAAAAATGTATAATATATACATTAGCAAACAAATAACTCTAACAACAAAGTCAAACATTTTAAGTCTTATTGGCAGTGGAAGGAGTTGGGCAATTTGGTGAGACACTCATGTTTAAGACAAACAAACAAAAAATTGTAAAGGAGTTGCAAAATACCAAGTAAGTGACCAGGAGAGCTTTTCCAAATAAACAGGTTATCCCATATCTGCTCTTCACAGACCAGCCTGAGCACTATTTTAAAAATATAAACCAGATCAGCATGTCCCTCTCCTGGTTAGTCAACAAATCTTTTGAAAATCAGCCACACCTTTCTCCCAACTCTCTCTCTCTAAACTATTTCTCTCCAAGCTCCTCCTTGCTCACTTTGCATCAGATAACAATTTTACTATCAAAAACATACTGAACAGTCTTCAAATGTTTATTACAAATTATTATATGCCAGGTGGTAAAATGATAACTACGAAATTATCAAGAGGTTAAATATCATTCTCTAGAGTTAGAAAAATTTGTAGGACATAACTGTAAACAAACTCAGGGTCTCTGAAGTTGCTATTTCCTCTGCCTGGAACACTCTTCCCTCAGAAATCTGCACAGACGATTTATTCTTGGCTTTTTAATCTTAGCTCAAATCACAATTCCTCAGAGATGATTCTTTGGCATCTCTTTTAAAAATAGGCTCCCTTCCATTCCTGCCATCTTGTCCTGTTTAAATGACTTCATAGTGCTTATCCCTATGTCCAATTAGCATATTTATTTCTTCTGTTGTTTACTATTTACCTTTTCTTTCCCCAAAAACAGAGTCTTGCTCTGTCATCCAGAGCTGGAGTACAATGGCATGATCTCGGCTCACTGCAACCTCTGTCTCCAGGGTTCAAGCAATTCTCCTGCCTCAGCCTCCTGCATAGCTGGGATTACAGGCATGCACCACCATGCCCAGCTAATTTTTTTGTATTTTTAGTAGAGAGGGGTTTCACCATGTTAGCCAGGCTGGTCTCGAACTCCTGACCTTGTGATCCACCTGCTTCAGCCTCCCAAAGTGCTAGGACTGCAAGCATGAGCCACCACACACAGCCTACTATCTACCTTTATCCCATCAGAGTGTACATTTCATGGGAACAGGGCTGGTATTCTTAGTACTCGGACTAATATCTGGCATCAAACAGGCATTCAGTAAGTATCTGCTGAACGAACAAATAATTAATGAATCCTACCCTCCTTTCCCTTGTCACCTATGTATCTGGAACAAGATGTGTTTAGGAAGTTTGGGCAGGTAAAGACTGAGATGATTGTGATTTGTAAACCCCTCCCCAGTCAGCTAGCAAGAATCAGTGATTCAGAAGTCTAGGTAAAAGAACACATCTGAATTTCTCCTGGTACTGTAGAACTAATTTTCAATTCAAAACATGTTACTATGTAATTGACAATATTTGGTAGTAATTCAAGCTCCTCTACCCATCTAAATTGTTTTTTACTTATATAGACACTAAATATATTTAGTTAAGCCAAATTACATTCAGAAGGCATACTTATCTATTCAAGTGGTCTAATGAGAATCACTGAAGGCAAGTTAGAAGAAATGATACTAATAACTATAGATTAATAAATGTCACACTCTGTCATATACCAGCATGCTTTATTTATTCAAGGTAATGAGTCAATTTTATAACAATATATTTTTATATTTTCAGGTGTTAATTCCACTTAATGTGATCTATTATAAACTTTTATTCAAATTTAAATTACTTCAAACAAAGAACCTATATTAATTGTCATGAACCACGAATGCCAGGGAGTTCCTGAAATGGTAGAATGATGTCACAGAAAAGGCCACATTGATGTCTGAAGGAAGGCCACAATCTGTGGAGCATTTATCTTCTCACGATCTACAGGAGAATGCCAATCCAGAGAGCAGTACGATACCTATTTATCCATAGTATCTGACTGTACTCATAAAATATGCCTAAATACAAATTTTAAAAAGCCATTTTCAATAAAAATCAATAAAACATTGTACATGCTACGACATAAATGAACCCTGAAACATGCTAAGTAAAAGAAGCCAACCACAAAAGGTCACATAGTGCATGAATCCATTTACATAAAATGGCCAGAACAGACAATCCACAGAAACAGAAAGTAGATTCATGGCTGCCAGAAGCTGGGAGCCAGGAAAAATGGAGAGTGACTACTCATACATACATGATTTATCTTCAAGGTAGAATGTTCTGAAATCAGACAGTAGAGAGGGTAACACAACTCTGTTAATATACTAAAAACTACTAAAATGTATACTTTTAAAACGTGAATTTCATGATATATGTATGCAATCTCAATAAAGCTGTAATTTTTTAAAAAGCTGCTTTCAGCCAGGCGCGGTGGCTCACGCCTGTAATCCCAGCACTTAGGGAGGCCAAGGCAGGTGGATCAGGAGGTCAAGAGATCGAGACCATCCTGGTCAACATGGTGAAACCCCGTCTCTACTAAAAATACAAAAAAATTAGCTGGGCATGGTGGCACGTGCCTGTAATCCCAGCTACTCAGGAGGCTGAGGCAGGAGAATTGCCTGAACCCAGGAGGTGGAGGTTGCGGTGAGCCAAGATCGCGTCATTGCACTCCAGCCTGGGTAACAAGAGCGAAACTCCGTCTCAAAAAAAAAAAAAAAGCTGCTTTCACAAGAATTAACCAAATGACATGTTTAGACATAGCTTCTAAATTCTGCGGCAAATTCTAAACTCAGGTAAATTACAAAACTTCTTATTCAGGAAATATGTTCCACATCATGTTGCCATCCATATTCAAATAAAATATTCTACCTGGCATTTGTCCTTGCTGAAGGCTCTCCATTTTCATGTAAGGCATCACCATTTTGCTGTATTTCTACTGAACAACAAGAAAGAAAGAAACTAGATTTTTATATACTTCTTGCTCATTCTTTTCCTTTAAATTTTACAAACATATAAAGTTAGCTTACTGGTTGGAGATGAGCTGTAGTTTGTTAGATTTTCTTGCTCAATCACCAATCCATCAAGCACAACTGTCAATTCACCAGTTTGCGCTATGCCATTCTTGTTTTCCAAGGAAAGTTTTAATTGTTCTTTCACTCTTTCCACTAGAAAGAAGAATATTCTAATTTAAAAGCTTTTGCCACATATAAAAATGATTCAAAAATCAAAACTACATTTCAAGAATCACTTTAATCAGTACTTGACATTTGGAAGGAATTCTTTGCATTTTTATCTATACCACACCAGTATGAATCACTTTGACACCTAGTTAAGTAATTCCTCTTCTCCCCACACCCCATGCTTTCAACATCACCTTTAATTGCTTCTGTGCATATTATAAATTTTGGAGAACATATAAATATATCTAAATAATAAGTGTAGCGATTGTCTAAACTTGCTCTTCAGCTCAAGGCACCACAGAGAACTCTTGTGGTTGAGGCAAAATTTCTGTTCAAAAGTCAGGTAAGTCTGTTTTCAAATTCCAGTTCTGCTACTTACTGGCTGTGTATTGTTATTCAAATGTCTGTAAGCCTTGCTTTCTTAATTACAAAATGGAGACGATGGACTTCAAACTAAAGGGACAATCTTGAGGACCAAATGTAAAACCACACAGACAGCGCCAGCACCACTTCTGATAGTTTAAGTGCTCGATACATGCTAAGTATCGTGACAGTTACCATTTTTATATAAGGACAAATACTTCCTTCCCATTAGTAGAACATGAGGTTCTTATTTAAACTCAAGGTCCTTTTGCTTCAACTTCTATGTTATACTATGTATTTAGACTATGTATTAAACTATATATTAGACTATATATTAATAGTTATTAGTGGGGGCTTGGAGAAATGAGATGAAGGTAAAAGGATACATAGCTTCAGTTAGAAGGAATTATTGTTTCTTTGAGATACTGCACAGTGTGATGTATATAGTAAATAATGTGTTGTACATTTCAAAATTGCTAAGAATAAATTCCAAATGTTCTCACCACACACAAAAAAAAGTAAGTATTTGAAGTGGTGGATATGTTAATAAGCTTGCTTTAATTATTTCACATTGTATTAATGGATCATAACATTACTGTGTACCCCATAAATACATACAACTATAATTTGTCAATCTATAATTAAAAAATAAAAACTAAAAGAGAAAGTTATCAATGATCACTTTATTATTCAAACTGAGGCCAAATACCTCAATCTGATCTTCAGTGGCTTTCTGTAGTTTTTGCAATCATGGGACATTTCATGATTTAGATAAAGTCCTTAACTTTGATCTTTCCTATATTTAACAAATTTGGGTGGGGAGGGGAGTTTCTCTGTTACGAAATGACCAGCATAAATATGTTCACAAGTTATCCATGTATAGAAAAGACAAGACAAAAATCTAGAACTACTAATCACTGGACAGAAATTCTTTGTGGCCAGGCCTGGTGGCTCACACCTGTAACCCCAGCACTTCGAGAGGTCGATGTGGGAGGATCACTTGAGCTCAGGAGTTTGAGATCAGGAACACAGTGAGATCCAGTCTCTACAAAAAATTTAAAATTTAAGGCCAGGCACAGTGGCTCACGTCTCTAATCCTAGCATTTTGGGAGGCGAGGTGGGCGGATCACTTGAGGCCAGGAATTCAAGACCATCCTGGCCAACATAGCAAGACTCTGTCTCTATTGAAAAAAAAAAAAAAAAATTAAAAAACCAGCCAAATGCAGTGAGGTGTGCCTGTATTCCCAACTACAAGGAGGCTGAGAGGAGAGGATCCCTTAAGCCCAAAAGTTCAAGACTGCAGCAAGTGATGATGGCACTACTGCACTCTAGTGTGAGTAACAGAGAGAAATCCTGACTCAAAAAAGAAAGAAGGAAAGAAAAAGAAATTCTTTGCAAAAAAACGCTTAAAACATGTAACAAAAGAAGGCTTTATAGAATACCCCAATCATCTGTAGCACCATGGACCTCATTTCTACCTTACATCCAAACAAACAAACAAACAAACAATGAAAACAACCAGAGAAACTAAAGGAAATATAAAAACACACACACAAAAACTACAAAAGCGGCCAGGCGTGGTGGCTCATGCCTGTAACCCCAGCACTTTGGGAGGCCAAGGCAGACAGATCATGAGGTCAGGAGATAAACACCATCCTGGCCAACATGGTGAAACCCCGTCTCTACTAAAAATACAAAAAAATTAGCTGGGTGTGGCAGCATGCAACTGTAGTTCCGGCTCCTCAGAAGGCTGAGGCAGGAGAATTGCTCAAACCCGGAAGGCGGAGGCTGCAGTGAGTCGAGATCGCGCCACAGCACTCCAGCCTGGGCGCCACAGCACTCCAGCCTGGGCGACCCAGTGAGACTCCATCTCAAAAAACAACAAGAAGAACAACCACACTACAAAAGCATGAATTTCAGCTTTCTCCAATAATCAATATCTGAAGAAAACTATACTGACCAACATTCAATTTGATTCTTGTCATCTCCCATGATTTCAAGTGCCTGGAATTTGGTGATTTGGCTTCTCCCTGAAATATATAGCTGTTTGAAAATGTTCCTAAAGAATAGCCTTTTAAAATCTCTTTAGTGTATGTTTCTTGGTAAATTCGTTCATTTTTATCTGTAAATGTTTGCATTCTCATCCTCAAAAGACAGACTTGTTGGGAATACAATTTTATACTGGTAATGATTTCCTCTCAACTCTTTGAAGACATTTTCCCACTATCTTCTCCTATTACTAATTCTGCAATTCTAATTCATAAATCTTTACAAATAACCTGTTTTTCTCTACAGCTGCTTTTTAAATCTATTTGTCTTTGATGTTACACATTTCACTATGATATGTCTAGGCATGACTTTCTCTTTGCTCTCTTGTTTGGGACAGTAAGACTCTGTGGATTCATCTTTTTCATTTGTGTTCAAAACTTACAGCCATTCTCTCTTAAAATATCTCCTCTACTCCACCTTTTGTTCAAGGGATCAGCAAATTAAGGTTTGTAGGCTAATATCTGGATGATTCCTTATTTTTTATAAGTTTTATTTGAACACAGTTATGCTCATTCATTTATTTATATATATATATATATATATATATATATATATATATATATTTTTTTTTTTTTTTTTTTTTTTTGAGATGTATCTTGCTCTGTAGCCCAGGATGGAATGCAGTGGTGCCATCTTGGCTCACTACAACCTCCACCTCCCAGGTCCTAGTTCAAGCAATTCTCCTGCCTCAGCCTCCTGAGTGGGTGGGATTACAGGCACACGTCACCAGGCCCAGTTAATTTTTGTATTTTTAGTAAAGACAGGGTTTCACCATGTTGGCCGGGCCGGTCTTGAACTCTTGACCTTGTGATCCACCCACCTCAGCCTCCCGAAGTGCTGGGATTACAGGCATGAGCCACCATGCCCAGCCTCATTTACATATTTTCTATGGCTGCTTTCAGCCATATGGCAAGTTAATAGGTGCAACAGAAACCATGTGACCTACATGCTCAAATGTTTACAATTTGGTTCTTTATGGAAAACCTCTGCTTATGGTGGCTTATTCCCTCGTTTATTCTTTAACGTTAGCTTAAACTAATTTTAAGCTAATTTTTACCAGTGGTTTGATGGTATGCCCTAATTTTACACTGGTTTGATAGTATACTCAAGAGTTTACACTAGATGAGTTCAAGCTCAACTCCCTTATCTCTGGCTATTAGCCAAAAGTTCAGTGTCATGAAATTTGCTATCAGCATGGCCAACTATTCTAATTCTGGTTCATAAGGTTTTCTTTACCCCAACCCCCTCATCTCCTGGCTTTTTTTTTTTTTTTTTTTTTTTTTAAAGAATGGGCCTCTACCTATTTGCAAAATCATCAATGTCACAAAGATTTGTTCAATCTAGAACCTAGCTATTCTGCAGTGGAAGGGCATTTACAGTATATATTATTTCACAATTCTGAACATGGAAAGTTGAAGTATTACATTTTGGATCATAAAACTGGAAGGACAATCACATAAATAATTCCCATCTACATGTGTATGTATATGTGTGGGTGATTAAGGTAACTAAGTGATTAAGGTAGTCCTGTCCTAGGGGAACTCACTCTTGTAAGGCAGAAGCTGATTTTTTTTTTGTACCTCCTAGACATTTTTCCTTAGCGTTAATACAGCAACTTGAGACAGAACAATTTAAGTCTCTGAGGAGGTAAGCATATAACTAGGTCATCTGTCCTATAAATCATGGATTTGCTGAAAACACGTGTTTCACAGATTTCTACTTAGCTCAGAGCCACATTTTGAAGCAGTTTTTAAAATTGCTCAAACAATGTATTATCTATTGCTGAGTAACAAATTATCCTAAAATTTACTGGCTACAAATAACAATAATCACTCAATATTGCCAGGAACTCAAGAGGGGCACACATACATCTGGCAGGTGGGTGCTGGCTGCTGAGAGGAGACCTCAGTGCCCCTCCACAAGGCGTTGTGAGGGTCTTCCCAAGGGTGGCTGATTTCCTATGGTAAGTACTCGAAGAGAACAAGGCAAAAGCTGAAATACCTATACAACTAAGTCTCAGAGATTGTACACCATCACTTCTGCCATAATCTATTGGTGACATATATCATCTCTGACTCAGTGTGGGAGGGGACTACAGAAGGATGTTAAAATATCAGAAGGTATGAATGCCTGGGGCCATTTAAGAGGCTGACCAACATACTCATAAGCATGAGAAAAATAGAATTTTTAGAAACAAAATGAACCCATTAGGTTACATAGCTTGTAAATGACAGTCTCAACAATAGCAAGGTTTTCTAATTCCTAAGTCTTTTCATTACAGCATGTTATGAGTTGATGACGTTTAACAACTTACAAAGGTAAGCTCCCACTTCCTACCATGTAACAAAAAATTTCAGAATTTATAAAGGAAATTAAAGTAAAAATAAAACAATATAGATAACTATCAAAACTAGGGATCGGAAGCGATCCTCTGCACAAAAATAATATAAGGTTAATAAAATTTAATGACTAGAAAAATATTAAACTTGCATAAAACAAAACTCACAATAAAAAAATAAAAAGGTCAGCTGGGCATGGTGGCTCATGCCAGTCATGCCAGCACTTTTGGAGGC